TCGAGAGACCACAATTATACAACAATGGTAGTTACTGAGTTTAAACTGGCTAAAAAAGGGATTACAAAACAGTTTGAAACTTAACTCTTCTTACTTTTTTCTTCTAAAATAACTTATCACATATAAATAATGGTAAAAAGTACTCACTTTGAACAAATCATAATTTAATCTACATATGAAAAGAAACAATACTCTCACTAAGTATTTTTTATGTTTATCATTTAAAACATGCTTTTTTTTCTAAATTTATACTAAAAAAATACGAACAAATTCACCAACCGGCAAAAAACTATCAATCACATATATTAAAATTATTTAACATTAAACAATTCAAAATTAAACATTTAAACTATAAAAGTTATGAATTTATAAATAAATACTCATATTATATAAGCGGATATTTGTATTAAAATATTAAAGTGTGTTTATTTCTCGATGACGTAAAAACTACAAAAACATTTTTATATAAATATATAAATTTATGTACATTTTTCATTAACTGCATCACTGAAATGTTTTTAATGAATAAAATAAAATAAAGCATAAAAGTGATGACATTGAAGTATTTGATAAATGTAATATTTTTGGGATTCAATATTGTGTAATAATTAAAATTACAGATGAAAAAAGAAAATTTTTATACATTAATGTATTTTTTCCTAGAAGAACTTAATCATATAAATATGACATATACTTAATTTATTAATACTTTCCTATCAGTACCTATAACTTGAATAAGTATACAGTTTGTATTTCATAAAGTGAATTTTCACATAATTACAAGTATACTCGATTATACAGAAAGAAATTGTTTAAATACTTTAAGATTTTTTTTTTATTTCATTCCATAAACAGTAGCAGAGAAGCATTGTTCTGCTGGCTCATTATATAATAATTGGATTTTTTTAGCAATTAAATTAATTTTGAGAATTTAATTGTCAATCCAAGTTCAAGTAACAAAAAGACAAATACATTTTTTGTAGATAGGACATATATACTTCCTGTGTATATTTATTTGTCAAAACTTAAAACCTTACCTAACTTGAATATATAAAAATAAAAATGTATCTGCCACTACTTTTATTATATAATTTTTATTATCTTAAAAATCTATTTCAAGAGTTAATTTACGAAAACTTATTTGAAAATATTTAATACATCTTTAGTAGGCTACCACATTTCTTTTAACTCAAATTGGTCAACAGTTACAAGCTGTAACCATGGCGTCTACAAGGAGACATTTTTTTCCTTTACAATTTTCGTTATTCATAAATGTGATCAGCTAAAAATGTTCTCTCTCTCCCTCTCTCATTTGTATGAATATGATCTCAAAATTTAAACTCTCAAAATTCATAATTTTAGAGGTAATTATAAATCTAGCTAAAATGAAAATCACAATTAAGACAATTGAAATATGTAAATCGCTGTTAATAATTATAGCTGTAATCTTTAATAAGGTCCAAATCCTATAGAGAAACGAAGTAAAAAATCATGGAGTTGCTTTTATCAATATCTTCGGTGGCTCCTTATATAACTAAAGTTAGCAAAGGATTCTTTGCTGCAGCTGTGTCACTTTACAGACTTTGCAACTTTCTTCCAATCGCCTTAGTACAAACAGTTTTTTTTTAATTCTTCATTTATCAAAACAAATGAAGAATATATGCGAAAACTAGACTTATTTATACAAAGACTAGTTTTCTAATGTGACTCTCAATACTTTTGTTTTAAGAGTGACCTTGTCCTGAAAATTCATGCCCATTTATTGCGAATAAACCTTTAGCTGTCCTACACCTTAACTCTCAGCTCTAATAAGCAAGACGTGCTACTTTCCTGACATCTTTGAGATCAAAGTAAATAAATATCATGCAACCAAACTAAGTATTTCAGATACTGCGCGATTTTACTTTTTTCTTCCTATATATTTTTGATCTTTCGATTACTTTTCAGCAACCATGTTCACGGGCGACAAGATGAAAGTGTCCGTAAGCAAGTCTTGTTATGTGTCATCTACAGTCGACGATATCTTATTTTCTAGCATACTGACCTGAATGCATGCAGAGGCTCTAATTGTGACCTGACCTGGTGTTTTCTAACCGTTTAATATATTTTTAAATAAAGTTAAATAAGATGCTTTTCCTAAGTTATTATATATTATATTATAGTTCTATATTGCATGGCAACTCTTTTTTGTGTTGCCACGATGACAGTCAAATACATAACTCCAGAAATAGTTTATTTCAACTGATATAAATATATATTCAATTTATGAATGTATAAGCGCAATCAAATATAGCACAATCGTATATCTTCATAATATATGATAACCTATTTTATGATATTAAAAAAAACTCTATAAAACATTATTTTTTTGTTATCATCATATATTTTATTATTATTCACATTGTCTTATTTATTATACATTAATTTTTATCCTCTGCAGAACCTAATTAGTACGCCATAAATAACGTAAATCTACTTTCTAAAACAAAGTGGTATAAAATACTTAATAACTTTAAATGAAACACATGACCAGAGGTAATTACATATTTTAGTGGTTTGGTTATAGTGATAAATCTGTCTTGCAAATAAGATAATGGACTTTCCTTGTGAAATGGTACCAAAATATTGTTTATGATTAATTAATATGTGTTGTAAATAATCAGTTTAATTTTTTTGTGAATAAATAAAGGACTGAAGTGTTCAATTCAAAGCTTTTATTTTTAATTGGTGATTGTATATTTGTAAGTTAATTTTTGATATGAAAGAGACATTAATTAGCTTTAAAATAAATAAATACGCGTTGTGTCCAGAAATAATTATTTTTATATTAATAAACCATTTTAAATTTTAGTCCCCCTTTTTTGTCCTTAGAACGGAATAAACGTAATAGTAATTTTTGTGCCACCAAGAGGCAATATTGTACGGAATATGAAACCGAAACTGTTAATTTCCAATATTGATAACAAATCAAACTGTGTACATTGTACAAGCATTGAATGTTTCAGTTTATATATCAACATCATATATTGAACTTAACCTACATATATTTAACCACAATTAAGAGTGGAGTATCCTGTGTCTGACGATGTGTTAGGGTTATTTTTACCGGTCAAAATAACATAATTCACAGCAAGTTTCGATTTCTTTGCGTGATAACAAGTGGTACACTACCTGTTTTAGTGTCTTAAAATAATTCAACCTCCTTTTTGCATCTCCATTAATATCCTTAAGAGTCATAAAGATGAAAGTATGCTTGTTTGCAGGCAATGTGGTCCACTGTCACGTTACACTGCAATTTTACCAAGAATGCAATTTGATTTTAAAATATTGTAAGTAAAATAAATAAATATTTGTATCAAAAATAAATTTAGTATAACAATTAATAAAGTTGAGACTTTTTAATACTATCTTATTTTAATTTATTATAGACCTATAAGTGAAAACCGAGAGACAGAAAAATGTCCGCGAATATATATTTTAAACAGCAAGATAATCATGTTATTAATATTGTACCGATTTGTATTTACATAATTATGTTAAACAAATCGTCAATAATTTTTCACTCTCCAGTTGGAATAAATTTTAAAATCTGTTTAAAATGCCATATTTATAGCTCAATTTCACCTATACAATGTCACGTGATTAATCGATTATATTTACCATGATTTAGATATTGAAGATAACTGTTCTTTAAAGTTTTTTTATGTTATGGAGTATCCTTTTTGATGACATTATTAATCTGTATAAATTTTGGAAGAGCTTTGTAGATTTTAATACTTTCTAATAAATTTCCCAATAAGATATATTTTAGTTTTTATTTCCGATTTGTAGCAAAAAATAAAACTATATTTTAATGATTTATTATATTATATTTTTGCTAGAGGTTTCGATTTTTTACTTTCGTCTGCCGGTGATTACGACTCCTATATATTATTATATTAAATGGAATTAAAAATAATTGAGAGTAAAAATTTTATAATTTAAATATACATGTAAACTTATTTACGTTTTCTAATTAATTATTGTACCCAAACTCTATATAAACATAACAAAAGTAATCAATGTAAAAAAAAAATCTAAACAGTCCGCAAACGTCTCACACCCAATTTAACTACCTATGTTGTTTTGAAAGGTGTCTTTATAAAATAATACCATACTGTGAAAGTGCTAGCAAATTTAATTCAAAACACGAACAAGTCGTAAAATAACAAACGATTTAAGGTAACCTTATCCTTAAAGGTAGGAAATAAATTTTATATAGTATATAATTTATCGTTCAAATTATTCATAAGTGAGTAAAATTCTCCTAGAATAACCATTTATATTTGTCTTACACAGAATATAGACCTATGTGTATGATTAGTTTCGAATATATCGAAAGTGTATCGTCCATATAACAGCTACATATTTGGGACCCACATAATTTACAACCCACAAAATGTTTTAATCATCGACAAATACTTATTTTTCAAATAACGTTGAAAGTGATTTAATATTCTTAGAAAGAATATTCATAACTTTAAATATTTTTAAATTATGGATATGTTTGAAAGATAATTATATATCCTAATAAATCATAAACCGATAAATTCTTAAAACATATAATCTCATATTCCATTATTTCTTACAAATTCTTCATATAAATATAATATTTACATCCGGAATCGTTAAAACTACGTAGTGTATGGTAATAAAACGTACGCAATTTGTTCACTAAACACGTTTATATGCAATTTGACAAATACAACGTAATCGTCAAAGCTTGCTACTACTAACACATAAAAAAAGAGAAATACAAATATGATGTCCTAAACATAATGAGCATCATTTATTTATATGCGTCATTCAAGTGAGTTATGATTATTTTGCAAATAGCGATAGATGTCAGTAATGACATAATCTTACAGATGATCCTCTATTATTCAACTGTCACTCTTAAGTTAGTGGTCAGCTAGATTTGACTCAGTTTCAGTGTAAGCTGAGCACGACACACGTTTTGTATGCGGCCAACCGGCGCGCAGATCGGGGACTCTTTATATATAAAGAGATCTTACGAAACCGCTGGCACATTCGGAGTTCGGACTATAGCTTGTCCAGGGAGTCACCTGTTTCTTCTCTCACCGGTCAACAAGATGCAGTTCGTTTTGGTAATTATCAAATTCGCATACTAATTACTCATTGTGTTTGTTACTCGAGTTGCAGAATCCTCAATTATCTGATGAGCAAAGAGTGATTGTATTTAATGATTTGACAATAGTATTTTGAACTTTAGAACCGCCGACCTTCTCGTTGATTGCGTTATGTCTTCGAAGACATGTCGCAAAACTCAAGTTGTCTAGTGCACAACATTCAATCACGCGCATGTACCTATTCCCATTAGTTTTTGAATGGCACTTAACTAGCTTTTTAAATTGCATTTCTATTATTTTTCATTCCATCATTAAAAATAACATACGACTTTGTTTATACCAAAAATGTGAGTCCGATTTTAAAATATTTGCATAAAATATAATAGGAGTCCGAATATTTCAACTACTGTTTTTTTTATGAATTCCTTACATACTTACATTCAACAAATCTGGCTGGAAGGTCAAAATATAAAATATACTTGTGCATTTTAAGAGTATTTTCTAGACTCAGATATACAAATCTATTGGTATATTGTTACTCAGTACATTTTATAGCTACCATATTCTAAGATGAATAACTAGAAAGACGCTGAGGTCAAATTCTTTGGATTTTCTATTCTAACTGGTTTCCTGCATTAATAATAATGACGACATTAACTACACCTCAACAACAATGTTTTTCTGTTTTATTTTTAAAATATTCATTGATGGTAATAAAAATTTAAGATAAAATAATGTCTATTGTCTATAAATATCCACTCTGAGATTATGTATATATTTTATCAATTTAATATTTCAGGTAATTTGTTTAGCTTCGCTCGTGGGAATACTTGGTGCAACTCCTGCAATTGAAAGCCAGCCAAAACCTCAAGTCCTGAGCTATGAAATGAACACAGCCAACATGCCTAATTCATATAATTACCAGTAAGTATATTTATATGTAAACAGTAAGAAATTCAATGTTTAAATTTTTCCTTTTACAAACAAATAAAATATAAATTCCTTATGTACTCAGCTAAAAAGTAATAAATATTTTTTAGCTAAATTCTCATAAGAATGCCTTTTAAAATATAAAAAGTACGTAAAAACTGTTTATTTACATTACTTGATAACCTAAAAACCTTAAAAAAAAAACAAAATAAAAGAATCATTTAAAGGAAAACTTTCTCTTTTTTTATACAATAATTGATAATATTATGTAGACGTTAATAAAGGTTTTGTTATAAATAAGTCTTATAATCTTGAAATATAGTCAAGGATAGTAAATGTATATCAGTTGAAAGGAAATAAATAATTATATTAGATTATAAATAAATATTGTTCATAAAGAAAAAATATTTACATATTGTCATACAAAGTTTTCGTTCCACAAAACTAAACAATAGACTCAATGAAGACTACAACTTAGTTCGTTTATTTATAATGCAATTACGTCAAATATATTTTACCTATATGTTTACCTTGAAAATGCTATAAAAAAGCCATAAGAATTATCGATGTTAGACTGATGTAAGTTCACGTTAAAAGATGACTTTACACATTACTATTATTAGAAGTAATTTATAATAAGAATATATTACATACATAACTGTAAATAAATTGAGCGACAAGTTTCACAAGTTGATTAAACTCTTTGCGACTGAACTCGTTTATGATCTATTACATTTTAAACTATCGCTTAAGAACAGATTCTTATTGTATTATTTGCAATTCACTGATACTAACTTATGACATTATTAATTTTAAGAATTTCTTTTCAAAACTTTTTTTTTAATTAACTGCCTACATTTTAAAAGAAAATAATTGATATATATTTTGATTACGATTTCAAATTTTAAGGCGAGGAAAATAAAGAAAAATATGTATAATAAAAATAGTAAATTTATTAAAATAATTTATTTAAAGGCTTTTCATTCGAGAAAATTGAAGACGTCATGAAAATGACAATAAGTATGGAGAACAATCAAGAAAATATATGGAAAATGTTAAAACCAAGTTCGATATTAATAAAGGTTTCTTTAAAAATCAGATAGTAGTGCAAGCTTTCGTGGCAACATTCCCGAAATAAAAAGTCTACCAATTTGGAATTACCAATATCTCATGTGATATCACTGGGAGCAACCTGTTCTCCCACGTTCCCTGGTTTTGTTATGCATATTTATTTGAATGTCTACATACAATTTACAGACTTCCATTTAAGTTTCTTGACCCCTATAAAGACGTTATTTGAATTGATATTTATGTATAATTTCGTAAAACTTAATTAATATGCACAATAATAATTATAAATTCAACGTGAGAAATATATAAGCATTCCAAGACGCGAACAATAAAATAACATCCAACCAAAAGTCCTAATTGAAATATTTATATTTTTTCAACGGCAACCAACCATAAAGATGATTCAAATTCACATCGCAATTTATAAATAATGACAAAAATTTCGTTGAAATAAAAAGCGAATTAAATTTATTTGGGATGAAACCTTTAAACAAGTTTAATGTTCAACATTCTTAGTGTACAAAACGAAAGTTATATCCATGATTCATGAGACAACAATTATCACATGCTAAATATTAATCCTATATAATCAAAACGTCGTGATCAAAACAAATTATGTTATAATAAATAGACGGTATAAGTAACATTATATCCCTCAGCTATAATACAAATATTAATATAAAAAAATAAAGAATCGAAAAATCATATTAACACTTCCCCGAATTTAGGTTATGACACATAGTTTATTTTCTCCCACGTGATTTGACATTGTGATAAGCGAAAGTAGATACATATATCAAATTGTCACCAGAATTTTAGAACCAAATTCAACTTTGTTATTCCAATGACATATAAAAAATATTTTACATAATTTATTACAAAAAAGGTATGTTAATTCTTTTACTTTTCAATTTCGCCACTTATAATTAACGTTACAATAGCTATACTTTTAAGGAAAGCTTGTAAAAGTGGCCAAGTTGTATAAAACATAAAAACACTGGACAAATTAGTTAATTTACCGGCCGCTTACTTTCGTCACTATAAAGTTAAATGTTACACACCTTTTAAGGCTAATGAATCCGCATACGACAATGATATATAAAAACTAGAACGAAGATCTTTGCCGTATAAAAAACATGATTCTTGAATAATGTGTTACGCTTCTGTAGCTTGAACAGCCTTATGGTTTACGAAAAGCCATATATAGAATCTTTTGTAAACGCCCTCGTATCTTTTACGATATCGCAATCTTTTAATTTCACTACATGGATGGGGAATCCATCGAAAACATCTGTGATTTTACTACTTAAGAAGACTATTCGAGATCAATATAAAAATAGCTGTTTAATATATATGATTTTTAGGTTTAGTTTCTAGTAATTTAAAAAGTCATGGTTTCAATAAAACCATCATTGATATGAACCTTTTCAATGGTTTTAGGTCATTACATAAAAAGTCGACGAATATATTTTTATAAAATTATAAGTTCAGTCAACCCAAGTATAATTATTTTTGAGTTACATCACTCATTAAAATGTAGACTAATTATGAAAAAATCATTCCAACGATAAACTATGGTATTTAATATATGCAATTTCGCTTCCTGATCAGATTTGTGATCTATTGAAATCTATTGGAACAATGTAACGATTGGAGGTAGTAGGATTTAACTTCAAGCACTCATCCTCTTTTCCCTTAAAAGGCTATTAAAAGACTTGATCCAGAAATCAGCCAACTTATTTGGCGACTAGCTTTTAGGCTTTTAGCTTTTAGGCTATTAAAAAACTTGATAAAGAAATCAGCTAACTTGTTTGACGGCCAGCTTTACTATTAACAATTGTTGACAATAATAATCTGCCAGTTGATCTTCACTTCACATTCCAATCAAGCTACACCTTATTAAGCTATGGTAATTAGAGATAATACTCATCCACTAAAGTCCCCGTAACTTAATTGAAATAAATATATGCTTGATCTTATTAATTTTTTAATAAAAAAAAGTCTTATCAGTTATGCTACAACCTTCTGTTATTACAATATTATGATACAATATTATTCTCTCAGATATTCTCTTTTTTTACAAATAATACTTTTGATCCGTTTTCTTTACTTGAAAGAACGCATTTTTTTAAAACAGTTTATGAATGAATTATTACAATTAACCATTAAATTTCAAAGATAATAAACATAAGTCTAAATTTAAAGCATGCTTCTTTACAATTTTAAGTATATTTTACAATATTTGAGGTGAAGAAGCCATTGGGTAAACTAATCATCGGTCTTGTATCTAATGAATAAAAATTTCTACACATATGCACATACATCTAGGCAAAGGAACCTCATTTCATTAAGTCTCCCTTTTATTTAGCTTATTAATATGGTCACCAACATTATATTCACATAAAATTAATTAGCACTTTAAAATACAGTGACACACTCTGATCACTAAAAAAGGCTAACCAACGTCAATTTTACCAAGTATTAATGACAAAGATAAAAAAACCTTACCGTTAATCTTTTAGTAAATATATTAAGGCAGTGAAAGCTCGCCTGTAACCTTATTGTCAGATTGTATATTCATTTTACACATTCTTGACTCTAGACGAAGTTTTTTGCCTAAGTTCTACAAATATATAAATACATCTACACTTATCTTAACGTAGATATTTGAAGAATGACGTAAGTTAATGGAGAATCCTTATAGCTAAGCCATAAATTATGAATACTTTTTGTATAAATCTCCATATGAGGTAAATAACGATGAGGATTATTATTGTTTTTCTTTTTTAAATAATAATGTTTTTGATTTAATTGGTTTTATCTACAATTAATAACAAAAGGTTATGTAACCTTCAACAAAATGTCACGTTTATAACTAAATTATAATAAAATGTTGAATAACAATTAAAGTTTACTACCACTCTCATGTTATTTATGTTATGTTTAGACAAAACAAATTAGTGAACGAATTAAGAGTAAAATTATATTTATAAATGGAAATGTAACGTCGCAGATTCAATCAACGGACTTCTCGTATTTAGAATATAATTAATTTATTTAGAATAAAGACTAACAAGTTGAGATCCCTTCACAGAAGGCCCCTTTTTTATGGATACAGCAAATTTCAAACCACTTATTTCTCTTTGACTCCTACTATTTATTCCTTTGACTACTTCAAGATTTCTTTAATCAGGGTTCTGACATATCTACTGATCTTCAGATAAAACAGTTCTTCTTATTATTTAACATAGAAAAACCACATATATTTTTTATGACAGGATAAATTATATTAGAAGCAAGCAAAGAAACGAAATAAAATTATTTTTTATCATTACAACAAATGTTCATATATCACTGTAAAGTAGACGATAAACGTCAGTTGCAATAGCAATAAAGTAGAACGCTAGAATTGCTATTAGTTTCATTTTTTTAAATTCTTGCAATAAAATCAGCAACCAATGAAAAAAATAATCCTATGTCCCCTTTGCTGACATTACATAAAATTAAAAATCTATTTACATACATCGTTAAAAATTACAGTTTTTTATACTAAAAAATATAATTACTTTCCGTATTTCAGTTATAACAATAGTGACGGTTCATCGAGAACAGAACAAGGGGAATTCGTAGATTCTACAGGTACAGGGGATGCTTCGCTTAATGTAGCTGGGGCGGTACGTTGGTACGACGACAAGGGACACCTCTACGAAATGACCTATAAAGCGGGAAGAAGAGGCTATAGAACAATTATAAAGAAATTGTCATAGAAAATAATCAAACTGTGCAAAATGTACTGACTGCTCTAATTTATTTTTATCTTCTTTTTATTTATTAAATTAAATTATTGATATAATTGTTTTATTACACCGTTATTAATAAAATACTCTATTAATAAACTATAATACAAAAATCCGATATCAATTACTTTAAAAAAATTGCAATTTTTTTTATTTTTCTAGTTAATGGAACTTTAAAAATGCTTATTTCAGTCAAACGTATTTCTAAACCCCTCATTTTTCATTTTGTAAAAGAGTTTGAATATGAAAATCCTATTTATTTGAGAAAAATAAAATTTATTACCTTGAACAATATTATTTCATAGCATGCATTTGCGATTGTCATTAAAGTACATCACGTCGTGTTTCATCACTGATTCATGTTATCACCTTCGCTTGCCACCATTTTAACAATTTATTTGGTCAATTGCTGTAACTTTAGCAAACAAACACAGTATTTAAGAAGACATTTTAGGATACATCTTATCATTCGCGACAAGTACCGTAAGAAAATCTATCATGATTGCTATGGTAAGTATCATGACCTATCCACATTTTGAGTAGAATCAGCAATTTTATGCAAACGTCAAAGTGTTTGCTGTCATTTAATCAAATTAACATTTTATTGTTTTTTTGTTTGTAGAAACTTTTCGTCTTCGGCTTAGTATTAGCCACCTCATTAGCGGAGGATGTAAAACAACCTCCAGCAGAAATTATCACAGAAAGGACTATCGTCAGAGAAGACGGTTACAATTTCGAGTAAGTTAAAAATCAATGAATTTTAACAATTACAGTAAAAACAAACTATCCAAAGTATTTTCATTACTTATTTACATACATTTTTTATACTGTCAATTTAAATCTTCAGACACTATAAGCTTATTAATTTAAATAATGCAAATTTTTGAAAACATAACCCAAATTAAGAGGGAATTTATGAACAATTAAAATGTTAGATCTTATTTATGGAAACAAAATAAACAGTAACAGTAGCTTCAAAGGTAACAAAAGCAAACAATATCATTAATTCCATAGGAATTTCAAAATGGGATATGATCAATATTCTTTATCATGATTGCAAATGCATAAGATGATATTCGATGTCCAGGTTCAAGACAAGCGATGGTACGTCTCGAAAAGAAGAGGCTGGTCTTATTACTGTGGGAGATCGTAAGGGAATCGCGGTGAAAGGCACTTACTCATATCTATCTCCCGATGGACTGGAATATATTGTGTCTTACACCGCAGATGATAAAGGATTCAAGCCCCAATTGAGAGTAGCATCAAAGTCTGAATAAAGTTTTCTTTTAAATAATTTATACATTTTTATTTCTTGCATTTTGTGTCTATTATATGAGAAATGGATTTATAAATGACTATTGAAATACCAAAAAGTAAAAACATGCACAACTATTTTAATTTTAAAGCAACAAGACAAAATCAATGTATGAAAATTAAATGATCTAAACGAAAAGATTCCATAACACAAAAAGTATAACAAAGTTAAATAGATTAAATTAACAGTTGAAGAAAAGCTTCTCTTGGCTAGAGTTACAGTTTTTTAACAATTTTGTAGACTCCGTTTCTAAATTGTTTCCAACATAATTAATAATGACACGTGTATATTATGGACATAATACATATATTATTATGCTTTGACCTTACTTGTTGGATTTAAATTAATGAGAACCTTAAAGAATCAATATTTAAACGCTTATCTCACTTCGCATAGAAAACTTAAGCGATAATCAATTTGTTACTTTTCAACCGTTAATAAACCCGGGATAATTTCCAGATCCGTAACAAATCCACAATCTCAACGAATCCTTGTAGAGTTTCCTTATATATATATATATATATATATATATATTCGTCTAGTTATCTGGTTTTCCTGTTTAAAATAAAGAAAATCGATATTTGTTTATTATTGAAGAGGATTTCAAGCCTTTCCTTAATTGTTTGAAGAAATATTGTAATTTTAAACATTTTTAAACAGTTCCTTAGAACTAAGAAAGATAAAAATGTCACAATAAAAATGTCTTTGTATTTCCCTGGAGCCATATACCTTGATTTTTTTTTTGTATGTATTCATCTTTATATTGCATAATTTATAAATTAAACAAATAAAGTCAACTCACCGTATTAGCATTTATGAGTCACTGACATAAACTTTATTTATAAACAATTAGCTCAACCGGATTTATCTGAACAGGTGTAAACAAATGCAACTTAAAAAGAATGTAAAAAGTTTCGAAATGATAAAAAAGCTATGTTAAAACTTAAAGGATATACCTAAAGATTAATTTAAAATTCTATTGGAATTCGTAAATGTGTATGTTTAAACTAAAAAAATCATGATGTAAGTCAATCCTTCATTAAATTTTCTGTACATTCTCGTAGTAATATAAAGAAATTATAGTGTGTGTAGTTCCTTATAGTGAATAAGAACGCACAGGCATTTTTAATATTTTCACCATTCACATATAGTGTTAATTTAGAAGTAAACGTCAAGGACTGAAACGATTGGTTGTTCAAAAATCATTTTTGTAAAATATGCAATTTCGGTTAATTTACACTGCCTTGCAAAATTACAGTTACATACGCATTTGCTTTTGCAATGCAATTGCCAATTTTTTTACATTTCAGGATTTGGAGAACCAATAACCAAATATTACTGCATAAAGAATTTGCTCTACACTGTGCAAACACTTGTTTATCTATTTTATTAGTGTCTTTACTTAAATCTTTTGTGAATTTATGATTACTAAGCCCCCAATAATTGAATAATCTCTTATTTAAAAAAATCCATCTGTCAATGACATGTATTTTTGGTAATACACTCTACTAGATGTATTGTGATAAGATTTTTTAATCATCTAGGACCGAGATGTATTCATTTTCACATGTCAAACAAAAGTATTTTTATAACAAAATCTTGATATTTTATTTCACTTTTTTCGCATTTAGTTATATTTATTAAGTATTAATTTTTATTGTGTAGATAACATCTGTCTACATCGAGATGGGTTTCCCAAAAATAGCAAAGTATGTCGTATAAAAATTCTTGTTGAAAAGTTATGGCATTTATTGTACAACATTTATCTAAAATACAAGTTTGTATATTAGTTGTTTCATATTATGTAATACAAGATCCGTAACCTTATTTTATAATAGTTAATATAATATTTGGTTTAAGTGGGAGATAGTGCTCGTTCATTATATCAATTAAGCTTCTGGCTGGCTTGCGTCTTTGTTTTCAACGGGTTGATAGCCATTTTTGTCGGCCACGAAACTGACTGAGATTGTTTGACCATCAGGAGCGATGTATTTGTAGCTGCCCTTCACGGATAGACCTTGTTGCTCGGTGTCGTTTTTGTAGTCACCCTGCTCTTGCCTTGATGTTCCATCACTTGTTTCAAATCTGTAAATAATATTCAGCATTAGAAAATATTATGTTATTAGCAATTTTTATTTAAATATTATTAATTCAATTTTAAAATAAAAAAAGTGATATACAGTTTTGCTTAAGTTTTTTTCTTTCTTTAAAATCTTAATTTTTTTAATGATACATCACGGAACCCTAGAAATCGTAAAGTAAGACAAATTGTTTTATTTAACAACGACGTTAATATATGTGTCCTCACAATAATTTACATATTTATTCATAAAGTCAATAGATTGTGTGTGAGTAAATAAATATTTCTAGATGTTAAGTTTTATTTTATATTTTCTGTAGTAAAAAATAATAACTCATGTAATAAAATATGACTTAACGTCCTATTAACATTGAATTGTTACTTTTTGTTTGTGTTTATATGTGAAATACTATTATAAAATATCTAATTAAACAAAAAATATTATCATCATTATCAGTCAAGCGTATCCACTGCTGACCAAAGGCCTCTCCTCACTGGGAGAAAGTTTGAGCATGCATTATAACAAATTAAATTATTTTAACAAGGACTTACTCAAAATTGTATCCATTAACGTCAACTTCAGAGTCTTGTTTGACAATTTGGACTGGTTGAGCTTGCTCCACTGCAGGGTCTTCGGGCAACGCACATACAATTGTCATTATGACCAAAGAGAAGATCGTCTGAAAGAAAAGGCAGTTTGTACATATTATAAACTATGTGTTAAATTTAATTTAATATTGTTACTAATGAAAAAATTAATATTTTTGAAAACATCTGAAATTCTTGTAATTTTTTTTCTGACTTATTTTATAAAAAATATTATGCAATTGTAAAAAAGTAAACAACTGATTTTATTTTAATATTATATACAACTCACAATTTTCATCATCTTGATTCTTTTTTTTTTCACAACCAAATTAAACAAGTTGTAATAGCTGGACAAACCCTGAACGACTATGTTCTGATGTCTCCCGACGGAGCTTTAAATATTGTCATTTGTATTGACAATGCGATGTTTCAATGGCATAGCAGGTGTTAATCACAATCACGTAAACGGTTTATTTAAGAAGACCCACAAAAATTGTTGGTACATTACCTAAAAAGCGTACTTGCATACAACATTAACATTGAACGCGTGATGTCGAATATCGAAATAATATAAGATAGTCATGAAGAATTAATAAAGTTATAATTTACTGTTAGAACTCAATCTACACTTTAATCTGTGACCCTTAACTTCACTTCTATCCGAGGATATTATTAAATCAAACAACCGATAAATCTAATTTGTTCTAATTAGATAATAATGAAATTCATTTTGATAGGGCATCGAAATTTACCATATATAAATTTATATATAAAAGAATTATGTAATAACAAATAAATCCCATTCATTTCATATTATTTTCATATTACTAATATGTTTTAGTGTATACATAATATGCTAAATAATACAATTTTTATTTTAGTAAAGTACAATAATAAAACAAAAATATTAGTAAAATAAAAGTTAGTTAATTTAAAAATTCCTAATACTGATTAGTATTACTTATACATATGACCTACAGCATCTTTTATAAAGCACATTCCACATTGATTAAAGTAACAGTGACAATTAGAATATATGAATAAAACAATGTGAGTGTTTGTAATCGATAAATACCATCCTTAGTGTATCGGAAAAAGAATTCCACCATGTAAGGGAAAAAATTATCATACATTTCCGCTAATGACTAATACATGATATATAGTTAATACGAATACATCTCTAATATTTCAATAGAAAGATTGTATAACTAATGATTTGATAAGTTAATTGCAACAAACAAGACCTAAGTACACTACTTACAAGACCTGATTTTTGTATTTAAGTTAAACTTCGTTTAATTCTTGTTCGCTGTATGCTTATAATCTGTAATATAGTATAAACATATAATACAATATATTTCCAACCTTGGAAATGAAAAATATAATAATAATCGTGTACTTAAAACAATAGAACTAAAGAACAAATTAATTGATTACTATTAGCTGAAATTGAAGTGTAGTATATTTTAAGTTATAAAATATTTCTTCTTTTTTAAATAGATTCTTCATTCAAAAATCCTCTCACAAACAAAAACACTACTAGCCATAGAGTTCCCTTGAGCATTAGAATCATCTATTAAGGTAATATTCTGGAATAAAAATATAATAAATATAAGGGGATAAGTGTTAATTTTAATATGAATTTAATGCATTGCGAGATTAGCACTTACGTGTTACATATTCAAGGTCCAACAATTTGGTTTGCTTAACCTAAATATGTACTTATAAAGAAGCTCGGTCAAAATAGTTTTTTCTGTACATTATTGCAGTGCTTTAGTTGATCGTCGGTCGTTTTATTATCAATATTTTCAATTGTATATGTATAAATTTGTAAATTATATAAAAAATATTTACAATCCATTCGAGTTAAAAAAAATGTACGTATTCTGATATAATAAGGAACGGACAAGAGCCAATTTAAACGTTTTTGCTATTTAACACCGTCTTAAAATACATTTGGATTTTATTTACTTTGAAAGCTTAATTGTGAGATTCATAATATACTTGTAGGCCAAAAGATCAAGGTGATTTAGAGTTACCTATGTTAACAGATACAACTTTTTGGTATCCTTTTGTGAGTTAGCCAATAGAATCTGTTCATTTAATGATAAGAAAGAATTCTATGTAAAAACTACAAAACAGAATTTAATAAATGATTTGAGTGTGGTAACTTATATACCTATTAATATAACGAGTTTTGTTTATGCTCTTAATCCTCCGCAGAAGTAGCCCTGTAGACTAAATGCTGTATCATCATTATGAATGAATAAAGCAATGAACTTAAACTGAGACATAATTATTTAAAACTCATTGACTTTTATGATTACTTTAAAATAATTCAAACACTTATTGTTGAGACAAGAGAATGATAATTTTATTATTTTTATTTATAATAAATAAAGACATTTTATATCTAATATAAGCACCACACAAGATGCTTAATTCATTAAATAACAAAATATGTAACATCTAGAAACCTCTAAGTCTAAGCATGATGTATACATACACCTTATAATAAAATAGAAAGAAGACGAACACAACATAGTATATATGAATAAACTAAATTTGGTTTGTTTTAATACTTTTTGGTTGTGGTTATTGTTTTCACTATTATTTTTGAATTTATTTTTAATATCTTGAACTCATTTTGGTATATTTATTAATCACATAGTAAAATATAACAACGTATTAATTTGAAGATTTTACTCCTTAAATGACAATGATCTCAATTTTTAGGTAATATATAATTTAGATTAATTTTTAAAGGAGTAACATGTTATAGGGTTTTTGATAGAACTCAATACTTTCTCTGAGAAACTGAGAAATTGTGCGAACGCTGCAATACTACGTGAACATTCAGAATACATATTCTAATTGTTTACTATAAAATTATCAATGAATGTATTCTAATTGTATATTATACAATTATTAATCCGTAGAAAGATTCATTGTATATGCAAGACGTGGCAGTGATAGTTTCGGACCTGTGAAGTATTACACATGGGTGTGAAATAAGGCTTGCCTGCCTTTGATAAGAAGATGAATATTTCTATAGTGTTTATTTTTTGAATTTGTTAATAATTAACTTTAATCTACATTGTTATAATATAAAACAAGTTCTTAGACTTCTTCCTTTTTTTTGTAAACCTAGACATATGTATAAGACGGAACATAGCGACCAATACACGGGTGTCCGTGTATACTTCTATGAGATAATAAAACGTCTTTTTAAACATTATTATCATTCGTAGTTAAAATAATAACAGTTTGAAATAAATTCACAGACAAGACTTGTAACGGGTGTTTTTTCTAGAGGTATAGAACTTTGAAATAACATAAAACAAAAATGATTTTTTTTATTGATATGAAATATAATATTTTGGAAAGATAATATTCTGTCATTACAATTTAAATAAGATTTCAGGCATATGACCTCCACGGTTGGCTCGGACGTAGTTTAAACTGGAGGTCCAATTTTCAACGACTTTTTCCAACATTAGTGGCTGTATATCGGCAATAACGTGACGAATGTTATCCTCCAAGTGATCAATGGTTTCGGGCTTATCAGCGTAGACTAACGACTTTACATATCCCCACAGAAAATAATCAAGCGGCGTTAAATCATCGTTAAACAAAATTCGCTTATGAAAATTGGGATCAACGGCAATCTTATTTTGGGCCCATTCACAGAATCTACGCCTCGTTAGGTGATCGCGAGGCTTCAATTCTTGCACGAGTTGGATTTTGTAAGCACGCAAACCAAGATCTTTCCACAAAATCTTCCATCATCTGTGTCCATCAACACAGATTCAATTCCTGTGCACGATGGCGGATAGACTGATTCGGGTCTTCTTCTACGCTACGCTCTACAGCAAAAATAACTTCTTCTGTACGCACTGTACGACATCTCTGTGGATGCGTATTATCATTTAGAGGAAATGTAGTGCGAAAACGTTCCATTGTTAATCGAATTAATTGTTCTGATGGACGATTATGTGGATCGTAAAATGGACGTAGTGCGCGGTACGTTTTTCGAAACAGAGGCATGATTTTCAAAATAAATTTGCACAATTTGGAGGCGCTGTTCAGGCGTTAGTCTATTCATGATGAATTGCCAAACCAAATTAAACACAAATCACTGGACAGCTATCAAAATAACTGCCAGTTAAGAAAGTATTGGCAACTTAAAGTTGTATATCTCTAAAAAAACACCCTTTATAAGCAATCTATTGTACTTTTGACAGCGACATAGTGTTTTTTCATTCGTACAAAAGTATATATGTACTCGTATGTACATAATCATCACAACTAAAATATTTTAAATTTCTCTTGATTTAAGGTCTACTTTGTTCATATTAAATACTTTATTCATTAATGTTTTAAAACTCAACATTAAAGTATGGATCTGTTGTTATATAAATACGTCTTAATTAATAGAATTGAATACTCATATAGGCAGAAATTTGTGGGACGTGGTATACCACCCAACCAATGTTAATCATTTGATTTTCAGGTGAAAGCTACCAATCCATCAAAAATAATTTGGATTTTTTAATATGTACGATAACTCCTACATTACATCGATATCAATTTTTGTATAGTAAGTCGTAGCAGCAAACTACAAAATTGTTAAAAATTTTATCTTCCTACTATCGATGTTAACGGATCTCATTGCTGCGTTAGTTTATGCATAGCTAAGTATATGTTTTTGATTTGAAGAAGATTAATCAATTAAAATAGATATTTATACTTTTTCTATCGACACAGGAAACTACGTTAGATAGGATTTTTATAGTTGCCATCAAATTCAGAATCATTCGAAGTAGTATATACATATATACATATATATGTAGTATTTCAACAAAAGTATGAGTATTTGAACCCATTAATGATCAGTTAATATTAAAAGTCATCGTAAGCTTCGAAAAGTAATCGTATGAATTAATAACACTAATGAAAATTGTAGCATAACTTTTCTTTCATCGCCCTTATGTCCATGTCGAAAGTCTATATAATGAACAAAATACAAAACTTGTTCGTAATTGTCACACCTGCAGGAATAATTCAAAAATTGGATTCTTTTTATATACTGCATACTTTAAGCTCCTTTATTTAATATCTACTTAAAGAAATATTAAAAACATCTCTGTAATCTGAAATCTGGTTTCGACTTTATATTAAAAGTATATTTCATTTCAGGCTATCATATTAAAAATTGCTCCAAAAACTTATTTATTGTTTAACAAAAAAGTTTTGAAAACACTACAAGTAATTAAAACTTAAAATATTAAAGATGATAAACATTTTGAATGTCGTTCATTGTTTTGGACACGAATTTTCAATACCCATAAAACTACTACGTAGAATAAGTTTTTAACAAGTATATGACTCTAAAACAAAAAATGAAGTGGATATAATATCAGTACAAATTACACAAGTGCTTTGTTGATTAGTTCAACAAAAGCTTTGACAGAACATGTTGTCATCATATCATAGATGCAAAACATAAATTAAGCATTGTGTTTTCACTCACGAAATATTTCATAATAATATTAAAAAAGCTTGACCTCAAATCATGCGCAAACCTTAAAAACACTTCCTTATAACAACAATTTAAAAATGAATTAAATTAGGTTTCTTTTTTTGAGAATCTAAATAAGAAGGTAATACTTTGTAGAAGACTGTCAACCTTTTCATAAGGATGACAAAAAAGATTGAATGAGTGAATTTAACTATAGTTTATGATTCTATTTTGTGTAAACGAAAAATGACAAAATTTTTCTAGTTTTTTACCCAAATAATTTTTCACCAACTCTTCAACAATCAATAAAAATTTCGGCTTTTACGAAATAATGATCCTTAATCCAAACCTTTTTAACTCAACTCTTTTAAATTGTACATAACTTCATTAATCTGGTTTCTGGTAGTATTTAAAACGCTTTTGTTATATCTAAACAACGACTTAAATCAACTATAGCATATATGTATTTGATTTTCATTGTTCAAGTAGGCTGTTTACGGAAACATAATCAAATTGTTATTTTAAATAATGTTTGTTATGATAGTAAAAAAGCTGTGACGTCTTCGGAGAGTGGTGGAACGTATCTCAGCATGATGTCAACCTTCTTCAAATGCTGCATCTCTGTATATATAAAATGAACCACCACTCAATACTAACTCATTCGTTAGTTTGTGCTCACGAGGAATACTAAACACCATGTTCAAATACGTGAGTTTATATTTTAATTCAACGGTTAGATGCTTGGTTTTGATTCTTCGGAAACTTAATTTCAAACCACGGTTTCGTAAGCGGTTTCATGTAAACCACGAAATTGAAATTATAAACAATAGATCATAAACTATTTTTTCATTAAGTTTTCTTTACACACAAAAATATTTTACGTGTTCATGTTAAGCATTATTACTTAAAAATAAATTTTAAAGAACGTACGTTTGTACATCTATCTAATCTATCTATTTTTATTTACTTAACTGTGATAAAAAGAATTATCAATCTTTTATGCTTGTCCTTATTATATGCCTTATTATTTTCCCAGGTAACAGTCTTGTGTGTGCTGGTTGCTGTCTGTGCGGGAGCGCCACAAAACCCTCAGGATGTTCAGATTCTTAGATTCGACAGCGACGTGCAACCCGACGGATACAGCTTTGCGTAAGTAATTTAATCAACTTTTCATAAGGCCCCGACTGTACTTAAAATTAAAGAAAAGGGTCTCGTTAATACAGAAAAATATTTTAGTATAGAAAACGCATATTGATATATTATTTAATTTATGCTTTCGTAAAACAAAATACGATGCTCAGAGTAACTGACATAATATTTGTTGTTGTATTACTATTTAAGTACTTCAGTTAACTTCAGTTAAGTAACTTCAGTTAAGTCCAGCATATTACCTAACAAACCTAAACCTATTCACAATCCGTCGCGTAATCAGCTGCAGCCTCTTTGAACTTTAAGATATCACGTTTGAACTTCCACATTTGTTTGGGGACGACCTCAAGTTGAAGAGATCTTAACGATAAAAACATCGTGTTGTTTATTTTGGATTACGTGGTATATTGTTAGTCGAATACTTTTATTATTGAATAGATTTGTAATCAAACAATCATGGAAATTATACATCACCTGAGTATTCCGGCTTGAATTCTGTCCTAATTTTTGTCACAGTATAATTTTTAATACTATATATTCAGTAAACACTTTTACTGTAAAATATTTAACCGTAATATTTTAATATTAATTTTCACAAAAACTTTAACGTTGCTATAAAAATATTTAAATAACTCTTAATTTATTTTATAGCTACGAAACTAGCGATGGTACATCCAGGCAAGAGGAAGGCAAACTTGACAACCCACAATCTGAAAACGCAGCTCTAACCGTCAATGGTCAATATTCCTACGTAGCTCCCGATGGTAAGCATTACACCGTCACCTTCACCGCGGGACCCAACGGATTCCAACCCAAGACCTCCCTGGGACAGTAATATAGCGTTAATTTGTGATTGTGTAAATAATATTCAAGTATCGTGTTTTCATTTCTATCTCTCTCGTAATATCACCGATCTCAATGTTCACAATTGTAACCCATACGAGAATATATCTTACCTGTGCCATAGGATACCTTTTTTATGATTTTGTACCTAACTTTTTCTAAATAAATAATCAAGGTTATTTCCTTTTTCCTCAAAGGTTTTGTTCTTTTATTTATTCGTCATCTTACACTTTAAATATAATCTATATATATTCATAAACTACCGATATACATAAACATATATAACTAAATATATATAGTAGATATAAAACTAAGGTAGGTAGATTCTCCAGTTAATGTCTTATTCCAAGACTAAAAAAAAACTACATAACATTTTATGTAGACCTAGTTAATGTTTTAAAATAACATATAATTAAAATCAATACAGTCACGACATAGTGTTTTCGTATTACAAAATAAAAAACACTTCGGGACAATAGTCGCAATTACATAAAATTTCAATGACATTTAAATAGGCAACCTTCTATTAAAACGATATAAAAATAAACATCTTCAATTCTAATTAGGCAAACATTAAGTTTAAAGTAGCACAACAAAAATATTCTTAATCTTAAAGGTCGTCCTAGCGTTAAAAGTCAGTGTGTCATTGATTTGATGTTTTTAATATGCGATTGTTCAGTTAGTTAAAAAAAATTGTAAAGGTTTTTTCTAGCAAAAAATATATACAAACATATATATTCTTTAACTTATACAATAGGGACCGAGTCGTAATTACCTCACAAAGTTGTTCTATGCATTTGTGTCATTTAGATTTATTTACACACAAGCAATAATGCATTTGTTGAAGAAATTTCAATATGCAATATGTCGTAAATGCTAAATGCCAATACACGTTCATACGTGTAGGTCTGATGAATCGACCGCAACAATTGATGTTATTATGGATTTTATTATTAATACTTAGATATAGCACAACCAAATAAATAATATTCAAAATCTTATCATATCTATCCTATAAGTTATATATTATCTGCATCTTTATTTTGAACTTTTCTTTTGTTTCTCTAGCTATTTATCTATCAAATGGTCTTTCAACGTGTTAAAAAACTTCAAGCATGTGAATTTTAATCACTTCTTTTTGTTTTGTAGAGAAGACAAAATCTAATTGTAATAACTTTATTTTGATAGATGGTAAAAATTTATTAAAATAGTAATTTTAATATTTTTTATTATTTTATTATTACCAGTCTCTCATAAAGATACGTGCAGACATCAAAAACCTTATACTTTTGTTAAACTCATTTGAATAGAATATCACTCATAATAATTGGTCAATGTTTTGTAATTATTTTTTAGACACATAAAATAATGTTATATCATTTTCATTATAATGAATAACCTTAATAAGCAATGACGATTTTTCAAATAACTATTTAATGAGTCGTAAGTTTCGAAGCCTTCAAATTATGATGTGCTTAACATATGTATTTAAAATATGAAAGAAGCAATTAAAATTGCAATTATTTATATCCGAGCCTGGATTTGGAAACAAAATCAAATATGTCTGTATAATTTACTATGTCGAAAATTTATTAACATTTTCAATTGCTACATAATAACATAAAAATCTGTACATTTATTTAAAAAAAATATTGGACATCAAAGCAACAATAAGAAACCTTCGTATTCATAAAATATAAGGAAGAACTATGGGTATTATTCGTAATCACTTTCAATATGGAATTACAAGTTTGTTGCGGGATTGCTTTGGAGGTAATTTGTCTATTTTCGTAACAACATCATTAAGTTATAATAATTCCATCTGTAGTTTAATTAACTGAATATTATTCTGCTTTTTGTCTGTGTAGTACTCACTTTTTCATATCATGCAACTAATAAGCTATGACGTAATACTATAACAAGATAGAGAAATCGTGTTTTATTTTAGGAACTAAAACATTCGATATTTGCCCTTTAACACGAAGAGTTAAAATTCTTTTAAAATAGTTAATATAGTTAAAACTAAAACTGACTTTATTTAAAAGTAATTTACATATTGACAATTTATATTTTATATCATTACATAATCATAAGATATATTTAGTTCTCATTTTTTTTTTAATTAAATTGATGCGTGCATTTAACAGTCTCTAATAATAAAAGTATTAATGCTCTGAAAGAACTGGTTTTGGTAATATAATTTTAATTTTTGCTTTTTATTCTCTTATGCTTTCTAGCCTATATGTTTATATTTTATTTGAGTACACGACCAAAATCACATATTGTACTGTATTAACTTAAATATTTTGTGTTACATGTCTGAAATGTCAGTACACTCTATATAATTCAATTATTTCCAAAGAGGGTTCATGTCAAGCAGGCGGCCAGTCGTAAAAATAATTAGCCAAAACTATTTACAACATGTAAGGCAGACCCTGACTAACAATTTAAAAATTTGTGACAAAATACCATGTTTACCGTGTTTTCTAATATTTCTCCTATCAACTTACACTTAGCAATTCAACATAGCTAGCCAATGCTCTCATATTTAAGTTTTTATTGTGAAATAAAGAGCAATAATTTAATCTTGTAATTTAAATACTATATTATTATTATTTTTTTAGGTGGTAGAGCCTAGCTCTGGTCAAGTTACTACAGTTCGAACATGGGCTGTCTCGACCGGGGAAGTACTACCCTCTCACAGAAGATCTGCGAGAAGTAGCCTTTAGTGGCTGCGTTTCATCCGATGAGTGAGAGAACCGGATGCCTTTTTCCTATTTCCACCCTTTCTTGCTATTTTCCTATTCCAACCTATCTTTTTTCCTCGACAATCAAGGTTGGCAACATTATCATCATCACATCGGCAACATCTATATTTCGGATTTCCATGGGCGACGGTCACTACTGCCCATCAAGTAGGCCGTCTGCTCGTTTGCCACCTTCGATATAAGAAAAAAATCATAATAACAATAATAATAGCTGCAATCCATTATTATTAATGTATATTTTTGTTGTTTACGTTAAGACTTTAGTGACACAAAAAATATAAATGAGACGTAAAACTTATGTAACCTAAAAGTTTTACGTTCTGAAGTAACAATCGTAAAATGTAGCAGATGAAATGTATAGGGTTAAATTTTCTCAACATGACGCCTATAATAATATAAGAACTCCAACAACGCGATAGCTATCTGATAACTAATAACTAGTAATTCATCAGACCTGTGTTCCCTGAACATTTATGCTTTTCATTACAATTTCCTGTGGGTTATTCTAAAATAATTTCTTTTCATCTTATTTCCTTTTTTTAAATAAATAATATTTATTATTAAAAAAATAATATTGTTATTAAATATATACGAAAATTTATGAGATAAATACGAAATTGACCTTACATTTTATCATTAGCAATGTCAACGTTCCTCTGAACTGTATTTCAGAAAATAAGGAAGTATTTTTAATATATTAATAATATTTTCCCTTTAATAACGTTGTCTACTCGAGTTTTTGCTATATAAGAGATTTTTTGAGTAAACTGATTTTTTGGTATTGGAGGATTTCCTAACATTGACCGCCGCACCATTACCAATCAATTGGTCGGATTCCTGTTCATTTTATAATCCAGCTTAAGCAGGATGGTACGGAAGAATTAGCAAATGATTTGAGCCAAGTACGATACACCAAGATTTTTGTTTGTGATTTTCTGAGTCATATAGCCAGGCAGAATACAAAGACGGGAGCTCCACCGGACTCCCGCAATCAGTGAGGGGCCCGGTTTGTTGAGAAAGCCAAGTTGATAACCGAATGAGAACACCCGATCCCGTCAACGCTGTACCCGTTAGTTTCAAAACTCACCAATGGTTCACAGTCTAATGAAGTCAAGCTGAAAAGCCACTGTACCGCCTGTTTTTAAGGTAAGATTATAAAGATTATAGTAAAATTATAGAACGTATATTGAATGCACACCCCATAGTATAACGAGAAGACAATGAACTTCTCAGTGATCGAGAAAAAGGCTTCGCGGAAACCGATCAACTAGGGATCTTTTTGTATACGTCACATATTTATGGGTATATGTAGCCTTAAGAGATTAATGGTGAAGCACACTTGATGCTTTGAAGGCTTTTAATAAAATCCTGCACCAAGCCTTATAACTTATTGGTAAGCTATGTAAATACTAATATTTACTGATCTCATTCGTCAGATTTCTGATCAATCATGCTCTGAAAGTAATTGTTAATAGATTGTCTTTTTATTGGCAAGAAGTGTCCGTTCAGCTTGACTCAAACATTTCAGAATGCACCCTTGGAATACACCAATCACCTTCGGTTATTACGTTTTAAGGTATTTTGAAAACTTTTCTTTCGGTGGTTCTTTGAGTCCCAATATAAGGTAGAAGAAACGAAACTGAGTGGTCTTGCAAAAGTAGTTTGGAACAACATTAATATTAATTAATATCCAACTAGAAGTGAAAACTATTCAAAGAGATTGCAGCTCGAATAATTTAACGATATCCTTAGAACTAACCGTCCTTAATTTCCCAAGAAATACTCAATCCACTAACAAGTAATATTAAGTACAAGACACATCCATCTCCATCAGACGCCAATAAAAATTATAACTCTTGGTTACTAAAAAATATATTAAGATGACAAAATTAGAAAACACTTCGTTTAAGTTAGCATTTTACACATTTGGTACAACTTGAAACAGTCGAGTCTAACAAGAGATATAATCTGTTTAATCATATATACAAGTCAGTTAACCAATTTTATTTAACCAATTAGCGGCTCAGGCCAAATTCCTAGGTGCCATCGATTTTAAACTTTTGTCTGACCTACCTATATCGAAGTCGGTTTGATATGAAAAAAAGTCATCATAAATAACACATATCGTTTTATACAAAATATTTCAAATATAACCTTATGCTCCTAATTAAATATTTAATCAATACAAATCCTTGTAAACAGTTTGATGATATATTAGTGTCATTTCGCAAAACATCTCAGATCCGATACGACGACAGAAAAACACAATAAACGTGATATAATGTTCGTGATCGCTTAGATTTCCTGAATAGAATATTTTTGCACACATTATTATTTTATACAAAATTGTATACTTCTTTTAAAAATAGTATTTTTATAAATACAATATTAATGTTTAAGATAACAAAATGGTTAAATTAATTTAGCATAAAAAATATAGATTAAAAATACATTTCAAGAAAACTTTTCTATTTATTAAAAATATTTAATATACTCAACAGAGCTGTATGTATGTTTATTTCACATTAACTATTAAATAAATTATTTGTAATTTTATAAGCTTATGACATATGTACATATATATTAACAATAAGTATTTAACATTAAAACTAGGAAACATTATTGTGAATGGAACCTTATTTGTAGCATCATAAATTCTGAACAAATAAACAACAATAAATCCATAATAACTTACTATTAAAGGGTAAAAAATCGTCGTCTCTTTTAAAGTTTATGTGAAGATTATTTATTTGTCTAGTAATGTGAAATTTCTAAGAGTATGTTGCACTGTGTTCGTTCTCCTATCACGATTAATAAAAATCTTATTATAATTAATTTTTTTCCATTTCCCTATTCAGTAAGTAAACAGTTTTAATACCGCAGTAATTCATTCATGTTCTGTTCTATTTAAGATTTTAGCTAATAACCTTCCTCAAAATAAATGAGAAGGTAATGCTTTTATAAGAATAAACAGAATTTAATCTTCGTTTATAGTAAATTGACCTTCATTATTGTGGTAATTGTTGAATAAACATATAACACTTAATAATGACCTTTGTCAATTAGTTGGATCTGTATTCTATAAATTCAATAAAATAGACCTGTAACGAATTGGGCTACAGATTTAATGGATAATTGTTTGCGTTTCTTTTTATCTCTACTCGACTCAGATTTCTATATTTATTTTTTAAATATACATAATTTACAATATAAATATTTTATAATTTATGCACCGGTATCATACAAAAAAGGATATAAAGACGATACCTCCAGGTTAACGCGTTCTAATTAGTTTGTCAATTGACCTACATTTAAACTTATAATAGCCAATCCTTTTGAAAGAAAGTTGTCTTACTTCAATCACTTAAAACTATGTTCTGGCTCCTACAAATAAGAAGGTATCAATCAATAGACCAAATAAGATAATTACAAAGAATTTGGAAACTTTCGGTGGAATTTAATATTTTCTAATCTTCTAATTAAACGTCAAACACTCATGTACATTGTCACAGGAACATGAATATCGTTATTAAGAACTGTATGTTTGCTTTACACAAGTTCCCTTTATTACACTATACAACACACTCAGTCTTTTCAGTATTTTATGAAAAATCTACACAAATTTTATAATTTGAAAAGATTTATTAATGAAAAACTATTAACGGTCCGAAAGTGTAGTGTGACAAAACTTGGAGTAAACATACTTCATAAGTATCTGAAAATACTAGATTGCACACAATTTTACATTATCATATTACTGTATCCATTCACATGCCATTTTTATAATGGATTTTTAAACATTAACATGAAAGATATAGTATACTTAAAATATAAAGTAAAGTTCTTATAATATAAAGTTTATTAACAATGTCATGAAAATGTAATGGCTAAAGAAATGGCTAAAGATGGTCTAGAAATATTTCTCTATTTATACTGTTTACAAGTTTTTATAATATAATAAAACAGTGTTGAGAAGTTATATGTCTATAAAGATATTCAAAATATCATTAATAAATATATTACTAAGAAAAAGCAATGGGACACAAAGTTACATAATCAAGAAAATAATTAATACGTACATTATGTGTACATAAACATACATACAATTGTATTTCTGCTACTACAGATTTCTTAAACGGTTCTGGTTATGTACATATTTTTAAAAAAATTCCTGAAATACGTCCTTTTTTTGGTTACAAGTAACATTTCTTTACTCTTCTGCGGGAATAAATAAAATAAAATGATTTGATTTTACGTCTTAATTTTTTATCAAAATATGATTGAAAACAATCTAGCGAATTAAAACATTTAAGAAACATTTAACTTTATAATGACGACACTAAAGTATAGGGCAGAAAACTACCAGAGAATAAAACGTAGAATATACAGATCTGATAATAATAAATCTTGTAAGTTTCACACGATCATCTCTGAGAGTAAATTACTTTTATTTTATTATAAAGTTATTCTAAGTGCTAGTATGTATTTACAATATACGAATTACAATACGAAATTATATACTTCAGAAGACAAAGTGGCCCGATTTTAAAAATGTTTATTCACAAAAAAGGTCCTAGTAAATAGAAATGAAGCAAAGTACTGGACTGATATCCTGTCACATTTCTTCCCCGAACGTAAAGGGTAAGATGCGAAATTTCACTTTAATTGTCGTCTTATAATACACTCATGTCAAGTATTAACAATATAAGTGTAGGTAAAAATCTAACTGTGAACCTTCTTATTACATAACGCGGTTCTGGGGTGAAGTATTAATAAATTTCGATGATGATAGAAACGATCAGTCTAGTGAGAACTGTTGTACATACAATAACGTTATATCGAGGATGAAAAAGTAAGTTATTTTTTCAAATTTTATTATACATATAAATTAAAAGCAATTTAATTAAAATCAATATCAATCTAACTTATATCTATCTGAAGGTATCTTTTTCATTAAGTTTTATTTAAGCAGATTTCATTTTAATTAATATATAATTGAACACAAACAAGCATTGTTTACATTTCGATTACATCACTAAAGTAAGGTAAACAAACATCAGACGTTCAAAATTACTGGTCTCAAGAGCTTATGGATACCAAAAGTATTGAGGACATTTATTTTAACATATTGACTAATGTCATGAATGAATGAAATTCGCTAGTTCTTTGTCGTAGCCTTGAGATTCCTCATCCGCTTAGTATTCTAAGTTACCTACATTTTAAAACAATATTTTTTGTGTTATAGTGTTTATTTCCAAATAATAGTAAATGAATTGAAATTATATTTCATATGTGTTATAAAAAAGGTGTCGTCATATTAATTGCTATATCAGGTATTCTTAAAATTCGAACACTACGTTTATTGTAATTTTTTTTTTTTGAAATGATTAGTATTCAAAAATTATTTAAAAGAATTTATACTATGAATACTATTTTTATTGCCCTTTTACTTTCTAAAAAGAAAAAAGTATTTTAATTATGTAAGTGATTATTACAATAATTTTCTTCAATTATTTTATTTTTATACAACTCACATTTTTAATTATTAAATAAGATGAGAAAAATTTCAAAATGTTGTAATACTTTTATTGATCAATTAGAAAATTCCTGCTTTTAAGAGCTCAATAAAATCATATGATATGTATAAGGAAATTATATTTACTTATATAAAATTAAACTTAATTAAATGTCAAATAAATCAATTCTGTTTATAAAATACATCTGAATGATGGTAAGTTAAAATACTCGTATGTTTTAGTAGGGTTTTTTTTCTTACAAAGATTTTAATCTTTAGTGTCTAGTTAAAAATATCATTAAACCTTAATTTCGATTTATCCAAGTAACTTAAAAACTGTAACTTGTAATTATTAATTTTAAAATTATATCAAAATTATATATATCAACCTAAAATAACAATAGTTTACCTAAATATTAACTTCTGTATTCTATTGCTCTTAAAATTTTAATTTTCTTTGTTTGCAAACATAGTAAAAACTATTTGATTCAAAGCAGTCGCTAATAAACAACCATTATTTATTTCATTTGGCAAAAATTTTGAATTAAATTTATCCATTTATTGAATGTATGTAAATGTGTATATATATAAGAGAAACTCGTGTTAATTACACTATTGATAACTCAAACTCGGGTGTATGGATTTTTTATCAAAACCAAAAACAAATTAATATGATAAAACCCAAATTCTTCTTATTTACTGTCTTTTATGAGGAACAGAGTTCATCCGGTCAACTATACATTTCTACTTTTCAAACTTCCACAGACAAAGTCGCGTGCAAATACTAGTATGTTATATACTTAATTATAATTCACGACCTATTCCTATTTCTTTTTGCCCGTATCAGCAAACGTTATATGACAATAACTAAGCTAAACTCTTGGATTCATAATATATTTCATTCTAAGAGATGTACAAAATATTATTTAATAACGTTAAAAAAGCACATCTCTTTTGAATTTGCCAGGTATTTTTTTTATTTAAATGTTGCATTATTGTTTCCAAGTCATGAATATTTATTAATTTTGTATAGATTTTAGTTTCTACATTCTTGGTTTATCCTACGGCATTCATTTTTATACTGTTTATTTCATAAATATTTTTATTTGGCTATCGTTATCCTGTAGAATTATCTAATGTCGTGATCAAAATATTTTTTAAAACACCTCCACCACAATGAATTAATTTAATATGTAAATAAATTATTTTTATATTTTATTAACTTTTAAAATATTATTCAATTAATTGTAATTTTTAACTTATTATTATAATTAGTTATTCCCTTCTTGATTTTGGTAAAAGAATTCAGATATTTTTCAAGTAAAATAGTTTGACAAATTTATAATAATTTCAAAACTTTTCTATAGGTCGTTCCTTAACTTATACCTATGGAAAAAAAATTCATCATTAACTTTTTATTATTATTCCAATTAATCATCCTTAAAGTGGTTAAGATGACAAACTTGTGTACTTTTTGTCACGTTCCAACAAAATATCCGGCTGGCAACTCTTTTTAAACTTTATGAACACGAAATAAATGTAGGTTTAAACCACTTTGATGTTCCTCAAGATAAAAATATAATGTGAACCTTTTTCAGAAAAAAAATATATTTACCTTAATATTATATATTATCTTTAGTTAAAGTCTTACTAATCATTTATTGTTTATCCTTTCAGATGGCATATTTAGGAATATTTTTCTTGTTTATCTACTGCGTTTACTTAACTCAAGCAGCTGATAAATATACCGATGAGAACAGACCTTACGAGTTTGGGTTCACAATAGAAGGAGAGCAGCACAGACACGAAAAAAAAGGTATATTTTACATCAATAAGATTGCATGTATTAATAGAAAAGCAAGAATCAAAACTCTTTCACACCAACGTTTTTTGCAAAGTACCGACTAGATAAGACGGTTTTTTGGCTCAATTAAATAATAACGTGTTATTCAAGATTAGGTATGTAAATTAAGTATAATCACGATGAATCAAGTTTTTTTATTTATATATATATATATATATTTAAAGCTATAAAAAAATAATATTTTATTTTTAATACATACGTTTCCTGACAAAAGTCTTAATAAAAATGCCAGAGACATAGCGACGCCAACGATAGCATCATTAGACATGGCTTTTAAATTTACATAAAACTCTCATTGATACCTAAATTTATGTATGATTATTCATAATTTAGGAAACGAATATTTTTTTTAAAGCAAACTACAAACAATTTTAGCAAAACTTTATTATTCATTTTTATTAAATGAATATAAAATATATATATATTTAAATTTTAAAGTTTCAAACAATATAATTGAAACATTTTACATATATTTGGTATTGGTTCGTTTAACAAAATATGTTCAAGGTATTTTCCGTTAGCACAAAGCAACGTGCTAAGCAATTTAATAAGTATAACAATATGCAAAATCAATATTTTATGCATGTGTACTAAGTGTGTATGGAAGTAAAATGTAGTCATAGTAGTAGGATTTAGCATTATCATTTGAATTTTGAAATATCTAAACCAATATTCTAAATATTAAGTTATATTTACACCAACAACTTTTTAGACCATAAACACTCATTCTATAAAAACCACATATATGGAGATAAAAAATAAATACCTATTTCATTGTATTCTGAAAAAATGTTTACAGATGAAAATGGGATAATCATGGGTGAATTTGGTTTCATCACTGCTGATGGAGTGTATCACGTAACAGTTTATGCTACCGACGAAAATGGGAATTTTAAAATTTTGTCTATGAAAAACATCAGAGTCAAACCATGTAAGTAAAAGAAGATACTGAATTGAATTCCTAGATTTTTTCGTGTAATTTTTCCATTTACTTTGTTTACTAACTTTAATATAATGGTTAATGAATTATTTTGGTTCATAAGAATCTAGTCGGTTTGCGTACAATTGAAGGTAATTGCGGTATTATGGTTAGAGAAAAGAACAGAAAAAAGAAAGCACAACGATAAATATATCAAATATCTTAAAACCTCCTTGAATTGGGGTCCTCAATAGAAAAACCGAATCCGATTCAATTAATTCTCAAGGAATCAAAATTTGGATGTTTAAAACAAAATGAAGAGAGTTTAAAAATTTTAGATCATTCCTATTTACTTGAGACCATTAGGTTATTAAAGGTAGCACTATCGAATGAAGCGCAGTTTCAAATTAATTTCACAATAAAATCTTAAAGAGCCTCAAAAACCAAGAAGTCCCGAAAAAGGCACACTGTATATCAGGACACGTTTAACCTATACAGCTTCATTTCATATTTATTAATACTAAACTTACATATCTGGTATATCTAATTATTACCTAACCTCATACACTTGATTTAGATCAATGACCGTCATAAAATATACAAAATTAAAATGTGTAAAGGAATGTAATTTCCTTAGTATGTTGTTTATCAGTATAATATTTAAGTCCAATTTAAGTCCAATATTTCTTGTTACAAATCTTCTTTCGTCACAGATACACGTATTATTCTGAAATATCTATAATGAGCAATTCTTTACATATCTAGTTTATTCTGAAAATCAATCAATAGTCTATGCCTACTATGTACAACAGTAATTAGGTAGTTCTCAAAAAACAATTCAAAATAATTTATAATGTTTCAGATCCTACATCGTCAGGCGCGGAAGCCAAAAAGATAGCCTCTGTAAATAATTCTGCTAAGACGAAAGATTCAATCCCCGAACCATCTAAGCAAGAAACAATTATTAAACTTGAACCTCCATCACCTGCAAAATCTTGTTCTCATTGTAGTCTCCCTGCTACTACTACATTATCACCAAAGTTATCAAAGGAAGTTTCATATACTTCTAATAAACATTCATTAGAAAGCATTACACCATTTTATGGGAACCATGCTCAAATGAAACAAATGTCAATATCAGAAAATATAAATCATATGCAGCAAAACTACGATTCAAGCACTACTTCGTCGTCCTTTGAGAGTCAATATAATAGTGAACAAAAACAAATCAATCAGAATATTGAAAAAGAAAACTCTATCGTGAATAAGAACGTTAATTATCAGGAATATAACGAAAATTCACGGTCACCCCAGGCCTATTCCCAGGAAATTGTAAACGGATATTCACAAACGGGAATATATTCTAACGGATTATCCCAAAACAATGATCGAGGTAGTGAAGAATTATTGGCTCACCAAAATATTCTTCCTAATACAGAGCAACAGAAATTGAAACAAGAAGAATCGCTTCCTAGTAATGGAAAAAATTACAATGTTGCTCCTGAAACTGAAAATGTATCACCACTGTCTAATCACAATATTTCTCCAATTTCAAGACATTTAGAAGGCCCTATAAATAATGATAACTATTTACAGAAACAAAGCACATTAGAAAAAAAAACAACTTCCCAACCTGGGAACTGTAAGCATTAATCAAAATAACATCCAAAATCACGCAAAAGAACAACAAGAAACTCAGAAGAACGGAAACCAAATTAATCATGACGATTTACCAAGATATCCTACTGAGTATAACACTGATCAACAAACGATGAAACAACAAGACGAACCTGTTCATTATAATGTAGGTAAACTTCCTACTCAAATAAATACAAAAAGCGACAGAAACCCAAAAACTTTTGCTGACTTTATTCAGGAAGCAGTAGAACCTGAAAAAGCAACAAATACAGGTCCTAACATATATAGACCATCTTTACCAAACTTAAGTGAATTTTCTGGTAAACCTGAATTATTAGCAGCACAAATTCAAAAAGTAGATAAAAATACCGATATAAATCACTTAAATCCTGGTGAAAGTATCGGTCTACCCAATGGAATAACCAAAGATGATATGTCTAATCTCCTTTACACCTTTAATTATACAGTAGGATTTCATGGTCATCATGAGAAAGGCTATGAAAATGGTGTGAAACAGGGTTATTATTTTGTAACTGGTAGAAATGGTATAAGGACAAGAGTTGATTATGTAGCCGATGAAACTGGTTTCCATCCAAAAATCACTCAGGAAGTTTTAGATATACTTTCAGATGACGTACCCAAACCTGAAACAGAAAAAGATGAAAAATATGGACTCAAAGGATATGAATTCAAATGGCTGTACTTTCCACTTGAAAAGCATTCAAAATAAAAACTATTTTTTTAACATATCTGGAACTAAATACGAAAACTGTGTTCATTATATTCTGAAACTTGTTTTATAGTGGTATTATATAATAAAACAAATACACTGCCATATACTGCCATTTAAGATAGTTACAAATATAAATGTATTCTGATAAGTAAACTACATATATTGTTTATTTAATTTGGTATTTTTATTATCCTTATTTTTTTATTGTTTTTAATGAGCTTAGTGTAAAAAAATACTTTTTAATTCAATAGCTCTCACGACAAGGATAGATCAATGTCGTTAGGGTTTGATACGTTTACTAAATTTTTATTATTACATTGTACATTAAGAAATATTTAGAACACTCTGAGATTAATAAAAAATTTGAAAATTGTATGTAGTAAAAAATATTCTATTAAAATGAAACTTTATAGAAGAAGGCGACATCTAACGTGTTATTTGTTCTTATATCAATTAACCGGTTAGTTGAAGAAAAGTTATATGCGTAGTAAATGAAGTAGCATATAGAGGGCGTTTATACTGATTTATTAAATTATTTTGCGTTTTCAGTGACATCAACAATCATATGACAATTTAGCAGTTGAACATTGTCTCCTAGTTAATTTTAACTAGTTTCGGATATCTCAAAATAATAAATAAGGTATTTACTTGTTCCCTTCACATTTGTGATAAAATGTGTAAAACTTTAATACATAATATCTTTTAAAAATATCAAAAAATCTTTAAATATTAAATGTTTTTCTGCTCTTATATCCATTTGATGAAATCAATTAACTCAAACTTGCAACTAGACTTGACAGGCTAAGTTAGTTAAAATGTAAATTAGACAACTTTTCCAAATGAGTTCGAAGTCACACACAAAATTCTAATATCTAAATATCTTTTGCCCAAAGTATACATATAATATACGAAACATCCTAATGAATAAAATTAACGGTTACAAAGAGCAGAAATGTAAGAAATGACAACGGTAACAACTCTTATAAGTATGTAATGTGGCGAGGAGAATTCAAACGTGTCTCGGAATCATTAAAAAAAAACCATTTAAACCATTTATTTGCTACACACATACATTACATAGATTATACAGACGAAAATAATTAAATTTAAAGAATACAGTGTAGGAGCAAGGGGTTCATCTCAGTATAAGCTGTGCTAATGCACAGCACTGGTTTTCAGATGGCCCCTGACTATTGGGTAAACATACACAAATGCGCGACACGAAAATAAATAAATGAAATTATAAGAACAAAAAACTAAAAAGCCCTTATCCATGAGAGAAAAAAAAACATATCACAAAAAGAAAAACATCAGAAGGAACTTAGACATAAGATAGACAGACAGAATCCAAGTAAGTACATTTTGTTTTGCAAATGTATGACTAAAAATTTGATCACAGAGCTCATATAAGAACTTGAGAGAAAAATTTCCCTGGGTTCTAATAACAGTAAATGGAACAGAAGACGTTTCTTAAGATGGCACTCCAACACCCGAATTCTTGCGTAACAAAAATTGGTACATTGGTTTAACCCTTGTTCTTTAAATGGTCATGAAAAAAAGCCTATAGAATGTAAAGGAAGGGGATACGCCAATTATTATTTTTTTACACCAAAATGCAAGTTTTGCCACTTAGTGAGAGATTTGGATTTGATCTAAAGATATTGTGTTACCTTAAAGAGAAGTCTTTTTTTCAGAAGCAAATAATAATAAATCTTCCTTAGATTCTATAATAAAGATCATACCCGATCATCCGCACTGTTGTTGATTACATACGTAAAAAATTTTTCCTTAACTTCCTACGATGACTATTGTAGGAAAACTTGATTTCAAGTATATATTCCATCTACTTCCATATACTATGGCCGTTATGTGAATCTAGAACTAAATATGAAACCTTTTTCCTAGGACATAAGAAAGACATTTCATTACTAATACCATATAGATTTATTACGCTGTCTTTTAAATTTCAATATAATTTACAATCTTGTTACATAACTTATTTAAAAAACAGTTTACAATTACGTAATATACGCATGATATAAACATAATGTCACTAATGTATAACTTTGTTTTCATTATTCCATTAAAATTAATTAATTTATGAATTTAAATATTTTCATAGTAAATTGTCATGATATCTTAATGTTGCAATTACTTTATACAAATAATTCATTAAACTTATTTGTCTTTCCTGTATATTTAAACATAAGATTAAAATTTTGTGTATTTTCGTGAAGCACGGCTTAAAAGAATTTTTTGTTTTTGTTTTGCTACCTCCATAAGTACCAAAAAATAGATGTAACTACCTACGTAGCAAAGATTAAAACTTATTTATCTTTTATTACATATTACAAAAAAAAACCAACGGTTTTTCAAAGACTTTAAAATTTGTTCAAAATTCATTAATGAACACAAAAACAAAACGGAGAAAAAAAATTGACCGTCAATGATTGAAACGTAAAAAGTGACCTTAAAAAATATATATGTAACCAAAACATTCTTCGATAAAATATTATAAAGAGTTCACCCACCAAAGCGATTTACGTTGGATAAGAACTGTAAGTACATTGCGTAATATCAAGATAGTGAATGAATGGGATTTTGCTTGTGGATACTATCTCTGCGTACTTTTAGCGAGACCCGCAGTACTAAGAGAGACAACGCGTGCGCAACACGCGTTCATTGCCTGAACCAAAACCGATGCGATCGCGAACACGACGTTTTGTCCCCTAATCTTTTTGTTCTTCAATTTCTTTAAATGGAAGTATTGAGGGCACACCTCATTTCCCATTGTTGCGATTCTCTTTAACATGCTGTGAATATTCTTTGTTATTTTACAATACGAGTGTTAGTTCTACTTTCGTAAATTTAAATAAAACAAATCCTCTGTGAATATAAATTTTAAACGCTTCATTACTTGCTATATTTGATACGGATCTCAGGACTTACATGAGGTGGGTTATTGCCAAACATAACATTAACAATAACAATATTTTCCAACCAAAATCTCAACTTAACCAAAAACACTATTAATAAATAATAACACAATGGCAAGATACTTACAATAAGAGTAGATAAAGTTACTTCATTAGAATTACTAGCTTACTGATATTTTTAAATTAATTATTATTTGTATTAAACCTGTGAATAAATAAATTTATAATAAATATTACATAGGTACAAATATAAAATAAAAAATATATAAACTCATAAAAAACGGAATCGCAAATTTACTATCAATAGAATTTTATTCCAATCAGCCCAGAGTATTTTATGTATATTTTCAAGGTACAATTATATTGTGATTATAGAATTCTCACAAATCAAAAACATTTTAGTCACAAAGTATGTTTAAAATTATTAATTGCATACTTTAGTCATACCATATAACAATCATGAATAAAATATAATCATTAAACTTGACACAACTAAAAACGCAGCGTTTATTATGTATTATATAAAATAAACATATTTAACATCATTACTCAAAAATATAGAATCCACGTGTATACAAAGTTTTAGATATATTTTATAATCTATTTTTAGGTCGAACAAATGTCTATTTAAAAATATGTACTACATATATCTTATAATTAAAAAATAAAGTAGATATATGACGCTCTTTAAAAGTATAAAAATAGTGTTCATTTAAATTGCGATAATTAGGAGTAATATTAAAAATAACGATAGATATTAAAATAATATTCAGAATTTTCCAATGTACCAGCCCTTATCTGTCAAGTCAAGAAACATATTATCTCACTTGACTAAAATGCGAAGGTCTAATATTCGCAAGCCCTGGAGCTAGACTCCCACACTGGCCTTAAATACGTCATATTCAATATGTCAGCGATATAATAATTATTATTATAGATTTTATTGCCACATATATACAAAAACAACTACACATTTTTTTACTAATCTTTATATTATCGTTAAAGGCTTTCTTAATTGTATGATTCCATCTTTTGTTACGATACAAAACAAACTGTTGTCAAGTATGTCATCTAACCTACTTCGGCTCTTTAACTTAATTGAAACTGCATGTAGGTTATGGTTGAACCCAGTTAATTCCTTCCTAAGCAGTCATTACTCTAGCGTGACACATGCTTTACCGTTTTGCTCGGCTGGGCATCTTTACAAAAACCTAATGAGATAATTATCTCTTCTGGTAAGAAAGCACTCGACCACATCTTTATTATTCCTGAGATACAATTGTATGTTAAATGCTTAAATTTTCTTACATTAATATTTAACTCTATGTTAATATTTTAATAACTAATGAATTCCCACAATGTATATTCCATTCTAATAATAACTGATTACAATATCTTCTGTTTAATCACTACCCCACTTTAGAATATTTTTTGCAATAAAACGAACGTTTTTTAATTTACTAGTATAAACCCTAGGAAAAATATTTTACATAGATAATTAAAAGGTGGCTAAGAGTAATAATTATTTTTTTCATTATAACATTTAATACACATTGATATGTAATAGGTGTACGGATTATAAACAGTGAACTAATAATTTAATTAACATATCCATACTTGTGTAATCTATTCCGTGATTACGTAAAAGATCGCTATTAAAAGGAATATCATTACATACATCATTTGCTTTACATCCGTTAGGAAGAAAACTTGATCGATATTCATACTAATTGCGTGGTACAGGGAAGTTATGAACTACTTACGAAATAATGAAACACTAGTGAAATAATATTTTATAAAAGTTATATAAACGTAGTCAAATGTATATAGCAAAATTTACAACCAGTTTCAAAAAAATATATGACTTATTATTATTTTTACCATCACGCTGAAATAATTTTTATGATGGTCTTTCTTTACTTATTTTTACACTTCCTAGTCAAAATATTTAGATATTAGACCTTCTTATTTACTTTGAATATTAATAGATATATTCAAAATATTCAAAACAAATGATTTTATTTAAAATTCTAAAGTAGAGGAAAAAAATACTTTGATTTTCTTTTTTAATAAACTTTCGTTTATGCGTCATATATGAAAAATAAAATTTGTTTATAATTTATCTTACCTTAAATGACACATTCCAACATCCCACATGAACTAGAAGCGAGTTAAAAAAAATATTTCGATCATATATATATTCACATATTACCATAAATACTTCAGTATTTCAACTAATAAAGACAAAACTACTTTTGTACATCTACGATGTCAATGAACCCATTATTGAAAGCGTGAAACTAAATTGTGTTATAATTATCCAAATATGTAAGATTAATAACATATAAAAATAAAATCAAACATTTTGAATTCTCATACCAAAGATTTTTAATATTTATGAATAACCTTTTCCTACTATAAAATAGATATCGTAAAAATAATAAATTACCTTTCAGATACATATTTGTAAAACAATATAATAAACCACAGCTACACCAACTATTGTATATATTGAATATCATATCCGCATTTCATATTTGTCAGAACGAAGTCTGACGATAGTTATAAATAAATTTGTATTATAATAAATGCAGGTACATATTGTGTACAAGAAATATTAAACAAATTTAAAATATACCAAAAAAGAGACCTCACTCAAGTACAAAAGAACAGACATTTATTCTAAGCTCATGTACTTTTGATATCATTCGGTTAAAAAGGAAACTTCAAACACATTCTATGATAATTTCCAAGAATATCCCTAAACCTTGGAACGTTAATCGTAAAGGAGCTATTAATACGGAATACCTTATCTTTTCAAGGTATTTGATGTAATAAAAAAAATTGTTAAATCAAATTTCAAATATAAATGACTGGTTATATAAAATAATTAAAATATTATAACCGTGCACTAAGTAAATCAATCTTTGAGATACAAATATAACTATTAAGATTTTACACTACTTATACACTTTATATTAATTTAAAAAAATACCTATAAAACTTAAACATACGTACGAAAATTCGATTTAGACATATTACAGTTCTAATGAATATTACTTTCTGTGAACAATATATCCGTCATATGTTTCCTGATTGATATGCGAAGACCGAACACAGTTTCACTATCGTTGAATGCCTCATTGTCACAAACACTTTCTATAAATATATCGTGTATAATATAAAACATAACTACATCGTGTATTGTAACTATATTTGAATATTATTCATAGAACATCCTTCATCTATAACATGAACTTCAAATTTGCATTTTCATAAACATGGAGAATCTATGCTTATAATGAAATTGCAATGATGTGATGTGCATTAAACATATAGTATAATATACGAGTAAAACTCTGAGAATGTAAGAGATACTAAGTCTGTAATATATGCAATTATTTATCTATTTGTATGTAAGATATACACTTTGAAAATATTAGAAATTACGATATTACTTAATACAGTAACTGTTGGAATTCCTGAGCGCCACTTCAAGTGCTTTTTATGTCAAGATCTACTTTTGCACCTTAGCAAAATTATTATTTGTTTAATTAAGGTACCACTAACGTATTTTAAATGTTTTAAAATATATCATGCTATAGGATTACAGTATTCAATGTCAGAAATATCTCAATTTATAATGTGTTACACATGCCCCGTGAATACGCCCACAAATAACCTTGTGGAAACTAGAGCAAAGCAACCATCAAAGCTTTGGTAATCATATGTACCTGCACACGCGATCAACAGATAGTATTATTTGTATGCTAATGTAATAAATGCTTTAGATACATTTCATACATTGATGTTGTGCAAAAAAATATTTTAAAACTTTACTGTAAAGATATGTTTCACAAATATTTCGTTTTTTATCTCAAAAAACAAAGCTAACACATTTCACATGTTCTTATTAATTACATAAATATTCATGGTTCATTATAATTATCCTATATGTTTTAATAAATTGCATACTTATTTAATAATTGTAACAACTAAATCGTCTTATTAAAATACAAAATTGCACATGATCTTGCTTTGTTTTAATCTATATTATATTTAAAAATATTAGTTATCTTATATAACCCATGCATATTCATAAACACTTTGTATTACTCATATCAAATTCACATGTAAAATTGGTCTGAATGACAAGGCGTGCTTCAAAATTATTGATGAGGTTATAGTCAAGGTATTTGCGACCATGAATCAAATCACATTCTGCAACCAACAATGATACATAATACAATTTATAATTTGATTTCATTATGTCTTGCATTTAAAACATATTTATAACATATAATTGCTACTTGTTTTGCAGAAAAACAGTATGATTTCATTTAAGATCATCATTTTTTTCTTTCAGAACGCTACCATCCTGGTGATGAACAATGTATAAACAGAAATTTATTATTCTGGTAAGTTTTTTTTATCGTACAAAATTTTAACTACATGATACATACATTTTTAAATTAATACCTTGTAAACAAGTCAAATCATGGGAGATGATTGTTAAGTCTAAATTTTTATTAGTCTATTCTTAATTTCGGTTAAAATATTCCCGTTGTCTTAAGTTTTTAACCTCCATTTATAATAAGATATATTAACATTTATTACAAATTCACAACTCTGGAACGTGAATTTTTTACCAATGTTACATTTCAAGCTCATTTTTCGATGACAGTCTGAAAAATTGGTCTATTAATTCAGTTATTCTTCGCCTTGACAAACAAATAATTAATTTCTAGCAAGCAACGAGCCGATCTCCCGTGAGAACTGTCCCAATTATCGGATCACATACTTCAAGGTTAATTAATTATATGATATAATTATTATCTTTTACACAAATAATATATTATTGAAGTCTGTATGGAGCCATAACTGTTACAGTAAACTATTAAAAGTAAATTCAATTTAATTCTCCATCTACTTCCAATGACGCGTGAAACAGCTTTAATTCATTTAGCTTTTGATTAATAATGATCAACATTTCCTTTTTATAATATCATAACCAAAGTATGAGGTAATACAGAAGATATGATTTTCTCTCTAATATTCATTATCATATTTAAATGTGCCTTATTCAATGTGGAAGCAGTAAGTAATTACAATATTTGCGACAAATTAAATATTGTTTAGATATTATTAATATGTTTTTCATAAAATTATTTGATATTAAAAGTTTTTATATTTCAGCGTTATAACAAAGATGTTGTATGCATCTTGGAACAGGTATGGATTTATTCAGTTTTAAAAAATAAACATTATTTCTTTAAATATTATAGAAAATTCCAAATCGAATAGTCCTTTGTAACACATTATAAAAATAATAAATAATTATTAATGAAATAAAAAAAGCAATTAATAAATATACGTAACACTAATTAAAAACTAGGACACATATACAAAAAACTTAGTTTTTAATATTTAGGTTAACATAAAAAATTAAACACAAATAAACAACATAAATATTAACATTTTTGCGGAATTTCAAAACTAATAACTTATTAATGCAAATTATTTAAATGGTGGCATAGATTTCTTTTGAACTCATTTAGCAACTCAATATCCAAATGTCTAGTCTGACCACAAGTGAGATTAAATTAACTTTTTATTCTATTTAAGATGTAAAGACACAATTATATACATATAAATATAAAGATATCCATATAGAATAGAATTCCCTGGAAACTGATCATAATTTATTAAATAAAATACGCCAAGTAAACTATTACGTTTAAAGCCCAATATTAATCTCTTTTAATCACACAGAATCTTGATTGTCGTTAAGAGAAACGAGTTTATTTCACCTATATATTTGTATAAATTACTTATTAAATAATACTTTTTAATTCAGGATAAATCGCCGGTATGCAAAACCGTCGACAATCCAAAACGTCGTAGTAATGTAAACGATAATCTGCCGTCTCATGAACCGTATCTGCCAAATGTAAGAAATTCAGTCTTTTACAACTGCTCGAAACTGGAATGTAATATTGTTACAGTACACTCGCTAACACAAGTAGCATCACCTCTGCCGACGCTGAAATATTGCTACTTAGAAACCACAGAGAAATACAGATGCGAACCATTAAAGTATTACCATTTTAAAAACATCGATAAGCTTTTATTTTTAAACAACAATATTCCGCATAAATCATTCTATTTAATAGATTGTTTAGCGTACGCAGATGGTGGGCGTTTATGCGTTAGGAAGGACGAAGCTGACTCACATACCAAATTGGTAGATATTGGTAACTTAATGAGGCCGAACGACACAAACGTATTGTCACAGGAAGAATTTCTGTGCGAGGAGTCTAAGTTAAAGATGATCAACTGTGATCGTGATCTTTACGTGCCCTATCAGGACGGCTTGAGAGACAAGGAACGGATTAAATTAGATGATAAAATTCTTTTGAAAATAGATTACGAAGTGATTTCCTTAAACCATAATTGTATTGACACTTGGTGTGGATACACCGGACAAATAAGACCCACGCGAAGATATCAACCACCTGGAGGCAAAATTTATAGATGCTTCTACGCTAATAGACAGCAAGTTTGCAAAGAAATTGAAAGGAGTTACTACAATGAACGTGATTGGTTAATACGATAACATAAATTATAATATAAATAATAAACTATATAAATAACTAACTAAATAATGATTTAATTGAATAATCATCGTTACATTAACGCATGTCACATAGCTGCCAGTCAGTCCAAGCACGGATGTATTATGCATCATGTCGGATATAGCTCTGTGATGTAATATTATAAAAACATTAATTAATATGTAAAACAGAACGTTATATAAATTGAATGATAAAAACCAATCCCTTTTTATTTTCTAATAAGGGTCACTAGAAATAATTGATACAACTAATTAAATTTTGCTTAAATAATCCATACTATTATAAGATTAGAAGATATTTTTTTTAATTACATAATGTGAAAATAAACGTTATCTACTCTTCCATAAAACATAAGCGTATGTCACGAATTCTTAAATCATCATTTCCAGATTCACTTTCATGCAATCGCCCTCAGTGAAAGTGGACGGGGTTCCGTACACTACCTACTTACAAAACCCGACTGTAACATTTAATTACACAACATTATAACAATTACGTATCAAAAAACCTTTTTGCAATTTTATAATAATGACAATTCAATGATATTGATTAAATTGCTGTCAGTTATATTTGCTAAATGTAATGTATATAGGATATATTCTTTTTGTTTCTGATATACAATTCTTTATTGCTATATATTTGAAAGTTAAATTAAACTTATATAATAGTTGACTTTGAAATTATATTCGCAGTAAACAAAACTAATTTTAATATACAGGAATAGGAAGTTAATTTAACTAACATTTCACAAATAGCCATACGAAAACAAAATTCGTGACAAGTAACAATTAATATATTCTCAGATAGTATTATTTCATATATAATATTGGTACATGTTTAATATATGTATTTGTTAAATGTTAACGCAATTTTAACCAAACCTTACGTTTTCAGAGCAGTACTATATATATGTATATACACAATATTTCATCAACATTATTTCGCGCTCTGTAACAACCTTGCCAAGTTAGGGCAAAGATAAAGTAAACAATGACACTAATGCAGAAACAATACGTTTACAAACAATACATTGAACAAGACGTATCACTCTAGTATTCGGAATGTCATTATAAAGACGCGATCGATGCTTTGTTGCCTTGTCAAGACGGTTCTTCCAATAGCGGTACCGTATCTCTGACTAATAATATACAATAGTGCGACAAGAACCTTGCACCGAATGCTCTCAGCTGTGTTCGGAAGTTGGAACTTTGTTTGGCACACAATGCGCATTCTTATGATTGTTAACATCGCAGCTATGAAATAACAGTGCCTGATATTCTGCGAGATAATAAGACAATCGTGGAAGAAGCAGTTTATTTAGTAATACAAAGGTTTTTTGATGGTATTTTATGCAAATTTTTAATGTGTTATTTTCACATTATATCACTTATATATATAATATGTTGGGTTGCGAGAGTAATAATATCATTTTTATGGACATATTATGCAATTGCGTTAAACGGTTTGCATTTCATAAATAACATTCAGAAAATGCGCTTAATGCCAGAAAACGAGGTTCTGGCCACTTGCAAGTGGACTGAGACAAAGCGAATGTGGAGCAAGTTATCGAGACACTAACCTGTAAATTGCGTAACACACGACCAATTTGTTTAGGGCTGTACACTACCGGATTCAAGTATGAATATTGCATAAAATATTACTTTGTTTTTCTGAATAATTTCATTATTAGCATAACAAGATCAAGTAAAACAAACATAAATTTTCTATAAACATATAATTCGGCTATACACATGTATGTTGCTGAACTTCTAAATGGCTCGACTGATTTGATATTTTTTTGTATGCATTTGGGTGGCCCCTCAGATGGTTTCGGTTTATAAATCAGCCTAACAGATTACGTTGCAGCTGGTATTTAGATTATTGAAAATGAAAAGACGGCAATGTAATGTAATCATTGTATTGTTGATACACTTTATACATTGCCCTCTGAACTCCAATATTAACTGAAATGAGGTCGCGGGTAAAAACTATCAGAAATAATTGTAACTTAAACTAAAATTTGCAATTTATTTATGAAAGAAATAAGTAAAAATTAATTAACATCCATATTAAACGAATGCAAGAAACCTTATCAAAATAAAAATTAAAACTCTTTTATGTAATGTTGGTAACTGACAACCATAATTCAAAGCTTGAGAGCCAAACAGCGACGTGCCTGTTCTCACAACTCTCACGCTGCCCATTAGGATACGCCTACTAATATTATAAGAACCTGAATTTATAGTATTTATTAGAGTGACCTAGTTTCAAAATCATTTTATATAACATTGGAATTGATTTTAAAGTAACTTGAAACTTATTTACAAAAATATGTATTTGATATCCGTGGTGACACTTACTTGCAAATTAAAGACTAAAAAAAATATTGTATTGGATTTCATTGCCATTGTTTCCTTGAGCACTGATCCAGCAACGTTACTTCAATAATGACTAAGATACTTATATAAAAAACAAACCTTCGCTCTAAAATGCTAAAATTTTTTTAAAGAAAATTCTTGAATTACATAACGAGATATTTCTTTCGAAAGTAGTGGTTTTATTTTATTATGAGCTATAACATACTTGATCCATTAGCATTGGAAAGATATGTTCATGAATATTTATGTATAAACATTCTTAAAATAACATTAAAGTGATCTCTCTTAAGGTCGCCTGAAATCTATGCGTAAGTCAAGGTCAAGGTTCTCGTTGTAATTTATTGTCACACTAATAGTTGTGCAATTTATTCTTATGTAACATATATTACTCTATATGATCTTGTTATTTATGTTGAGATTTAATTGGTTGCAGATATATGTAATTATTCTGTATTATTCTGTAATCGCCTAAGATAAGTACAAATTGCGTTAATAGTTTAACATAAGTTTTGTATCGTCACACTGCTTACGAAGCGTCTCTAGTTTTATATAAACCTATATTAGAGTAAGTGACTATTATGATATTTTTTATATTCGTATTAATTTAAAAAGTGTTATTATTTCAAGTGCATTTTTTTGTCATCAATATGGATTTTTTTTCTAAATATTACTTTGTCTCACCTCGCCTTGTATATTTCTTAAGACGAACGTTCTTCATTTGAAACGCTCTACTTCCATACATTTTGACACCCAAAAAAATTCACACTTTTCATAATTATAATTTACTAGTTTTTGCCCGCGACTTCGTCCGCGTTAGTTTGGTCAAGAGTAATATATGTAGGTATAGCTGACCAGGCGAACTCTATTCCGTCTTCGAGGCCATAAATAATCAGGTTTTTCCTGTTTCAATCAAACAGAGTGATTGACATATTAGTTAGTTGTCAAATCTAATGTCAAAAAAAAATGTTTGTATGGGAAATAGAAAAGGGATGTTTTTAGTGTTTTCCCGGCACTTATTCTAATTTGTCTCACCTTTTATACCTTCCCTGGACTTCCAGGAGAATTTCAAGACTAAAATTAGCCAAATCAGTTCAGCTGTTCTCGAGTTTTAGCGAGACTAAGGAACAGCAATCCATTTTTATATATATAGAAGATTATACAAAATTATGAAACCTAATTTTTAAAATCAATCAATCATTTATTTTAGAACATTTAATGTAAAATCTAAATGTAGGTGCAAAATTTTACAATTAAGCTTTTTCTTCGTAACGATAAATATGGTTAATGAAGATTTTCAAACATTTTTTTTTATATTAAGCCCTTCAGATTGATATGAGAAGGAAAATTACTCCATAATTAATTCACAACAATGTCTTTAAACTGTTCATTTAGAACAGAAACTTGGTTTATAAACCTTGGGTTTATATACGTTATATGCCTAACCGAGGTTCACAATAGATTCTTAAGACGAGGTCTTTGCCAAAAGTACCCACGTTTATTAAGTAAACTCAAAATGCAATTTAGAAGCGCCCACAGCCCTGTACTTACAACACAATAGCAGAATAAAACGTTCACTGCCAAGCTATATATAACTATCATATTATTGATTACCAATATCAATATATAATTAAAGATATTTGTAGATAATTAACGTTAAAGAAAATGTCTTTCAAATAGAAAATCTGCGAAATGCCAACGACATCGTTAATGTTTATGAGTGAATTATAAAAGGTGAAACAGTAAATAAGAAAAATCTTGCAAGTGCGAACATACATACCTGAGATAAAAATTACTGAGATAAAATTCTTTATCACATGTTTATTTACTAGGCACTGCCATATGACTATAAATTTGATATTCAATACACATAATTAATGATAGCACCAAACATCTGGTTATATCATATGAATCCATGCACATATTATTATTTTTATAAAAGGTAATTAATTTTTCTCAACATCTCGACAGTATTTTAATGTTCATTATAAAATTACCCTTCAACATTTAAAAAGTCGATGCAAATTACATAAAAATAACATCGGTGGAATGACCAAAGAGGTTAGTTTCTGAAAAAATAATGAAAATATCAAAAAAAATTGTATGCCCGAATAATTCAGTACAAGGTTGTACTTGTTGGTTAATATGATCATTTATTTTGGTCCATATATTATATAATCATTCAGCTGTACGTTTACTGTATATATATCTTACAAAACAGTTTTAATTCTTTTTATTCTATTTAAAATAAGTAAAGTATATATTTTTTCTATTATATTGTATATTACTTTAAGTGTAAATCTGTGAGGATGGGTGGATGTATTAATTCAAATAACACTGAACGAATCGTCTATCAAATGTTATAGTAATGTATATTATACAATAATAAATTTCCTTTAAACTCTCTTGAAAATCGGTATTGCTCCCGTGGGATCGAGGTATAACCGTTGTATTTTATGACGTCACGTGACACAGATGATAGATAGCGCTGTCGGTTTGTTACCATAACTGCTCGTTTATGTACATATTTCTCTTTTCCCTCTAAAACCTGTTCCGAATCCACGCGCACGAAGTCGCAGACAAAAGCTAGTAAGACTATTAAAAACTGTTTTTTATTTGGTAACTCCATAAAAAATTAAAATGTCCTATATCGTAAAGTAGCCTACTTAAGGATTAAGTTTCTGATATAATGCTAAAACTTCTGAAAAGTAATCTTATTTATGAAACAAATTAATATCAAGTCCCTGACAAATATAAGTAATACCTATATAGATGAAATTTACTAAAAGCTTCTGATTTATTATTATCCAAGTCATGTACTCGATCATAGAATGTTGTTTCATAAAATATTTTAAGTAAGTATTTTGAAATTGGAACACGGATATACTTTGCAATCGTATATTATATCAATACTTAATAAAAAACATATATTGAGTAATGATATTGAGTAATATGTTATAAAGATAATTAATTCAAAGGCGATGGTATTTTATGATCTGTTCTATAATGATGCTTCGCACAATAATAAATAAATTACAAATGCTAAAGCTATTTCAAATTAATTATTAACTAAGACAATTCACAGATATAAAATATAAAAATCACGGCAAAAAAGTTTAATATGTTTGTCATAACTAAATCATTAACACAATTTGAGCCTAAATATTTAGCTGATCAGGTCGCGAGTATTTACGTAAACTGACAGAAGTTAGTCACCTTTGTGAGAATGATCCGGCGTGGGTGAAAGCGGTCAGTGCTATCCTTAAAGTTGCCTCAACATGCTATTCGCGATCATTACGGGATGCTAGATTTCACATTCCTTAAACATTTAATCGCACATTTAGATGTTATAGAAGCTTGTGTAAAACCGGAAAAGCAAATCGATACCTATCAGTATATTCCTTATTGATTTTGTGTTCGTCGAATTATTTAAAATTTACCAAAGATCATTTACTACAATTTAATTTTAAAATCTTATCATCAAGATCATAATATTTATTTATATCAAATCAAATTTGAACTTGATAAATCACATAATATTTGTTGACAAACTATTGATCATGGTCTATTTACAACACTAATTACAAAAACTAATAGTACGTGATGTCTCATCCAAATTAAAAGACGAACAATATGAAAATATTAAATGCTTTAAGAATGCATTTAAGAATTGTGTGTTTTAATGGTAGTTATTATAATAATTATAACTATAATTTGTTCTATAAAAACTGAAGATCTTCAATTCATTCGTTTTCTGTAACCATTTACGAGTATGTAATAATTAAGATCGTTACAAAAATATAAATGTATACCTTCCGTTGATATGTGTGAGAATGAATATATGAACAATGACCTGTCCAAATATCTATTTAAGATAACTTATCGCATATTGGAAAGTCTAACTATTCATGTTTAACATGTAGGTTGTGAAAAAAGTATTGTGTAACGATACATCAGGCGTTCTCGTATGCGACTTCCGATAGAACATACAGAATTTGCCTCAAACAATGCGCACACGCATATTTTCTCATGTGACCGTTCGCGTGATGTGTATCACTAACACAATGTTTAAAAAATGCCTGGTATCCAACCATACACTGGCAACCGTTTAATTCTAAAACACATAAATATCATTTAGAACTTATACGTTTTGCAAGAAATTTGCAATTGGGAACGAAATAGAGTGGCAGTAGCAAAAACTGATCCAAGCTACAAGTTTAATAGTTAATCTGTCATTGATATAACCTAAATAACTTTTAACTTCAATAACAGTAAACAATCACCGTGTCATGTGTATCTGATTAAAATGTCGTATTCCGTAACAATGATTAAGAAGCATGATATGTATCTCACGTAGCCACGACATTGATGAGAGGACTACTGAGTTATAATAAATCTAAACTCGAACCACATAATTATATTTTAATAATTCCTTCCTAAATCTTCATTCAAACACACTTTAGTCCAATTTTATCCACATACATATATAACCTATATGTCAATTGTGGAATAAATTTAAAAGTGTAATATAAATAAGGAGCTATTGAAATAATCAGAACTATTTATGATTCATATGTATTATGATTCTTAGATTTTAATTGCAAGTTATTATCATAATGTTGAAAACAGTCAAATGTTCCAGTTTTTTCGAAAATATAGTTTCAATTTGTAAAATTTATAAAGGACGGTTGGTATTTAAATTAAAAAATGAAAAAGAACGTAATTTAAATAAGTTATTATATATAAACGGTTGTGCTCCTCTTCAACGTTACGTCATGGCTTTCATTGCGTGTGAACGTTTCATTATGTTAGTGTATCACTTTCCATCTATAAATCATTTAATATAGTATGACCTTTAACTTAAAACAACACCAATATTTATTAAATAGAATTTTATTTATATTTACTTAACACACATAAAAAAGCTTAAATTCAAATTTGTTTCAAATTGAGAGATAAAAACGTTTCGTAAAAAACGTTTGCTACATGCAACAAATACATATTATAACTATGTATAGCTATAGAAATTACCAAAAAAGAATTTATTAATTTTGAACTTTCTTCACTATTAAAATTGAACAAAGCTATTGCGATTTTCAAATAAGATGGTAAACATCGTAAAATAATTCGTTAAACATATATTAATTGTATAAAAGGCAATGATAATGATTACTTCACGACCAACAAGCCTCAGCGCGTGCAATGCGGATTTGCGCATTTTAAACCCACATAATGTGGGTGTATGGCGCCCACTGTTAGAGGGACATGGTCCAAAAAGACTAGTCATACCTCAGAAATTATATACAAATTACCTTCAAATATTCACGAACACCCACAAATTTTTTATCTTTTCAAATTAACTCTGTAAGTATGAAACTGAATCATTTAATTATTTTTAATCTCTATAAGAACTTAACAAAAAATTAAACGCAACCACCTACACGGAACGACTTGTTATTAGTATATCTTTGACTTTAATTAATTTAATTCTTTTGTTATTTTTTGTTTGTTTTTGGTATCTATGATAGGAAACAGATGGAGAATTCTTGTCATTTCTTACAATATCACCCTTATGAATAATCTTGGCGGTTCTGTTTTATACCCATTTACGGTAACTGTCGCAAGAGAACCATGAATCACGAGATTAACTAATAGCTCTTTCGTGAGTTTATTAAATTCGTAAAAGGAAGTTACTTTGCAACATATAAATAACAATTATGAAATTCTTTAATGCAAACACTTATATTTTGGCTCATGGCGTAATAAGTGATTAAATAAGCATGGAGTGGACTAATTATAATGACAAGTTTATTTGCCAAGCATTTTGAATGCAAAGAAATAATTTTTGTTACAATAACAACAAAATAAATTCATATTCAAGGAAAAAAGGTTACTTTTATAAAGAGTTTTGAAGTAATAGTCATAACAACAAAAGCATGAGTAATTTTGTAACGTTTTATTTATGAACTCTTTGCGACCGTTTTGTTACCGGACTGGGTACAGGTTTAGGCACACGAGAGCCTACACGACCATCACGTGCAATAGGCTTAGGTGCTACAGGCATATGGTCTCCCTCCACATGCGTTCCATCAATACCGGCAGAAAACCTGGTGATGTACAAGTTGCCGTCATCACCGATGTAGGAGATCTCTCCCTCTGTGATGAGTACATATCCTTTGCCTTCCGAGTCCGGCACTAGACGGCCGCGTTCTGATACAATAGTTCCTTCAGCTGTAACATATCTCAGGGCGTATTGTCCAAATTCGTCGTGTACTTCCTCATGCTCCAAAGCTGGTAAAGCACGTAGGGCAGCTAACTCCTTTGCACTTCTCACAGAGGGAGAAGCATATGCCATATATATGATGCTAACAGTAATCAAGAACTGTAAAAAAGATAAATATTAATTAATTAATTTAATAAGTATAACATGATGCAAAAATATTAATATTTAAATTAATTTAATATCAAATCTTGCCTTACCAGTTTCATTTTTGCTGTTTTTTCTAATGTTGGTTGAATTGAACTTTATTGATAACTGATGTACATTCATTACCAGGAAACATTTATATACAGACATTTTTACTATTGTTTTGTAACAAATACCAAACATTTTTGATAGACTGGTTGACTAATTGCAATCATTAACTTAAAAAAACATTATCTTTCAATAAAACTAGAAATCTATTTTAACTAAAATAATACCAAAATTGAAAACACATTTTTTTGGTTTAAAAAAGTGAGAATAATAACATTTATATAATTTTATGATGTACACAAAGCCAACTTAATTTTTTTCTTATCAAGAAGAATTTAAATAGTCAACCAAGACTTATTGACATTGAAATACGATATAAAATTCTACATACATATATGTATTTTAAAAATTAAAACCTCTGTTCAACAATATTTTGAAACTGCCGTTATCATAAATCCAAGTGGAATATAAAAATATACATACATGTATTGACAAAAACAGTGTAATTTATATTTTAAATGGACAAATAAAACATGAGATACATGAGAAAATATTAATTAATATCTTTGTATTCCTATCATTTCAAACCATTTATAAAATAAAATCTCGCAGGTAATCAAAATAATATCTATTACTAGCTCACAGGCTTTCCGACCCATAGTTTATGTCATTAAAATGTTCATTGTTCAAAATAATTCTCACATACTTGAAACCAAATTGAGTCTTTCGACTCTAGCTACTATTAAGATAATATAATACACTTAAAGAACATATCTTAATAATTCCATAAAAGTTCCTGGTTATTTAAATTATATATGTTATTGTATATAAAAAGGTTCATAGTGGGAGTTACTATAAAACATTTAAAAAATAAACACTTTCATCTTGTCCTTCTATGATCACGATTAAAAATAAAATATAAATATATTCGAAACAGGGTACAAGTAAATATTTATAGATGACACTGAAATTCAATGATTCTAGTTTTATACATTTTTTTACTATTAAGACACTATAAAATTAACAAGTCGATACTCCAAGGTTTGGTATGAGGTACTTATTATCGTTGACAATGTCCAGTAACCATCATTAAAACACGTATGTCATGTTAAGTTAAAGCAAGTGAGTCACTATTGTTGCCGAGTAATAAACTAAGGCTTGATTACGTTAGCACAAGAAGGCACAAGGTCCTTATACGGAGCAATTATTATTAGATCTAAGATACTAAAAACAAAAAAAAATTGTTAACTTACTTAAATATATACATGTTAGCATCTAAAAATGTGGATTTGTTCTTTGGCAGTGTAAAAAAAGATTAATCAAGTCCGGAGTTTCACAAATTATGCTTTGATTTTACAAGGTCATATAATTGAATAGAAATATTTGCGTTTTAATTAAATACGTACACATCTAGTACATAAAACATTTATTAGAGCAATTGGTATGTCACATGAGTCACTGTTTATTCTTTACAAAGGTCCGTAACAACATCCCTCATATTCCTATTATGTTTATCTCGGATCTGTTCACCTTAAGCAGTTTAAAACGAGTATTATTAAATACTAGCTTTCCGCCCGCAGCTTCGCCGCGTGGAGTTCGGTTATATCGCGTTTCCAAGAGAACCTTTCAAAAGTCTGAGATAAAAACTATCCTATGTTCTTTCTCAAGGTCAACTCTATCTCTGTACCGAATTTCATTAAAATCAGTTCAGTGGTTTAGGCGTGAAAGCGTAGCAGACAGACAGACAGACAGACAGACAGAGTTACTTTCGCATTTATAATATTAGTAGGGATTAGGAGGTAACCAATTTAGGAGACAGGAACTATGTATGGAAATGTTTTCCATAGTTTCAAATTCCCATACAATCATCTAATCTCACATGCACATGATTCCGCGTAAGTCCTTAGTTACCGACCCACGTTTGTTCCCGAGGTTGCGACGCCAGCTTCGTATAATCATATTGATGAGTACCAATATTATCATTCTGTGACACTAGTTGAGTTAGGTATGAGGTTACCGTATGCGCATCTATCAATGTTTTTAGATACTTCCTTGTTACAAACAGATAAAAGAAACATTGTAATTACATGAATCATGTCAGAATTAAATCGTTAAAATTTCATGAACTTTATATATAGACATATGTAAATATATAGTACTTTACATTATTCCTCTTCACTTTTAGGTAACATGTTTAGTCATCAAACTGTTATTTTTCATTATTCCATAGAAATCAGATGTACTACCACTTTTAGTGTGCTTTATAACTTGAAAAACAATCTAATAATAATGTTATTAAAAGAATGAATATGTAAGGTAATGAAAATTTTATTCATGATATTGTCCTTCAAATTACATCATGCGGTATTACTAGAAAAAGAGTTAAGATCTTAGCTGGCGTGAAACAATTAAAATGTTTAAGTGATCTATTTGAAACTATTGCTTATTTCTGAATAAGCACAGAAAACAGTAATTACTACAAGGGGTGTTAACTTTTAGAAATACTCGATCTGTAAACTCTTAATATTGAAAATACATAATTATGTATTTTCAATTAATGAAATGAATGAATAAATGAAATGAATTCTTTCATTCAAGTTTGGTTAAAAATTGATCTAAATAGAACCTCCCAAATTTATTTTTATTTTCAAATACAAACAGTAGTTATATACTATAGAGTTATGATGTGAAGTTTAAATATAGAAATTATTCCTTAAACTTCAAGCTCTATTATTATAAATATACTTTATAACAGTCCCTCGGGGTCTGTTTCCCTATCATGACCTTCGAGGCCTATTTAACATCAGGCCATTGTTCAACAAAGTGCTAGTTCCGTGCGTCACTAATTCGTGACTTATCCATTGTTGTTCACATACTTGTTGCTCGATTTCACGGATACTGAACATCGCGGGAAGACTGCACCCAAACCAAAAAAAGTAATGCACAAAAAAACTATGAAAACAAAAAGTGTTATTAAACATGTAGGCTTGCTTTGAATATCATCATTATAATCCTAATTCAACACATCACATTATATAAATCTGATCTAAATCTTTAATTATAAATACTTAATACAATAAATATTACAATGAGGTTGACTGAAGTATAAAAAATGGCGAGATAAAAGGTTATATGTCATTTTTTCAGGTGTGCGTGTACAGTGCCTTTGCTGCTCTCGATGGATATAGCTCCCAGCAAGACCCTGACCAATTCCACATACAAACAGATGAAGATGACGAACGATATTTCCTTTACCAGACTCATAATGGACAGTATCGCAAGGAAAGAAGGCTGAAGGACGGATCTGTTGTTGGTAAATATTTATTAAGAATTATCATTTAAAAACATATACCACATTTAGAAAAATATTCAAATATTTTAATCTTTTCATCTTGATATCCCACCTACTGATAATAATATAACGTAAGCCGATTTAGGTGAGTCATAAAAATAATTCACTTTAAAATCTTATTCTAGGAACTACTGGTTGGGTCGGAGCTGATGGATATTTGAGACTTCAAGATTATATAGCTGACGATCAAGGATATAGAATTTATAAATCTAAAACGGTTTACGTGGGAGAAAATCGTTCGATTGGAGTAAGTAAAGTAAATATTTTTAAACATGTCGTAAAACATGAAAGCTATACCTAACCGTGTTATTTTCCTTATTTCAGGAGTCTCTAAAAATAGCTAAAACAGCACCAACAGACTCCGGATTTCATATCACTCCAGCCCCGGCACCAAATCCTCATCGAGGAACACCATTATTTACCACCACAACTGTAGCACCTTCTATCGTTTCTTCGACATTAAATCCTCAGAATATTTACCCATCAGAAATTACCATAACACCGTCGACTCCTACCTATCCAAGTTCGACTTTTATTCCTAAAGTAGAAGTATCTCCAAACTCCATAGATTCTACTTCTAAATTTAACCCAAAACCGACAGTTCCACCTATTACTGCAGAAGACGCTTCTCCCTCGCCAAATCCATATGACTATGATATAACTAATACAAACACTCTCGATGGATACTATGGTAGTGATAGCTCCCCTAGAGGTCGTTTTGATTTATACAACCCTAACTCCTACAGACATGCTGATGATTGGACTAGAAGGCAGCGTCCTGGGATTCATTTGGGAGATGGTTATACTCCACAATTTTCGGGATATGATGGGGTAGCTTTTCGAAGGAACGGTTTTAGATATTATCTTCCAAAACAATATCACGAGGAAGAATCCCATGACGATAATGAGAGAGCCGGTAGTTTTGGTTATATTGATCCATTTGGAATTCGCAGAGTAATATATTATAACACAGCTCCTGGTCAAGGATTCCAAATTAGGAAAAATAACAGATATGTTGGACATGATGCGACCCCGTACGATCCCCGTCCTGTGAAATGAAGTGTTTTCTAAATAATGTTGCGTGTTAAAGTTACCACCTGCTAAACAGTATTCTTAAACAATTAATGGATATGAAATTGTTAGGACAGTCAAAACGATGGATCTTCGAACGAACCCTTTAGAGATAATGCATTATATTGTAAATAACCGTAATTTTATTAAAGTATAACCTAATGTACTAATAAATAAAGGGAATATACTATTACAAAATTACAATTAATCCTTTATTAAAAGAAAAGGGGCAAAAGAATATTTATTTTAAGAATATACAAAACTACAGAACACAAAACTTATAAATAAATAATTTTTATGCGATCAAAATGTACATACTGATGCACACTGATATATTATTGTTTAAACGTGCGTTTACAATCAAATATTTTATGTTTTTTTATAAAATAATATTTTTATATAAACATAAATGGATTGAAAAAAAAGTTGTAATTTATATATCTATTACAAAAATTTGGGAGAATATGTCTCAGTAACTATATTTGGAGACCAATTTCAATAACATTATTTTTTAACAGTTATACAAAAAAGGACATCAGTAGAAAATATTAGCTACTTCGGACTATTGAACTTGAATATTGACACAAGACCAAACTCTTGATTAGAAATATGCGTAGGCAGGTCATGAACAAGTTTTTGTTACTTTATGGGCTTATCCTATTAAGAAATATGTAAATTCTTCCATACATACATAATATGTAAATAAACTCTGTGTTTTTTTAATTTAACGTGAAAGTTTTGGCTAATGAATTGTCATTTTTATGAATCATATTTTAAACAGAAAATGACTTCTCGTTGCCATAACTGGTAGTGGGATTTATTTATAACTAATTTAAAAAGTTAGTTCTAAACATTGTAGTTGTACTTGTAACTTTCTAAGTAACAAAATAAATATACCGTAAAACACTATTTATTGCAATTGGTAATTGTATTTATTATCCACTAAGTCGACCAATATAATGAAATTACTAAAAATATATTTTGTTTTATTTACCGCTCTCCCTTCTGTCATAATTAATTATTGAAGAATTTTTCTTATTTATAATTTCTTCGAAATACAATATGCATATAATCTGTATAAGATATACTCGTAAAAGTTACAAGAATTGAATATTAAGTCATATTTAGCTAATGATGATTATGCAATGTATAAGAAATAATTTTACTTGTTATTAATGTTATTAAATAATTATGAGGTGCAATTAAGATTGAATAAAAGCAGCAATCTTCAACCACTTACTTAGCAGTTACTTGTGAAACATTTAGAGTATTATAACATGTTTATGAAATTGTTATAAACATATAGTTTTAACAGGAAAATGGTTCGTTTACATATTCTGCTACTAGTTGTGTCGTCTGTGCTAGCCACAGTCTATTCAATAGACAACGATCATTTAAATGGCAAGGAAAATCTGAAACCTGATGTGAAGCTACTACCCAGTTTTCTACAAAGACGACGCCACCAAGTTCCTCATGAAGAAATCAAAGAAGAAGATGTTGGAAGGTACTTCCGGAGACCATCTCGAACAACAACCGTACCATCAATATTTTCAATGAAAGTTGAAAATAAATATCAACACGTGTACCCGAACGTGAGACCATCAGACAAACAAATTCATCCTAAACAAAACCATACCAATGCCGATGACCCTAGTGTGACTTCAAAGCCCTCCACTAAAAATATATCTACGGAGCGTGTTACCTTAAAAACTAGAAATTTAAGCAGAAGAATACCGTTTGCTAAACGATATAAACCGGCTGTTGTTCAACCAATTACAAGTTTTAATGATCATCACCAAGAAGAAGACAAGGTTGAAACTGAAATTATATCAACAACTACATCGACAACTACAACTTCAACAACAACGTCAACTACACCAGAACCTGTGGTACTTGAAACTACTGAAACGGAACAAAGAAGAAAAGAATCTGTTGCAGCTTCCCAAAATTTGGAATCTTTCACTTCAAAGAAAATAAAAGACATAATGGCTGAAATTCAAAATTCCGAAGAATTGATTGAACAAAAAGTTACGACAACTACAAGCAAACCCATTACCACTACCATTAAGAAATTTGAAGAAACTGAATTTGTCCCGCCTTCTATTAACGTTCCAAATATAACATCTCACACCCGAAGACGACGGCCACATTTTGCAAAAAGGGTACATATGCAACCTATCAACGAATCACTGACAATTAAAGATGATGTGGCGTTGTCCACTTCTGCGCCTATAGTAGATGCCACTACTGAAGCGGAACAAGAAAAAAAAACAATTCCTCCGTCTCATGTGTCGGATTTACCGCCTAATGTCAAAAGCCCAAAACCACGTCGAAGACCATTAAACAGGGATTCACAGAACAGAGGTTCACAAAAATTTAGATCGGACGAGTTAAGAAAACAACAAACTGATACATCTCTAGATGAAATACATTCAACTTCAACTCAAGAAATTCCATCAACTGGAAATGTACCAATTACTACACCAAAACCACCACCAGTACCCACATTATCTCCTTGGTACGATGGTTATGGAAAATAAATAATTAATAACTTATTACTTTAATAAAACATTGAGATTAATGCTCGCATAATTTTATTTTTAAAGAGATTTTCTTTTTTAATACAAAAATTATATTAAAAAATTCTATTACTCCTTGTTACAAAAGTAAACTAGACAATAAGATCAAATTCATTGTAATAATACGATATGTTCGTCCCCCTGATGAAAGAAAAAGGCAATTTATCTTGATTCATGTGATTGTCAAGATCATCGTAACCCTAAAACATATGTATAAATCAATTATTAGCATGACATCATTCTTTGTGCTACCAGCGAATATATATATTATATACATATATACATTCTTTTTGAACTGAATAATTCATCAAAATGAAAACTAGTATATCCCACTTTCATTCGATTTTTGTATATACATTTCTAATATAACTAGAAGACCCGGCGAACTTCGTATCGCTCTATAATCAAGAAATATCTGTTACGTTTTTTTATTTATATTTTTGGAGTTTACCTTTAAACCATAAATCTCCGTGTTTTGAAGTGCGACAGAATGATTGACATATTAGTTAATTGTCAAATCTAATGTCAAAAAAGTTTCTATGGGAAATAGAAAAGGGCTGTTTTTAGGGTTTTCCCCGAAATGAACCTCCACGAATATTTCAAGTCTAAGATAAGACAAATCCGTTCAGCCGTTCTCGAGTTTTAGTGAGACTAACGAACAGCAATTAATTTCTATCTCATACATATATTATAGTCGCAATTTCCTTTCCATATTTTCCATTTCACCCATCAACACGAAATGAAACCAGGATCGCATCTGTTCCTCATGATAATATTAACTAAATAATAGAACAGTTGTAATAAAAAAACAAATTCCTGCTTCCTCGGAGCGTTGGTGAGGAAGAAAGGGTAAATATTTGATAGTGATGAGAATTTATCGATGTTTCAACCAAAAAAAAATTATAAATATATATATTGTATGTTACAAATAATAATAAATAAAATAAGATTTAATATAGAACGATTATAGTATAGGTGTGTAAAAAAATATATATGTATTATTAATCCCTACTAATATTATAAATGCGAAAGTAACTCTGTCTGTCTGTCTGTTACGCTTTCACGCCTAAACCACTGAACTGATTTTAATGAAATTTGGTACAGACATAGAGTTGACCTTGAGAAAGAACATAGGATAGTTTATACCCCAGACTTTTGAAAGGTTCTCTTTGAAACGCGATATAAGCGAACTCCACGCGGGCGAAGCTGCGGGCGGAGAGCTAGTATGTTTAATAAAAATTGTGTTACATATACAAAGGTATCAAAATACCCTCAATTCTATACATTAAAGTAATATGCTAAAACCATACAAATAATGTTTTTTGAGTAAACTTAATCTGTACAAGTTGTACACCATCGATATCTGAGGTCGGTACGGAAGCAACATTTCCATGTAGGTCGCATAAAAATAACATTTTCGCGAACCCCTGAGAACGGCTGCTGCTGAGTCTTGGGAAACATACCGCGCCATCTGGATCCGCTCGGATAAACATATACATATATATACAGTATTTACTTACGATTATACATATATGCTTAATAATCTAGATTATAGAAAATAATATGATTGTTGATTAAAAGATGTATATTTTTCTTTATATAAGCATATATTTTTTGTTATTACTGACATATATAAGATATACAATACATATACAAGATATCTCAAACCGTATATATGGCTAGTAAAAAGATATATTAGTGATATTTTTGTAACATATATATAAGATCATTGTACACCCTGGTTTGTTGTGTAATTAAAAATTATATAGTTGAGTTAATTATCAAAAATAACAAGTGTTAATATTTAAGACTCATGAATTTATGAGACGATTCTGAAATGAAAAACTTTGAAATGTATATACATATATATACGCCTATGATATTTTTCCACTTATTCAAAAAAGGTAAAACAAAAACTTACAGACGGCAAACACATTACACCTTCAAAACATCTGTTCATTTGATTAAAGTAGAGAAGCAAATTCTTGGCCAATTTCATTTAAATAAATATTAATATTATATATTAAGTAATATGTAATATGTATATATGTATTATGGCTTCATTTAACCAACATTTTTTCTTAACAATTAATTGTCACGCGTAGATGTTGCATCCACAAAGGTCAGCCAGTAAATACATTTTTTATCCAAAGAATTTCCATATTCTTAGTAAATTCTTGTACAAGTTCTTCTCGTCGTGTTAAAGAAATTTATATGAGAATCGTGTTATTTTTTTTTGTACCTACATATATATATATTAAAAATTCATAACCGGAACTGGATTCAAATATTGTATTGTGTAATGCTGAGTAGACGCTGCGAGGGTTAGGCCCTGTTTGTTTTTAGATAGAAGCGAGTTGGACGATCAGTTGGACGATCAGTTGGTCGATCAGTTGGTCGATCAGTTGGTCGATCAGTTGGTCGATCAGTTGGTCGACCAGTTGGTCGATCAGTTGGTCGACCAGTTGGACGATCAGTTGGTCGATCAGTTGGTCGACCAGTTGGACGATCAGTTGGTCGACCAGTTGGACGATCAGTTGGTCGACCAGTTGGACGATCAGTTGGTCGATCAGTTGGTCGACCAGTTGGACGATCAGTTGGTCGATCAGTTGGTCGATCAGTTGGAAGATCAGTTGGTCGACCAGTTGGACGATCAGTTGGTCGACCAGTTGGACGATCAGTTGGTCGATCAGTTGGTCGATCAGTTGGTCGATCAGTTGGTCGACCAGTTGGACGATCAGTTGGTCGACCAGTTGGTCGATCAGTTGGTCGATCAGTTGGTCGATCAGTTGGTCGATCAGTTGGTCGACCAGTTGGACGATCAGTTGGTCGATCAGTTGGTCGATCAGTTGGTCGATCAATTGGTCGATCAGTTGGTCGATCAGTTGGTCGATCAGTTGGACGATCAGTTGGTCGATCAGTTGGTGGATCAGTTGGTCGATCAGTTGGACAATCAGTTGCCCAACCAGTTGGTCGATCAATTGGTCGATCAGTTGATCGATTGAATCAAAATCTTATAATACTGCGATCTCTTTGAAAATCAATGAATTAATTTGCCGACTAGTAACCGAAACGTCGGGATCATCCCTGCTAATTTTATAAGCAAAAGTAACTCTGTCTGTTACGCTTTCACGCCTAAACCACTGAACTGATTTTAATGAAATTTGATACAGAGATAGAGTTGACCTTGAGAAAGAACGTAGGAAATTTTTCATCCTAGACTTTTGAAAGGTTCTCTTGGAAACACGATGTAACCGAACTCCACGCGAGCGAAGCTGCGGGCGGAAAGCTAGTATAATATATAGAATTCTTACAAATATCATATTGTCATCCATATGTCATTACGTATCATACGTCATTATATCATTATACGTCAATTACATAGCTGTCAATTGCGTTTTGTTACTCCAGGTCTGATTATGTTTTGTTTTATAGTGACTGAAGTTTCATGTCAAGTCCCACGGGAATGCTGTCGAACGGGATAAAAAGTATCCTATTGCAATTTCATGGCTCTAAACTACCTCCCTGCCAATTTTCAGCTAAATCGGTTCAGCCGTTCTTGAGTTATAAGTGGAGTAACTAACACGACTTTCTTTTATGTATATAGATTACGTCATATTTAAGTGGGTATTTTTAAACGAGGGTTTTAAAAAATAATTTTACTTCACTCGAGATATAACTGAAATGGATCTTAACATTGAACTGCTGTTTTTCATTTCTAGCATCATTTGAGATGCTTTCTCTCCCTCGTACTATCCCAATATCAAATTAATCCATCTTAATTCTGTGTCTTTCTCAGAGTGACTAGAAATTTATGATCAATCTCGTGAACCATTCTACGGCTACTCCCTATTGTAACTATCACATAACATTTCCGTTTACTTACTTGTGGGCTAAATTATTTGATTTCTGATATGAGATTTTAATGATTAACTAATCAATTTGTCAAACTATTTAAAATGTAATGGAAATAAAAAGCAACTACTATAGTATGAAATATATGTATAATAATTTTGTATATGTTTATACATTATTTAGGATTCGGAAAAAAAATTAAAAATATGTATAAGTGTCTTTCAAATCTATAGCGTCTAAACGAAAATCTTTTAACTGGAATGAACTTGACTTAAAAACTTTTATTAATAATTATCTAAACCAAAACAACTTAAATTTGATCTTTAAAGATACAAACAAATCTCGTTATCATATAGTTTTCTGTATGTTCCACAAAAGTGAACAAAACAATATTTTATCGATTCAATATTACTTCAACGTAACGTTCGGTTTGAAATAAATATGGGATTGTGATAATCTCATTGGTTAGATACAGGAAGAGTGTATTGTAACTTGTAAAGTGAAAATTATGATTGCCCTCAAAATTTGAGTTCCTGTTTGCATCACTTTTCATAGTCATGTTTCAGTGAGCAGAACACTTGAACACAGATGAGGTAAAAGTCGCTCCTCTGTTTAAAGTTGACGGAGTCATCTCTGAATCTTACGTCTAAATATAACACTACAGATCATGACCTACTCGTATTTCAAGGATGACATAATATTGAATACGTTTATCTTCTATCTTCTATATATATAAAAATGGATTGCTGTTCCTTGGTCTCACTAAAACTCGAGAACAGCTGAACGGATTTATCTTATCTTAGTTTTGAAATGTTCGTGGAGGTTCAGGGAAGGTATAAAAGCTGAAAAAAATTGATTCATTACTGGGAAAACCATAAAAACAGCCCTTTTCTATTTCCCATACAAACGTTTTTTTTGACATTAGATTTGACAACTAACTAATATGTCAATCATTCTGTCGCACTTCAAAACACGGAGATTTATGGCTCACAGGTAAACTCCAAAAATATAAATAAAAAAACGTAATAGATATTTCTTGATTATAGGGCGATACGAAGTTCGCCAGGTCTTCTAGTTATGAATAAAAGCATATCTGAAACACACGTCCGACAACTTCATCTCTTGGTTGAGTGAACCACAAGCCGACTAAAACCCCTCCACTTACTCATACAAATAAAGGATTTTAATTTGTCAATAATAACTTTTTTTAAATGAAAGAAAGCAAAACTTATTTTTATTTAATAAATATGCGTGAAAGCCTAGTCAACAGCTAGCGGTATTAAAACAACTAAATACCCATGCTTAAAGAAATCTGCGCATGTCAAAACACCACTCTCCGTTCCAAGGTACTATATACCTGTACTTAGCTGGTGCTTGTGTAGTTTTCCTATATGAACCACTGATGAATTTTAACTAATAGCAATCACCGGTTTGGACTTGAACTACCCGATAAGGTCTACGTACCAGGGTCTAGTTTTCCTACGGACTGTGAATGTTTAATTATGAAAACTAAATAATATTAATATTATAAGAACGTACTAGTAGTATCTGCCTCTGGCAACTTTTTTTGTGAATTTGCATCAGCAGTCCGTGAGCTCTCGACCTGTACTACCCTAGCCAGATTTAGCCAGATCTCAGGCTTTTTGGACATATGGATAGCGAGCTTACGAAACAGCATTCGATGATAGAGGTCATAACATTAATATGGGCTAGAATTTTCAGTGCAGAAGCTTGTGTACTTTTTTTCTGTCTACTAACAAGTATTTGGAAGCTAAAGACCAAGACTACTGAGACTGTATTGGTTAACGTGCTCTTAATCTTTCCAGCATCCTTATGAATTGAATATAGGAATTAAAACTTACCCAGTGTGTCAACTATAAATGAAACAAATTTGTGGCTGTTAGATTGAGGTAACAGTGCCTTAATTTGAATTGCCAGTTCATTTTATTATTTACCCGTGAAAAAGTATACGATCTAGCAGAATCATTATTTTGACATTTGTTTCTAATTGTAGCTTTAAGGCAGAACGTTTAGTTTATAACAAAAGTGTCAGGATTGATTTTAAGGCTATTTTCATAATTCCATCATACTCGCGGCTACGATGATCTGACTAAGAACGTCTCCTACTTCTCGATCGTTATCTATACTGGGAACACGTTAAACTCCTAGGTCGAGTTCTGTTCCGAGACCTACGATCTCTATCTTGTCGAAAGCGACTTGTTGCGAGACTGATGTTGTCATATTCACACACAAGTAACAGTTAAAAGCAAAAAATATATAATTGTTTTTTTTATTACTTGATTTATTACTTTTTTATAAAATCAAATGGGTATTTCATAAAAATAAATGCAAACATATTTTTATGTACGTTACTCCACTTCTGAATGTAGAGTGCGGACAAAATCATTAGAAAAAATATTATATGTTTGTGTTACAGATGTACAGTTTTAAATAACAAATCAAACCTTCCCTAAATCTAGACTAAGCAATTTCGGCAGGGTCGCGAGGCAAGCTCTCGACATACCGTGGCCCTGCCTAGGTGGCGTGGATGAGGAACACCCAGGGGTTTTAGTGGTTCGAAACCCCACATAACCCGGTCAAGTCCCCGCTCGGCCGGGTATCTGTGCACAGATTTCCCCTGGGAAAACAAAAAAAAGACTAAGCAATTTAATACAAATTCTAAATATTAAGGTTACATTTATTATAGAGGAAGATCCCAGAGCTCCCAGACGTCACTTATTTTCTGATGGACAAAATATATACGAGTGAGTAGTGGTGGGGTGTGCTATGATCATATGACTAGTTGCTACCTTGGCCAGACGGCCATTTTTCAGGTAGCAATTAATCAAGGTACATAGAAATACTGCTCACTTCACTTAAATTCTGATAGCTGATTTTAACATATATTTCACACAATATCGTTAAAAATCAGGATTCATTACTCCCAGACACATGCGGTCGGCGGTTTTACCTTACAGACGCTTCAAAGCTATTAAAAAAATTAATTAAGGTCACTTATTTTCTGATGCTTGATTTTTATATATGTTATTCAAACAATTATTTTTAAAACGTTTTGCAAACGGACAGACCGATCCAAGGGGCCAAACATTCACCAGACCCAATTTTCATGTCGCTGAGAGTAGGGGCACGGGCATTATCCGTGCGCATAAGTGCGAGTGAGACAGACATGAGTGTCATTGCTTCTCTCCTTCTATTTGAAAATCACGTAAATAATCAAAGATTAACTTTGAGAAAAGTGCTCATCTGACCGCAATAATTATACAATTGTACCTTACAAACTGTTTTATTAATTTAAATTTTTTTAAGTAAGTTAATTTTAAATTTTTAAAGTAAATATCAAAAGGTTTACAAAGTATTAATAATTTAATTAAATAACAGCAACCTTTTCAAATAATTATTTATTTGTAACGAACCTTAAAAAACTACAAAAAATCGACAAATATTTTTTTACATAAGTTTGTAAGATTAATTTGTAAATATTCGACTGGCTTCTAATCTTCATTGTCATCGTCGTTGAAGTCAGGTAATTCATCATCGAACCTATCTTGATATTGAATATCTAAATCATCATCTTGTTATCATAATTGTTTGAATAACATATATAAAAATCAAGCATCAGAAAATAAGTGACCTTAATTAATTTTTTTAATAGCTTTGAAGCGTCTGTAAGGTAAAACCGCCGACCGCATGTGTCTGGGAGTAATGAATCCTGATTTTTAACGATATTGTGTGAAATATATGTTAAAATCAGCTATCAGAATTTAAGTGAAGTGAGCAGTATTTCTATGTACCTTGATTAATTGCTACCTGAAAAATGGCCGTCTGGCCAAGGTAGCAACTAGTCATATGATCATAGCACACCCCACCACTACTCACTCGTATATATTTTGTCCATCAGAAAATAAGTGACGTCTGGGAGCTCTGGGATCTTGGACTATTACTTCAATTCTATTTTCATTTGCTGAATCTCTGAAAGCTTGTCGACAAAATTGCCAAAATTTTATATATAAACCATGTTATGTTTGGCGAAGATAAATTAAAATTGTAACTCATTTTCTTATTTCAAATTACTCTGTTGTTTATACATATTAATTAAGTGTCTATTTAGTAAAAATACAATACTCATATTAACATTTAAATGAAATCTTTCATACTTTTCTTCTTAAAATATCGAATAATAAAAAATTTTACTTCAAAATATATGATGTCAAAATCTATATCTATCAGAAAATGTAAGGGAATTTGTATAAATAATTAAAAGTTGTTAATATTAATACAAGACAATACTTTTGTATGGACGCGCCTCATGATGTACATAGCTCTCCTAACCATATAAAGTACTCTATAGAGTTATAACTACTGTTTTGACATAAATGTATATAATATTAAATAAATGTGTTATTAAAGTAATTTTTCTTGAGTAAAACGTGAAACTGGAGACGGAATTGTCATTGCTTTATGATTTTTAGAAGGAGAACCGATGTGTCGTTGTAACCACTACATCTTTCATTATTAAACCATTTTTGCTTTAATACTTTTAAACATTTCACTTTAACCTAAAAGTAAAATAAACATAACAATTATTTAAAGTTTGTAAGAAATCCTCACTAAGTCATATTTAGCTAATGAAATTACATTTAGCTGAGTAATTACGTAACAGTTAATTAATTAATGTTATTAAATTATCCGAAATTATGATACTAGGATAATTATGATCTGCAATTAAGTTTAAATAAAAAGCACTATCTTTTAGCACTTATTTAGCAGTTAGTATTGAAACAGCCAGAGAATTATAACATGTTTGTAAGACTGTTTTAAACATATATATACAAATATATTTCTGTCAGAAAAATGGTTCGCTTACAAATTCTACTACTAGTTGTGTCAGCTGTACTAACTACTGTCTATTCATTAGACAACGACGATATAAATACAACAGCTCCACCGAAGTCTGAGGACAAGCTAATCTACAGTGTTATACAAAGAAGACGACACCAAGTTCCTCATGAAGAAATCAAAGAAGAAGATGTTGGAAGGTACTTCAGAAGACCACCTCGGACAACAACCGCGCCATCAATATTTTCAATGAAAGTTGAAAATACATATCAACATGTGTACCCGAACGTGAGATCATCAGGCGAACAAATCCATCTTAACCGAGACCAAACAAATGTCGATGACACTGGTTTGTCTTCAAAGCCCTCCTCTATAAAAATACCTATGGAACGAATTGTCATGAGAACAAAAAATTTAAGCAGAAGAATACCATTTGCAAAACGATATCATCCTGCTGTTGCTCAACCGATTACAAGTTTTAACGATAATCATCTAGAAGAACATAAGGTTGAAACTGAATCTACATCGACAACTACAACTTCAACAACAACGTCAACTACACCAGAGCCTGTGGTACTAGAAACAACTGATATGGAACAAATAAGAAAAGTATCTGTTGAAGATTTCCAAATTGTGGATTCTTTCCCCTCAAAGACATTAGAAATTTCTCAAGATGTAATGTCTGATATTCAAAATTCTGAAAAGTTGAGTGTTATGCAAAGAAGACGAAACCAAGTTCCTCATAAAGAAAACAAAAACGACGATGTTTTAAGATACTTCCGCAGACTACACCGGACAACAACCGTACCATCAATATTTCCAATGAAAGTTGAAAGTACTTATCAATATGTGTACCCAAACATGAGACCATCAGATAAACAAATCTACCCTAAACAAAACCAAGCGGATGCTGGTGATACAGGTGTGTCCATTATTAAAATACCTACCGAACGAATTGTCATGAGAACAAAAAATTTCACCAGAAGATTACCATTTGCAAAACGATATCATCCTGCTGTTGTTCAACCAATTACAAGTTTTAGCGATCATCATCTAGAAGAAGACACGATCGAAATTGATTCTACATCAACAACTACTTCGACAACAACGTCAACTACAACAACAACTACACCAGAACCTGTAGTACTTGAAACTACTGAAATTGAACAAAGAAGAAAAGAATCTGTTGAAGATTTAAACAATTCGGATTTTTTCCCTTCAAGGACATTAGAAATTTCTCAACATGTAATGTCGGAAATTCGAAATTCTGAAGAGTTAACTGAACCAAAAGTTACAACAACCACAAGTAAAACTATTTCCACTACCATAGAGAAATTAGAAGAAACGGAATATGTCCCTACTTCAATTTACGTTCCAAATATAATATCTCACACCCGAAGACGACGGCCATATTTTCTTAAAAGGGTACATATGCAACCCATCAAAGAAACACTGACAATTAATGATAATGGGGTCGTGTCCACTGCTGCACCTACAGTAGATGCCACTACTGAAACTGAACAAGAAAAGAAAACCATTTCCACGTCTCATGAGTCAGATTTACCGTCTATTGTCAAAAAAACAAAACTACGTCGACGACTATTAAACAGGGATTCACTGAACAGGAGTTCACAAAAATTTAATTCGGAAGATTTAAGAAATAAACAAACTGATACATCTCTAGATGTATCACATTCAACTTCAACTCAAAGAATTCCCCCAACTCTGAATGTTGAAATAACAGCATCACCTGTACCAATGACTTCACCAAAACCACCACCAGTACCAACATTATCTCCTTGGTACGATGGTTTTGGTAAATAAATAGTGAATAATATATGTATTAATTTAATAAAATATTAAGAATTCAGTTCGTATTTTTATTTTAATAGAAATAATTGAATTTTAATTTTAATTGTCACCCCATAATAAAAAACTTTTACAGCTTTTCTATACATATAAACTTGACAGTACACTATATTTTTGTTACCCCTGATGGTATAAGAAGAGTTTTCAGTCCTTATCTCTGTTTTCCGGAATCATGTAAATTGGTTATAACGAATTATTTTTTCGTGTGGCATGTGAATACAGGACTTTTTAAAAAGTTTTTCTTCTCTACAATTATTTTTTTAATCAGTATAAAAAATCTAATCTATAACATTTTATTAAATTGTTATTTAATATTTAATTTGTAATCTTATAAATTGAGAGCATTTTGAACGAGAATTTGAAATAAGAATTTCACTTCACTCGATCTGCATCAAATTCGATTTCAACTCCGATTTTTATATAAAAACATCCTCAAAGTTCAACTAACTAAATTTAATAGCATATTTTATTTAAGATACTTAAGATGGTGTCTCTCCCTCATACTTTCACAATTCCAAATTAATCCTATTTGTTTCTGTGTCTTGTTCAGAGAGTGTCATTTCATAAAATGGTACTCTCTGACCATAGTCAATAATGTCCACCATTCTAGGACCACCACTCATTTTTCTAATTATACAACATTGATTGCTGAGATTTAATGATTGACTAATACTTTAGTTGATCATAAAAATCTCAGCTATATAATTAATAAATTTAGCAATAACAACAATTCTAACTATAGGAAATAATAAAATTATGATGTATTATACTCAGAATTCGATTTACTATATTGTTAAATGTTATAATTGCTTAAAAACAATTGGAATGAAGCTGCATTATATGTAAAAAAATTAGATTTAATTTAATAAAAATAAAATTAAAATTAAATTTAATTTAACTATTTTATTCTTAATTATGACAAATTTACGTGCACATTGATATATTGTAACCTACAATGGAAAGGAAGAATAAAAGACTTTTTTGGTTTTATTTTTATTTTAATCTATTAGTAAGTAATATAATGGGAAAAGATAACTACTATAGTATGAAATACATATTAATACAAAATACTATTCTATAAGGAAAAATAAACAAAGTAAAGGTATGTTTTTTTAAACTTCAGTTATGATTTAGTTTGTTGAATATTTGTAAATAACTCGACCTTGGAGGAGATTAAATTTTTGTAAATAGTTCTGCCTAATTTAATAACAAATAATTTAAATATACGTCTTATCAAATCTGCAGGTGTAGTATTGTAATCAGCTATTGCAAATAAAAATAAAATATGAGCTTGAATTTTTTATATGCAGTCATCTGTGTGATGAACATATCGGCGCTATCAGCAATAAAGACGGATGCGACTTGAAAATAATTTGAGGTTGTCATCAATTCTTATTAAACCTCATTAGTATTTATGATTATTGTTAAAAGTAAAACGAAATCAAAGGTTGCTTAAAAGGAGAATAGAACTATATATATATATTCTTAATGCACGACTGAAGAGTTCAGTGAGTGTGAATCATTGAAGAATGTGATCATGAAGAACCTTCGAGAAAAAATTCAAAAACATTTGGGATAATTCAAGTTTTTTTTTAAGTAACGTACGGCAAGAACTGACATTAGTGACTCGCTTTAAAAAACAATTTTCTAATAAATCAGATAAACATATTTTTGATTGTACTTGAGATTTCACAGGGTTCAAAAAGCAAATTATTTTATCATTTAGACATATGTTTTAGAGCAGACAAATAAAATACCAACATATCTTGACGAAAACAACAATTTTATTTGAACTTTTCTGTTGTTTTATCGCTGTTTCTATTATAAGGATAATGTTACTAACGGCTTGTTTCAGTAGAATCCAACAGCTGTAATTGTTTCACATGCATTGAAATGAAGCGAGACTTTTGTATTTACAAGAAATTGTTGTGGGTTTATCGGAACTTTCATGGATTGGTCAAAAACGATGTCAACAAATGAAGATATATATTATATATTTTATATATATGTATATTGTAGTCCGACGGCATTGTTCTGCACTTTTAATATTTTGCCAAAGACTAGTATGTATAACCACAGTCTTATTGTTATAACCGACATTTTTTGTACAAACTGAATATATTTTTCAAAAAGGTTTAATCTCGGTCCCATATTAGACGGTGTAACAGATAGATGAATTATATAGTGGTTTTTGTGTTACCGATTAAGAAGTTTTAACATTCAAAACAATTGTAAAGAACTAACTTCTTGTTTTACGCATTCCCACTTCATCAGAAATAGATAATGGGTTATGAAATAATTCATGCTAAGAACAGACGGTACAGTCCTTTATTTAAAAAACTCATTCAATTTCTATAAGTTGTATAGTGTAAGTGACACAAAATCAATAGTTTGTTAGTTTCATGTATATGAATTGCCCATTGTCATGTATAGACTACATTTTATGAAAAATCTGAATTTTCTATTCATTAAAACGGTGAATCCTCAAGAATGGTGTATCGTCAAAGAAAAAGTGATTTTGAAATTATAGTAAGGAAATTATGACTAAAAACTAATGTCAAAACTATTGTATTTATTGATTAATAATATTTTAAGAAATCATTTAATTCAATCAAAATATTTCAATTACAATAAGGTTGCAAGAAAAGCATATTAAGTCATATTTAGCTAATGCAAATCCATTAAGTATGTATAAGCAATAAAAATATCCGAAAATTATTATATTAGGGTGATTATGATTTGCAATTAAGTTAGAATGTTAGAATAAAAGCAACAATCTTCAAACAATTACTAAACAGAGAGTTTTGAACAGCCAGAGTAATATAACACTCTTGTAAAATTGTTTCAAACATAAACATTCAGTTTTGAAATAAAAATGGTTCGTTTACAAATTCTACTACTAGTAGTGTCAGCTGTACTAACCACTGTCTATTCAATAGACAACGAGGATTTAAATACAACAGTTCCTCCGAAGTCCGAGGCCAGGCTTATCTACAGTATTATACAAAGAAGACGACACAAAGTTCCTCATGCAGAAATCACAGAAGAAGATGCCGGAAGGTACTTCCGGAAACCATCTCAGACAACAACCGCACCATCAATATTTTCAATGAAAGTTGAAAATACGTATCAACATGTGTACCCGAACGTGAGATCATCAGACGAACAAATCCATCTTAACCGAAACCAAACAAGTGTCGATGACACTGGTTTGTCTTCAAAGCCCTCCTCTATAAAAATACCTATGGAACGAATTGTCATGAGAACAAAAAATTTAAGCAGAAGAATACCATTTGCAAAACGATATCATCCTGCTGTTGCTCAACCGATTACAAGTTTTAACGATAATCATCTAGAAGAACATAAGGTTGAAACTGAATCTACATCGACAACTACAACTTCAACAACAACGTCAACTACACCAGAGCCTGTGGTACTAGAAACAACTGATATGGAACAAATAAGAAAAGAATCTGTTGAAGATTTCCAAATTGTGGATTCTTTCCCCTCAAAGACATTAGAAATTTCTCAAGATGTAATGTCTGAAATCAAAAATTCTAAAGAGTTTAGTGAGCTAAAACTTACGAGAACTACAAACAATCCCATTTCCACGTCAATAAAGACATTGGAAGAAACTGAATTTTTCCCAGCTTCTATTTATGTTCCAAATATAATATCTCACACCCGAAGACGACGACCACATTTAGCTAAAAGAGTACAAATGCAACCTATCAAAGAAACACTGACAGTTAATAACAATGTGGTCTCGTCTACTTTGGCACTTACAGGAGATGTTACTACTGAAAAGGAACAAGGAAAGAAAACGATTTCTCCGTCTCATGAGTCAGTTTCACCGTCTATTGTCAAAAAACCAAAACTACGACGACCATTAATGAACAGGGATTCACTGAATAGTGGTACACAAAAATTTAGTTCGGAGGAGTTAAGAAGACAACAAACTTATACATCTCTAGATGAATCACATACAACTTCAAGTCAAGAATCTCTCTTCACTCTGAATGTCGAAAAATTAGCATCACTTGTACCAATGACTTCACCAAAACCACCACCAGTACCCACATTATCTCCTTGGTACGATGGCTTTGGTAAATAAACTATGAATAATGTATTACTTTAATAAAACATTTATATTCATATTCGCATTTTTTAATTTTCAATGAAAATTAGTTTAATGCCGTTCCATTTCAATTTAAGAAAAATTACTGCTTTTTTATAAATCTAAACTTGGTAGTAGCGTCAAGCTTATTTTTCAAAATACAATATTTTTATCCTTTACGATTAAAGAAGAGTATTCATTGTGTTTTGTATGATTGTTTAGGTCATCATAGCCCTGAATGTATAAATTGATTATAATGATATCTTCCCTCGTGCGGAATGTAAATTATTTTTAATTATATACTTATTAATCAAAATAAAACCAATTAAAGGCAACATGACAGCATTTAAATAAGACTATTTACAGCTTTAAAATTTCTTTTCTTCATGCAGTTTTTAAGAATACAATTATTAGGTTAACAATAAATACCACATACAGGATTAAACTGAGATGTGTTCTTATAAAAATCAACATGTATTATGATAAAAAAAATTGTTTAAAAAAATATAATTATTTAGCGATGTCACATAACTTTGACTTATTAAACAACAAACAAAATATAAAAAAAGCAGCATGTTATTATTTTTAAGCTTAAACTGAAATTGGTTTTAAAAATAACTAGTTGTTGCCCGCGACCTCGTCCGCGTGAACATGTCATAGGGTGAATTGTGAAATGTATAAAGCGTGTTACAAAAATAGATATAACAGATGGTACTAGCAATTTAATAAATGCAGGCCTTCATTTGAAATACATAAAAATATAAATGTTACATTTTAAAACTGTTTTTGAATATTATTAGTTGAGATCTGGACAGACTGTTGAAATACTAAAGACTTATACTATTATAGTATTACATAATTTAAACATATAATATATATAAGAAGAAGACAGACCATTGTCTGTCGAGTCAGCTGTACACAATTAAGAAATTAACTTCATTGAGTTAAAAAGGTAACAGATATTTCTTGATTATAGGGCGGTACGAAGTCCGCCCGGTCATCTAGTAGAAAAATAATTTGCAATAAAATAATATTGCGGCTCTCATAATAATAAAATTATTTTAGAGTAAAGTTGATAATTAATATAAAAACGTAATATATTTTTGTACCTCATGTAGCTCTGACTACTTTAAAATTATTACTTCTATTAAGACTTATTGGGACATAAATATTTATACATAAAAAGTTTACTGTTCTAAATTTTTTTTTTTAATTTTAATTTGGAACACGGATTTTTTTACATAAATGACCAGATGACCTACCTAGTTTGAAGTAGTTACCCTCGCCCAATGACATATTCTAGAACACTAGGTATGTTACACATGCTTTTCCGTCCTTGATTGTGGTGAAGGAGCCTGAAATTATGATGTTTGAAAGACCCCACGTAAATTATGTAAAAAAAATTATACGTTTATCCGCTTTGTCAAATGTATTGTTAAATAAAATAACATGGGAATTGGGAATTGAACAAAATAGAATTGTAGTCATTGAAGAGATTGCCTTGCAAAAAGTGATTATGGAGTCCTAAGTCATTTCCCAGACACTTTAAAAGCTTTGTATCAGTCGTGTGTTCGTATATCATTTTTTCAACAGATACAAGACCCCTTCAACTGTCAAAGACGAGTAATAATAATCAGGGTGATTGTATGCTCCTAAAAATACAGTGAGACACAGAATTCGTATAAATCCCTTTCAGTTGCAAAAAATATTATAAAAACAATGAACATTCTCGCTAGAACTCTGTCCCGTAGTATAAATTAATACCTTTAGCTTGGTGTTTATCGTTTATTTCCAGGACATGCCCTTAACAAATCTTTATAACAAAAGAGAATAGAACGATCGCGATGTTTGATATTATGAAGGGCATAGAAATACGCTGTTTATAGATAAATAAATTGTCACTATTAATGAAAACTGCAATACGCAAAATGTAAAACTCTAAACTAGCAGTTTTGAAAAAGTCCTACATCGGTGATGGTTCGCTGAACCGTGTCTCTAATAAAATAAGGACAAAACAATCACTTTTGTAAAAAAGTGTGAAAACTTGTGCCAAAGTTTAATAAGATATGACCTTGGGGAGCGTGACCTTTTGAGGTGGCAGAGCCTAGCTGTAGTCAATTTACTTGGGCTCGAACTTGGGCTGGCTCGACCGGGGAAGTACCACCCTCTCACAGAAAATCGGCGTAAAGTAGTCTTTAAAGGCTTCGTTTCGTCCGGTGAGTGAGAGAGCCGGTTGTCCTTTCCCTTTTCCCAACCTTTCCTTTCCCTCCCTTTCCCATCTTTTCCTCCTCCTTTTCCCCAATCAAGGGGAGCAACACATCTGCAAATCTACGTTGCGGATGTCCATGGGCGACGGTAACTACCTACCAGCAAGTAGGCCGTCTGCGCAGTTGCCCCCTTTTCCCATAAATATATATATATATATATATATGTATATATATATATATATAGGAAATCCTCTTACTGTATCCTTAATAAAAAGTTGATTCTATTTTGTATTTACTACGGAACTTCATAAAAAAAAAACACATTTTTAATTACATAACGGAACTGGTAGCTGGACAATCTATAAAATATATAATACATATGTTTACAAAGTATTTTTCTCTTGAGAGTAATATAAAGTGGAGAAGGAATTATCATTATTATATCCTTTTTAAAAGTAAAAATTATAACTTTTTTGGATTAATTTTTGAATTATTAAAACCAGTTTATGAGAAGATAGTTTTAAATATTTATAATTGATTGATAGAATTATTTTAAGAAATCATTAAATACAAAACAAAATATTTAAATTACAAAAACCTATATTAAGGTTTAAGTCATATTTAGCTAATGCAATTCCATTAAGTATAAGCGTTTATATTACACGACAATTATTATATTAGGATAATTATGATCTGCAATTAAGATTGAATAAAAAGCACTATCTTTAAGCACTTAGCAGTTAGTTTTGAACAGGCAGAGTAATATAACACCCTCGTAAAATTGTTTCAAACATTCAGTTTTGAAATAAAAATGGTTCGTTTACCAATTCTACTACTAGTTGTGTCAACTGTACTAACCACTGTCTATTCAATAGACAACGACGTTTTAAATACAACAGCTCTTCCGAAGTCTGAGGCCAAGCAAATCTACAGTGTTATACAAAGAAGACGACACCAAGTTCCTCATGAAGAAATCAAAGAAGTAGATGGTGGAAGGTACTTCAGAAGACCACCTCGGACAACAACCGTACCTTCAATATTTTCTATGAAAGTTGAAAAAACATATCAACATGTATACCCGGACGTGAATTCATCTGACAAACAAATCCACCCTAAACAAAACCATACGAATGAAGATTACCCCAGGGGGTCCTCAAAGCCGTCCATTAAAAATATACCTACCGAACGTGTTACCTTAAAAACTAGAAATTTAAGCAGAAGAATACCGTTTGCAGGAAGGTCTCATCCTGCTGTTGCTCAACCAATGACAAGTTTTAACGATCATCATCAAGAAGAAGACAAGGTCAAAACTGAATCTACATCAACAACTACATCGACAACTACTACTTCAACAACAACGTCAACTACACCAGAACCTGTAGTACTTGAAACTACTGAAATGGTACAAGTAAGAAAAGAATCTGTTGAAGATTCCCAAAATTTGGATTCTTTCCCCTCAAAGAACACACAAATTTCACCAAACGTGATAGCTGAAATTCAAAAAAGTGAAGAGTTCATTGAAAAAAATGTTACGACAACTACAAGTACACCCATTTCTACTACCACTAAGAAATTGGAAGAAACTGAATTTGTTCCTACTTCTGTTAACGTTCCAAATATAATATCTCACACCCGAAGACGACGACCACATTTTGCTACAAGAGTACATTCACAGCCTATTAAAGAAACACTGACAGTTAATGACAATGTGGCCTTGTCCACTTCTGCACCTACAGTAAATGCTACCACTGCAACGGAACAAGAAAAGAAAAAGATTTCTCCTTCTTATGAGTTGGATTTACCGGCTATAGTCAAAAAACCAAAACTACGTCGAAGACTATTGAACAGGGATTCAGTGAACAGGAGATCACAAAAATTAGGATCGGACGAGTTAAGAAAACAACAAACTGATACATCTCTTGATGAAATTCTTTCAAGTTCTACTCAAGGAATTCCCTCAACACTGGATGTTGAAAAGTCAGCATCACTTGTACCAATGACTTCACCAAAACCACCACCAGTACCCACATTATCTCCTTGGTACGATGGTTTTGGTAAATAGATTATGAATACTTTATGACTTTAATAATATATTAAATTTTTTTCACGTAAAATTGTATTTTATTGTAATGAATATAAGTTAATTTCAATTTAATGAGTTGAATATAGACCGTTAGACTTAAGCTGAGCTTTGCATTTGTGAGAGCGAAAGTAAAAGTATAGTTAAACTAAAAACTTTTAGAATACAATTTTATTATATTTTAAATAGATTTATAACATTATGTAATATGTCTATATATAAAAGAAAGTCGTGTTTTGTGTTTCGTTTTTTATAAATGTTGTAACAAACACGAATTTACAACATAAAAATATAAATGTTACATTTTAAAACTGTTTTTGAATATTATTCGTTGCTGTCTGGACAGATTATTGAAATACTAAAAACTTATACTATTGAAGTACGTTATTAATTTAAACATATAAAATATAAGAAGAAGACAGACCATTGTCTGTCGAGACATCTATACATAATTAAGAAATTAAGTTCATTGAGATAAAAAGGTAACAGATATTTCTTGATTATAGGGCGGTACGAAGTCCGCCGGGTCATCTAGTATAATATGAAGGCAAAAGCTATTATAGATTAAAAGTAAAATAAGCAAGACTTGTAAAAAGCCAGATTTAAATATGACGGAATAAATATAATAAGTGCATTCACACAAATTTAAAGCTCAGCTTATGCCTCGCGCACTTTACCACCGTATTAGAATATTATAAAAGGGCTAACATTTCGCGATTGTAAATCATTTCCCATGTTATGCCACATCTATACAAATAAATAAATTTTGAGTTCTTGTGTGTAACATTAAAAAAAGATTATTTTTTTTAAATTTAAACAGCCATGAGTGCACAGTTCCTGTATAAAAACCATGTTTTAAAAAAATCAAGTGATTTCAATTTTTGACTGTCTATATATATAATGTGCAGATCATTTCTTCGATAATGCTATCAGTGAAAGATGTATATATATTATCATGAATACAGTGTTATAATATAACGGTTATTGTTCGTGATAATAGTACGCATCGTTGCAGTAATGCATTAAAGTAACGTATAAACCAAGGCCTCCAAAAATAACAACTCCTGTGAAAACTAAATTTAGCAAAGTATGTTTCATTATTAAAACTGTCTAAAAATGTTGTGTCCTTTTTGTTATTATTAACATTGCAAAAAAATATATTATTTGATAAAAATTGCCTATCCCTCACAAAATTTAATACTTTTACAACTTTAACATAAAACGTTAACGTAACGTAAACGTTAAATATATATATATTTTTTAATTTAAAATGAATAAATATTAAAAATATAAAATAAAGGTATTTTTAAAAGCGCCTTAGAGAAAGTTAAATATTGTTCACTTATAAAAATAAGCGCCTCTGAATTAACTGTCTTGAACTCGAAGAAACGAGGACGTTTGAAGTTCATAGAACACGAAAACACCAATATCAAGCGATACTTGATAAAATGGAGCTAAAATGGACCATGAAACACCTACATGAATATACACAGAATTTTTTACAGGTTTCTTTTGAGAATTTATTTGTATAACTACTATAGATTGAGCTTTCTCTAAAGCTTTAGAAACTTCAACAGGTCTATTTTGAATGAAACTTATAGTTACTTTTCAGTATATACAGTTACTTTTCAGTAATCATAATTACGGGCAGACGAGATGCTGATGATCACTATTGCTGAAAAGTAACCGAAACGTCGGGAGTATGTAGTTTTTACAATACTAAAATACACGCAGTAGAATCCGAAAAATATAAGTTTCATTAAAATGAATACTCGCGAAAGCCTTCAGTCTCATCAGGTCTTTTTGAGTCACCACTTTTTCTTCTTCTAATTCTTCAGCGATTCCCTATCAGTACAAATTTTGAGTCTTTGCGGAGTAGAATAACCCAAGGGTGTTAGTATTAGTGGCTGTAGAATGTTGTCTAAATTAAACACCCCTTCATCATTGAAGTTTTTTATTCCCTATTGTAGAAAAAAATTCTGTGTAGTTCTGAATAATAACATTTATAAGGAAACATTTTTAGCTCTGACACGAGAATTAACACTGTAGCAATTGTTACCAAGTTCATACTTCGATAAGATTAAAACAAAAATAAACGTATTTTAATATTGCTAGGCCAAAACGGTAGTAAGCTAATATTTTCAACTTATATTAAAGTATTGCACAACATACCACATCCAAATTTATTTGTCGTAATAGACTCATTACAAATGAAGCTATTGTTTGACGTTATACAATATTTAAATATCGATTAAATTAATATAAATTAAATGATTCATCAAGACCCTAATAGCCTACTTAATGAAATTGCGAGAAAAACTTGTTGTCACAAATATGTACCTAGTTTTTAAATTAGCAAATTATACGATTTCACCATAATAGAAATAACAAGCATTATTCCTTAGAAAATACTTCTTCAGCAGGAGTCTTAAGTTAAAATAATAAACAAAATAGAATATTTTATAGAATATTTTATATTTTTAAAAGTTAAATTAATTAGTAAAAAAAAAAAATTTTCTTCGTTTACAATTAATATGAAGCAAAATATTTTAAAACTAAATCATTAAAATAGGCCGCTCTATAGGTCTTTATAAACAATATCTAAGGTTAAAATATCTTCAGAAAACTTCTTTAATATAAATTAATTTTTAAGAACGTTGATAGCAAATCATCGATTTTATTTTGATAATTGAATTAAAAATCGGTATAAACTGAATAAAATGTACAGTTACTTCAACTTTTCTTAGTCTATTGGTACTCACTTAAAAATATTCAGATTATTTGAGCTAAATACCCTTAACGATTTTCTCGTTTTTTTTATTTTTGAAACCATAATCAATAATTAAAAAGATAATAATTGATAAAACAATATTTTACATGTTGACTTATCGGTCTTAACTGAGAGCTTCAGTTAAAAAAAAATGCACGGTATTTCTATAATTAAATTATGATTTTTCATCGTTAAAAAGTAAACTTAAATAAAGTGAAGGTTTTGGTTCAGTTACGGCAAATTGAGAATGTTGGGATATTATAAGTACCTAATATTAATATAAAATTTAGGCGATATTGGGGTTTTTTAAAAATACAGAAAATAACCATTTAATACTACAAAATATATAAAATAAAAGATTACGAAACATATTTTATCTATCATTGGATTTCAATACCAGTTAGCAGTAAAGTTACTTCGGCTATAACTTATTCTAAAAGTTTTCTTTTTTTCAAATAAACATAAAGCTTATCATAAAATTCCCAGTGCAAGTGGATTGTTTAAATAATTTTGGTGTCATATCTTAATACGTTACACATAAGACACACATTATAAAATTTGCAAAGAGATATGCTAGAGGTATACATATTGAGATAGTTGTAAGGTTCGGACCTCTAGCTAGGAATATAAACTCATTTTTCTTTTAATTAAGTAGTGCTGCGTGCGCTATATACTAACTTAGCAGATCCCGGTGTGAATTTGATTAGATACAGTAGTAATAAATGAAAATATTGTGAATTCATTGTTCTACTTATGTTCGATCATCTGAGCGACTTTGTAGATTCGACATATATATTTATTTAATATTCACAGAGAAATATATACCTAATCAATAATAAATTAACAAACGAAAAATAGCCGCTTAACATCATGAACAATTAGATTAACCAATCCAAAGAGTTATCTTTATAACTAATCTTGCACTGAGATTCAAATTTAAATCTTAAAAATTATAGTAAAATGATTAACGTACAAAAAAATATTAAAATTATTAGGTTTATTGTCATATGTTTGTCAGACGTCACAATAACAAGCATTTTAACAAGCTACGGTTATTATGAATACTATTGTAAATAAAGTAAAAATATCCTAAATATGTAATACATTATAGGAAACCGGCCAATATTTCAAGTATATTCTAATGTAAAGAAGTAATGAGGGCAAGTTTTTATATAAGATTCGATTATTTATGACATCGCACAATAATAATATTACAGATAAAGTGTTACCCTTACAGAAATGAAACACTTATACAAGTGCGTGTTTTTATATAACTCTTCTATAACTCTTTAATAAATCTATATAACTCTTCTTAAGACGTAAACTTATTTTACTTATTATTTTAATTCGTTTTGTAACATATTTAACACTCCTAAAAGTCCACACTTTAAAAGAATATAAAAAATGTGTTTTTTAATTACAATTATAAATTAGTATAAACATTATTACCTAATCATACTAAATAGTAAATTGTAAATAAATAACGTAACAGCCTACACAATTAACAAATTGTTCAAAAACATATTTAAGTGATTTTTTTTTCAATCCTTATTAGTTGCACATTCAACATCAGATATGATGTTTCTACTAGCAATTTTCAGTGTGATCGCAAGCGCACTTGCTTTACCTGTGATACCAGATCCACCATCGCTTCCAAATAGAAATGTAAGTGTGCTTCATCATTTGGATTTTCATACAAGAAACGTTAAGCCTTTTAAAGTTATTGTAGAAAAAGATAATGAAAACGGCGTGAAAACCAATTCCAATCTTGTTCTGCCAACTCAAAAACAGACAGCGAGTGATTGTCTTGATTGTGTTTATCTTCAAAAACAATTATATGAACTAAAAGAGGTACTTAAGAAAACAAATCAAGGAATTAAGATTAAAAATATTCCAGAAGAAAACAAAAATAACAAGGGTAAAGAAAACGAGCCCAAAGTAAAACTTACTATGGGTTCAATTCCTCCACCCCCAGAATTGCCACCTTTTGATTATTCAACGCTGAAAAAACAAAAATATGAACAAAATAAGCCACAACGAACAACTACTGAGAAGATCACCTACGAAGATATTCCAGAACAAGACAATAATGATGAAAATGAAAATGTAAATATTGAAGTCGCTTCAGTTACTGTTCCTCCACCTCCAGCATTGCCGCCTCACGATTACTCAACCCTCCAAAAACAAAAGTATGAACAAAAACAACAACCAGAACCAAGTACTGAGAGAGTCAACTACGAAGATATTCCAGAACAAGACAATAATGATAAGTCGGAAAAGAAAAATGTAAAAGTCACTTTAGTTGCTGTTCCTCCACCTCCAACACTGCCGCCTTTTGATTATTCAACGCTGAAAAAACAAAAACATGAACAAAATAAGCCACAACGCACAACTACTGAGAAAATCAGCTACGAAGTTATTCCAGAACAAGACAATAATGGTAATGATGAAACTGAAAAGGTAAATATCGAAGTCGTTTCAGTTACTGTTCCTCCACCTCCAGCATTGCCGCCTCATGATTACTCAACGCTCCAAAAACAAAAATATGAACAAAAACAACAAGAACCAAGTACTGAGAGAGTCAACTACGAAGATATTCCAGAACAAGACAATAATGATAAGTCGGAAAAGAAAAATGTAAAAGTCACTTTAGTTGCTGTTCCTCCACCTCCAACACTGCCGCCTTTTGACTATTCAACGCTGAAAAAACAAAAATATGAACAAAATAAGCCACAACGCACAACTACTGAGAAAATCAGCTACGAAGTTATTCCAGAACAAGACAATAATGGTAATGATGAAACTGAAAAGGTAAATATTGAAGTCGTTTCAGTTACTGTTCCTCCACCTCCAGCATTGCCGCCTCATGATTACTCAACGCTCCAAAAACAAAAATATGAACAAAAACAACAACCAGAACCAAGTACTGAGAGAGTCAACTACGAAGATATTCCAGAACAAGACAATAATGATAAGTCGGAAAAGAAAAATGTAAAAGTCACTTTAGTTGCTGTTCCTCCACCTCCAACACTGCCGCCTTTTGACTATTCAACGCTGAAAAAACAAAAATATGAACAAAATAAGCCACAACGCACAACTACTGAGAAAATCAGCTACGAAGTTATTCCAGAACAAGACAATAATGGTAATGATGAAACTGAAAAGGTAAATATTGAAGTCGTTTCAGTTACTGTTCCTCCACCTCCAGCATTGCCGCCTCATGATTACTCAACGCTTCAAAAACAAAAATATGAACAAAAACAACAACCAGAACCAAGTACTGAGAGAGTCAACTACGAAGATATTCTAGAACAAGACAATAATGATAAGTCGGAAAAGAAAAATGTAAAAGTCACTTTAGTTGCTGTTCCTCCACCTCCAACACTGCCGCCTTTTGACTATTCAACGCTGAAAAAACAAAAATATGAACAAAATAAGCCACAACGCACAACTACTGAGAAAATCAGCTACGAAGTTATTCCAGAACAAGACAATAATGGTAATGATGAAACTGAAAAGGTAAATATTGAAGTCGTTTCAGTTACTGTTCCTCCACCTCCAGCATTGCCGCCTCATGATTACTCAACGCTCCAAAAACAAAAATATGAACAAAAACAACAACCAGAACCAAGTACTGAGAGAGTCAACTACGAAGATATTCCAGAACAAGACAATAATGATAAGTCGGAAAAGAAAAATGTAAAAGTCACTTTAGTTGCTGTTCCTCCACCTCCAACACTGCCGCCTTTTGATTATTCAACGCTGAAAAAACAAAAATATGAACAAAATAAGCCACAACGAACAACTACTGAGAAAATCAGCTACCAAGCTACTGGTGAATTAAAAGGGGACAAGACAAACGTCGCTTTAGTCGGTATTGCATCACCTTCAGAAATACGGTCTTCTGATTACTCTTATCTTAACAAAAATACTATTGAAACAAACCAAACCAAAGCAGAAACAAACGAAAAACCCGAACGTTTATATCCTTCGTTACCAAAATTCGGTATGCAGTGCCTTTGTCGCGTGCCTTCGATCCCAAAAAACCGTCGTGTATTATGTAATTTACCCTTAGATATATATCAACGATAAAATTTATCGAACCATAGAAATAAAATTTATTTTTGTTCATAAGGTACTAAACTTGATTACATTTTTATGAACTATTAATCGACTGTAGCGGATTTATTAAAGTTACAATTGTAGCTTTCAATTTAAGGTTATCGATATGGGAAGTTTGTAAGTTAAACATGTATTTTGTTGTTAACAAATGTAACTGTCGAAGTCATAAGATATCTCAGATCTTCAGCTATAAGTTTTGAGACCAAAACGGGTAAAATATTTTGTAGCTCTACATTTTTAATTAAGAAATAATAAACATATTATATAATTTTAAAAAGTATCTTTACTTATTTTATGTTGAAAACAATATACAATCTTAAATATTTTTTCATTATCCCCAAATTTAATATATTTTATTATTAAAAAAAAATAATAGGCTACATTTTATTGGTTTTTGTGAACATTTCCAATTCTCATTATATTTTCTCTTAAACTTCACTTCTTTATGTTTATGAAATTATTACTATTTATATCGATAGCCAAATTTTATAGCTTAATAGCTCTTTAAACTGATTTCATTAAAAGGCCATTCAAAGAAAAACCGTCATATCTAACTAACGGCCATTGTTGAATTTAAAAATACTATATAATTATGTAAGTATTACAACCATTATAGTAAACAATAGTATATGCACCTAAACAAATTTCCTATATAATTGTGTATTTATTATGTACACGTGTTTCGTTTTATCTGAAATATTTTGGTGAGATATATTTTATTTCTTAGAAAAGACCCTCATCTTCTATAGCCTTTATTAAAAAAAGCCCTAACGACAGATTGAATAAAACCTGACACGCTTAATTTGTATTCTCCGGAAAAATAACAAGTAATTTCTAAGTTGAAAAAATGTAACCAAGATATAATGTAATGTGTCATAACACGAAATGATTTTAAAATTTGAAGGAATGAGATTGTTATTTTATACATATTGTGGATTGACTTAAAAACCTGATATTTCCATAAAGTAAGATCATTACATATGTATGTATAAACGAAATCAAATATAAACCGGCTTTAGTAAAATACCAATATGGCCATTCTGAAAGCATTGAATCGATTAATTATTAATTACTTCCCCAAGAACCTTACTTAGCGGCGAAATTAAAAGAAGTTTACGCCTATCACAAGCTTATTTACGATGTGAATTTAAAATTCGGCATAGTAACAAACCATTTTTCAGAAGGCGCTTAGGTTTTAAATTACCATTTATTTTTATTCGTATTATTTATTAAACATATATGTTACGTACAGGAAACATATTAAAAAATATATGACCATCGCCGGGACAATCGGGGATCGTTGGATGTATAAAATATCCTATTACGAGTGTTGCTGCTGACTCCCCGGAACGAACACCAAGTCCTGTGGACCAAAAGATTAGGTACTGATACCACACAAGCTATGCTATAGTCTTTGGTATTGGTTTTAAGTTTAAATATATTATTACGAGTATAATATACTTAAGTAAGTTTCGTGGTTTTCCTGGAAACTCTGGTAGCTGCAAAACACAAAATATATAATTTATACCAAAATAAGAGGAAAAGTTATTTCACGAATATTATTAACACCAAAATTTCTTTCCATTTACTTAGGAACATATGGATTCATATAAATTTCATAATAAAAGTTCGTCATTGACAGGCTTTTTTTTATAAATATGAACCAACTTTACGTATACTTTATTATTCTATGATCATCTTAAATTTTATAATTATATCACGAATTAAGTAGTTGTTACTTTTGATATGATTTTAATTTTGTTTTTAAAATAATTCTAATAAAGTTTTACTATAATGTGATTCCTATAATGTCTTCTTTGTAATAAGTGTTACGGCAGTCTTGAAGAGTAACACATTAATTATTTATATGTAAGTGTAACTAGTATTATAATAATGTAATAAATAAATAAATTTCTTATGATATAAAATACCATGGAAGTGTTTGTTGAAAGTTTCTCATATTTAATTCTCAAAGTTTGAAACATGATTTAACGAGGCTGATGGCACAACAAGATAATATATGTAATTATTGATGTATATTGAAATATTTTTTGTAGATAGTATAATATCTGACCATGAAAAGAAAATATGACAAAAAAATATTCTATATATTTCTTGTTATAAACATTATGACGTGAATAAAGACTAAGTACAGATTATTAAGTCAAAACATTACATTTTCATTCATGTAAGTTATTTTCTTAAAATATTTCAATTACCACAAGAAGAACAAGTATTTGGAGAATAAAATTTCTAATGAGGAATGCAATTAATTAACCAAATATTAATAGCAACCTCGAAAAATCATAAACTATTTAGTAACTTACTACTATATAAACTGATACGTGATAGTCCCACATCATTCAACTTGAAATATCTCCAGCCCAACCTTCTTTCGAGAACTAAAATAGCCATAATGAAATTGGTAAGGCATAATCATGGTAATTTTCTTTAATTTTTACCAAATTATAAACCCTACATAAAATTTTATGTTTCAGTTTATTGTGTTTTTTGCTGCTATAGTATTAACTGTGTCTGCTCAAAATGCAGAACAAAGAAGGATAAGAGCTAAGGAGTTAGCAGCAGTACGCAGGTTGCCGGCTGTAGAGTATGAGGAAGTACACGATAAGTACGGACAGTACGCACTGCGATATGTGACGGCTGAAGGAACTGTTGTATCGGAACGAGGACGTCTGGTACCAAACATTGAGGGAGACGGTTATGTACTTATTATAGAGGGCGAGGTGTCCTACATCAGTGACGATGGAGAAGTATATGCCACTAAGTTTTCTGCCGGCCTCGATGGAACCCACATGGAAGGAAACCATCTGCCCGCTGCTCCAGAAGCAATCCAACCCGAAACAGAAGATTAGACCACTTCTAAAAACTAACTTGTAACAATTATTCATAATTGAATAAACAGTGATACATTCAAACGATATATTTTTCATTTTGCATTTTCTTAAAGAATAGGAATAATTAATTTAAAGTAAGTATTTATAAGTTTTAATGAACTCGTTGTATATCTTTTTGGGAAGGAGATAGTTTATATTGTTAACCAATAGAACTATTACTCTATTATAGAAGAGTTTGTACAAAACATGAAGGTATATTATAGCCAGAAATATTTCACGTTACTAAGTTTCTTAAATTTCCTCAAATTTAGGGAAAATTATAATAATCACGTATAAAAGAGTAACGCTCGACATAAATATACAAATTCTAAATATTTTCAATTAAACTCTTACTAAATATATTTACATAAGACTCAAACACAAGAGCTTGAATGAGTGTCTAAAAAAGTTCAAATTCTTGTATTAAAATACTAAAAAAAATCAGCGCATTTGTCGACCTGAGTGTTGCAAAAATAAGTGATTAAACTTATTAATAAAAACATGATTATTTGTAAAAGTGTTAATGTGAGTACATTTGTTTAGCAATGACGATTAAATATTTCTTTGGTTATTTTTATATCACATACAAATTCCCTATTGATATCGTCAAAAGTTTACAATTAGGCCCAATAGTTATGAAATAATTTCAGCCTCCTTAAAAATTCATAGAATCGAAAATATTAGGATATGAAAAATAAAGCAGAAATAGACAACAACCTCGACGAATATAAATTAATCATCTCGTTATTTTCCAAATTATGTTAATTAAAAGCAGTTTTATAGCAATTATATTAGTTTTCATATTTCTATAGTAATAGTTTTATTACATACACTGTTTTAGAAAAAGTAAATTAGATACAAATTTTAATCATATTTTATCATAGAATTTACATCATTGCTAAGTTTACACCTATACACTAACTTGTTGATATAAATATTTTTTTCTCTGGACAAATAGAAGTCATATAAAATCCAAGAGATAATAACGAGTTTTGTTTAATCAATCGACCACAAAAAATTTCAGTGGTGATGACACAATCATTTTAAGAAAAATTTGCAATAAAATATTAAAACAAACCAATAAAACTTTTACTGGTACCAAAAATCTTTGAAAAATTACACAAAATGAAAAAATACGGTTAATGGAATGAGATTACAATTACATCTTTCAAACATGGAAGAGATATTTTTTTACTAATGATTATTCTAAACTCCTGAACAATACGTAATATTAATCTTTATTATAGTAATCATGATTCAGGTTCAGTAGAGGTTTAAGTTGATTGCAGTTATTTCTTCTGGATACTTACAAGTACGAGTATTTGCTTATTTAGAAATGACGGTGTATTTTTATAATAAGTCTTCATTATGAAACAACAAGAAGAAACATTGTAAAATAATTTTAGGTATTCTCTCTAGAAACATTGTAAAACGTTTTATTTGTATTAACTTTCAAATTTTATTTTAACAATAAAATGTGAGCGAAAAAATAAAGTATTCCTTAAAGAAAAAGTAGTTACTTTTTCTTATATAAAGTTTTATATCCCTATTCTTTTTAATAAAGATAATATTGAATATAACATCTCTTAATACCACGATAGCATCATGCTGTGTCTCAGAGTACCCGACGTTTAAAATGTTTATTTTTACTCTACATTGCTAAGAGCAAAGCACTCGTTACTTGAAGATAGCAAATTTGTGCGATAAAAGCTTTTGTGTGAAAGACATATGGCATTAGATTACAACGATATTTTTTCAACATTTCATGAAAAAAATATTTTTTTAGTAGTCAAAAAATGTTGGTTAAATTATAAATCAAAATTTAATAATTTTATCATTATATTAAAGTGGAAGCAAATTTACATTACGAGATAATTAAAAACTTTCCTGAATAAGTTAATCTAAATCTCTTTACATATGACCATACATTAAGTACATTATACCATTCTGTTTTCTGTTTTTATTTATAGACAAGCCTAAGTCTCGACCAAAACATAAGAATCTGTTACACAAATTTTGAAGATAAATTGTTTAGTATTTCTACTCTAATAAAAGAAAAATCGGTAAATTATTTGAAGACTGGTGTTTTCTGTTTGGTCCCATTTTAATTTTTGTCCAGTTCTGGTTATGGCATCCATGAGAAAGACATAAAAGTAAAAAGTTGGAGTTAAGGATGTGTGCTACAAATGTAACTTAAACGACAACCGATTTCGATTAATTTATGTACAAGGGTGACTTCCCAGAAAGTCGTATGACTATTAAAACAAGAACTGACTATAAAATCTTAAGAAAATTGAAGAACGTCCTTAAAATGTGCTGGCATAACATAATACACACTAAGTAATAACATTACTAAAGGTGTATTATGTTCGACTTTCGATATCGTAAGACAGACTTGGTATTCTTGTTGTTAAAAGAGTTCAAAAGGGGAGGAGGATCTCAATTCATCACAACTTCTTTTTTATGGAGCAAGGAATAAAATTATATTTAAGTAAAACAAAACCGACTCTAAAAATACAACATACTTAGGCACACAAGAACTAAAAAGCAAGTAATTATTTTGAACTTAAATACTGTTTCTTGACCTAGGTTAGGTTACCTAAATTCTAAATATCTTAAAAAATTATAATAATGAATGAAAACCAATAATACGTAATATATTTAGAGTCGTTTTTGTTTTTATTTTTAAAATTAATATAAAAATTCCTCAATTTATACTCGTATATGTAAGGATAAAAATCGTACATATTTATTACGTTTCTAAAATTTTACTCAGAGTAACGAAAAGACGAGATGTACGTTTTTAGTCGAAATACCCCTCCAATATTTATAACATTTATAATAAAGCTCAGTTATACCTACAGATTTAGTTTGAATAAAAAAAAAATACTTTTGAAACAATCAAAAAACATTGAATAAAGAATTCAAATAATTACAAGCATTTTTGTGTCGAAATTAAGTAACGACATCAACATAAGTCATTAAAAGTGAAGAAGTTATTAAAACTAGAGATATTTAAGAAATGAGGAATTTAATTAAGAAATGAGCTTAATTAATCACTATAAGTGTTAGCTATAAAGGCTCTCATTTTATCATATGATCCAACAGTTCAATAAACACCATTGGAAGAGAAGCCTTCACTTTTAATTTAACACTATGAATAAGGTAAGCTGTTAACTAAAATTTAATATATTTTCGTATTTTGTGGTCAATATTACTTTTGATTTCTTACATTAACTTTACATTATTTCCAGTTTATACTATCATTCACTTTATCCACTCTGATGGTATTGGCATCAGCTGCACCTGGATTACGTCCACTGCAAGGTCGTGCTGCTGAATTGGCTGCGACACGTGCTTTACCAGCTTTAGAATATGAAGAGGTTCGCGATAAATTTGGACAATTCGCACTGCGCTATATTACAGCGGAAGGAATTGTTGTATCAGAACGCGGCCGCCTGGTACCAAACCTGGAAGGTGATGGATATGTCCTCATCACCGAAGGAGAGATCTCATATATCAGTGACGACGGGAAAACGTACGTCACAAAGTTCACTGCCGGTATTGATGGAACTCACATGGAAGGGAACCATCTGCCTACTACTCCAAAACCAATTTCTGAAGCCACAGCGTTAAGCCCTGAAGAAACAGAACCTGTCCCAATTACGCAGGAAGTAGAGCCGGAAAATGAAGAAGTTGTTTAATAAAATATAAATTTTAAAAAGTAAAAATTGTTTAATTCCATTGACACTTTTATTATTTATTTATTACAATTATGTTGGTATTTTTTACATTTACGTCTAAGTTTTCACAGTGTCTCATAAACCAATATTGGTTTTTCCGTACACTGGAATTTATCGTCGTTAACTAACAATTATATTGACATCTCAATACATTTATGTTTTGTACTCAATGTATTAAACAATAAAAGATATCAAGCCAATAATATAATGATACGGGTATGACAAAATAGAGTAATAAAAACTAAAGATATAAAAATAATATAAAGTGTATAATCTAACAAATATGTAACATATGCAAGGTAAGTGTAGGTTACACTTATTATTTTTCAAATATACATAATTACAGTATTGCACGTTTGTCGTTCGTTATCTCTTTATCCATTGTTCAATTTTAATATGTAATTAAAAAAATAATAAGTAGGTATAATGTTGACAAACAATGTAAACACACAGGTACATATTCTTACAATATTTCTTTTAAAGCTATCTACAGTTTATCCTTTTCAAATAGCGGTAGAAAAATTTTAAAATTCGTATTCATACACTTTATTTATAATGTCAAACTTGAACTTAAAAGCAATAAAATTTGTACTTATTATATTATTTGAAATAGGTTCTGAACCTTTATTAAATATCCAGCAATATAAAAGTCCATTAATCATAAAGCTCTTTAATATTATATAAAACACTATTTAATATTATACAATTTGTTTATATTTTGAATGATTAGTAATAATAATTAGTGATACATGTAAATTACATTTCTACAATTATTAGAAACTAGGGAGAAGTTTTAATCAAAGACATAATTTTGATAGATGAAATTATTTTTAATATATTTTCAAGATCAATAAAATCTAAATTTTGCTTTTTTTATGTCCCAAAGGGGCAAACGAGCAGACGGTCTACCTGATGGTAAGTAGTTACCGTTACAACCTGCAACATTTTATAATAAAATGTTGCAAATTAAATCTTCTAGGTTATGTGGATGAATTGCGACCCTACGGCGAATAGTGCTATGGTGGATTGGAGACAGTGGCACTACATAAAACAGTGCCTCGAAACATTCCCTATTGTACAGACCATAGAACACTCAGAGGGAGCTTATATCCGTTCGCAGGCTAAGGGGTTCTAGATCGTCAGGGAGTTTGGGATCGTAAACAAAACTAACAGTCCGACGCTGTAATTCGTCAAGTGGAAGAAGTTGGTACTGCGGGGCACCTGAACAGAAATGAGAACAATACTCCATTTGAAGACGAACCTCCGCTTTTTATAATAAAAGCAAGTGTCCCGGTTTGAAATACTGCCTTGCTCTACTCAGTAACCCTCGTATTTAAGAGGCTAGTTTATCATTATCCTCAAAATATCATCAGAATTGAATGTCGTTCGCTAAGTCTACCCCAAGGATCCCAACACTCTGGTTGATCTTAAGAGGTATGTTCTGAAATTTTGGAAAGTTGTTTAAGAAATGTTGCTTACGGTTTTGTCATTATTAAAACTTTTGAGGTTCTCTTGAATTATTTTGTATTTTCTTGTTTAAACTCACATGCTCTTATTATTTTTAAAAAATATTTTAAAAATTTCGAAAAAAAGTATTAGACCATATGATTTATTTTTTTATGATTATATATTTAACCGAAATCCACTTTTTTTCAATTACTTTGTCAATAATTTTTCTTAAATGTTTAGTCGTGAGTAGTCTTAACAAAATAATTTTGTTACCAGATAAGCTTCAATTCTCGTATTAGTTGTTATATGAATAAAATGAATTTAAAAAGTTTAATTCGATATTTATACTTTTAAAGATTAACAGACGATGAAGAGGCTTTCAAACCACTTCTGAGCATGAGAAAGGCTTTCTAGTGTATAACCCCAAGAACAGAGACTTGAAACTTTACAATCTCTGTGAGTTAATCAATTATGCGAAAACTTGTAAATATTATGTAGAAAAGTTTTGTTTATTACATATTATTATTTAATACATAGAAACTAATTGACATCTAAATCCCAAAGACTACTTTATGAAATTTGAATACTTAATATGGAAAATATGTTGTATTGTTAAAATTATGTAAAATCTTTTAAGTTTTCCACTGCGGCAGCCACTAACAATAAATTTACATCTAAACCTCAATTATCGGTTAAAGTTTAAAATATTGGTAGAACATGTATTTAAAATATACACTAATTTTCACTAATCATGGTTAAATAAGAAACATCGGGTTAAGGCGTTTGATGCTCTGTTAGATGTATCGAGCGTCCCACCACGCACAAATGTCCGTTTAAATAACTTAACCAGCCACTAATATTAATTCCTGCTCTAGCGGTCGGCCAAATGACTAACCCAATGTTAATGGCATTATCAAAACTCAATTGTCCAATCACAGCCCTGATTTCTAGTAACCATAGTAACGTCATCTTTTTGTCAGTTGCGACTATTTCCTTGTTATTATTAATAAAGTGAATTAAAATTTCATTTAGTATGATGATTTTGCCTCCAGCTTTTCTATAACATTGAAAATTAAGTTTTCTTTTTAATTCTTATAATTTGAACACAATTTATGTCTATATTTATAACACAATAATATATAACACAATTTATTGACAATACGATTTTGACAAGCTACACCTAGTAAATTGAAAAGAAAGCTTCTTGTGTGCTAAATTTATGCAACCAACGATATATAAAATTTGGTCGCGTTAGCTTACAGGGATATATACGATCAAAGTATAAAGTGGTGCATCGTGGCAAACGTGCCGTATTAAACGCTATAGTTTCCATTTGGTCGTCTTATAACAAGAACGAATAATTTGGTAGTCGGTCATTTAATCATGACGTTTAATAATGCGTTGTTAATTTGTCATCGTGAGACGTAAATTTTTTAACAAACATTTATAATTTTGAAGGTTGGTTAGTAAATGCTGTGATTAGATTAGATTATGCTAGTAATCCTAAGGAATGTTAACGATAGAACACGTAATGTATCGTGTATGTATCGTGAATTTTATGATCGACATCCGCGATGGCTACATAATTTAATTGTTCGAGCCATCTTGTTCCTAGCTCATTGGATATGAATATCCTAAAATAACAACACCGCAACAAATAAAAATGTTAAGCACAATGTGAAAATTCTTTTCCCAAAACGATATGGTGATGGGAGTGATTCGTTTTATTTAAACACTGCTAATATAACTCAGGAAAAAACTTGCTATAGCGTTTGGACCATAACATTTAATTTAAATACATATGTTTTATAAAACGAATATAATCGTAATTTTTTTAACTCTTTTACAATTATCTTCTATTACACTAAATAACTTCTTCATTATTCGACTCCGCTTCCTGCGTAATTGGGACAGGTTCTGGTTCTTCAGGACTTAACGCTGGGGCTTCAGAAATTGGCTTTGGAGTTGTAGGCAGATGGTTTCCTTCCATGTGAGTCCCATCGATACCGGCAGTGAATTTTGTGACGTACGTTTTCCCGTCATCGCTAATATATGAGATCTCTCCTTCGGTGATGAGGACATATCCATCACCTTCCAGGTTAGGCACCAGGCGGCCGCGTTCTGATACTACAATACCTTCTTCTGTAATATAGCGCAGTGCGAACTGTCCATATTTATCTCGGACTTCTTCAAAATCTACAGCTGGTAAGGCGCGTGTCGCAGCCAATTCAGCAGCTCGACCTTGCAGTGGACGCACACTAGGAGAAGCTGATGCCAACGCCATCAAGGCAGGGAAAATAAACGATAGTACAAACTGCAAAAAAAAACACATAATTACAATAACAACTTATAATCACGGTGTATATACATACACATGTATGCCAGAAGACTTAAACTTAAAAAAAAATCCTTTTTACCTTATTCATTGTGGTTTAATATAAACAGGTATAACGTTCTATTGTAACGTCAGTTTTTAACTAATATTTAAACTGTAAAAAAGTATTTTTATAGTAAAAAAATCATAACGACTAATTAGGCTCATTACAATATTTATAATGACATTTCTACATTAAGTTGTATTGTTACAAAAAAAACTTTGTAATTAAATTCCAATTATAATTTTCATTGTTTTGTTTTGTAAGAATTTTTGTTCAAAATTGTGACACAGATGCTAAATTAACATAAAAAAATATTGAAGTAAATGTTATAATAAACGACTTTCTTTGAATATGGAAAAAATATTATGAATCGTTTTTTAGTATAATCAAAGAAACGAAAAACATTTGTTTAGTATGTCTGAATTAAGTGACTTCAAAGTAGTCCCATGTCAAAATCCCCATGAATGTTGATACATATAAAGAAAATTCCAGTAAAATAATCTTCGTACTTACTTGCTTATAATTATTGTACATATATCTGCCTTTTTATAGTACATTAACCACTTTCTGTTCCTATTTGATTATTCTGACTATATTATGTTCAATTTATTCTGGTTAATATTTTCAAGACTGCATGGGTTTGTACTTCACTTTCATGTTATTCAGCTACGTATTTTTTCTAATAAATTTGGATATCTGTAACTAAAATCAAGAAGTATTTAAAAACTACAAATTTAATTCTTATCTGTAATATTCTAATCTCTAAAAATGAAAAGGCTTTCAAAGTCGTTTTCAAAAGTCTATAATAATATAATATTATAAAATGAAACAAAACTTAAGAGTTAAGATGTTAAATTTTGCTTCTTTAAAAAGTTTTTACTATCAATATGATAAAAAATATTTTACACTTCTAATAAAATCAAGTTATATTAAAAAGGATAAAAAAAAATAGTATTTTTAAATGTTCAATTAAATTGTTACTTCAGTAATACTATATAAATTTAGCATTCGTGTCACAATTTTGAACAAAAATTATTTTGAACAAAACAGAGAAAATTTTAATTGGAATTTAATTACATGCATTTTTTGTAACAATAAAACTTAACGTAAACATATTATTACAAATATTGTAATGAGCCTAATTAGTCGAATTGATTTTTTTACTATAAAAATACTTTTTTACAGTTTAGATAACAGTCAACAAACCGACGTTGCAATAGAACGTTATATAACTATAACTGTATATTAAAACACAATGAATAAGGTAAGAAGGAAAAATTTAGGCACTTTAAGTTTTGCAATGTACATAATATGTACATATACATATATCATCACCATAACTCGTTATTATAATTCTATGTTTTTTATTACAGTTTGTACTATCGTTCATTTTACCTGCCTTGATGGCGATGGCATCAGCTGCCCCTAATTTGCGTCCACTGCAAGGTCGAGCTGCTGAATTGGCTGCGACACGCGCCTTACCAGCTGTAGATTTTGAAGAAGTCCGCGATAAATATGGACAGTTCGCACTGCGTTATATTACAGAAGAAGGTATTGTAGTATCAGAACGCGGCCGCCTGGTGCCAAACCTGGAAGGTGATGGATATGTCCTCATCACCGAAGGAGAGATCTCATATATCAGTGATGACGGAAAAACGTATGTCACAAAATTCACTGCCGGTATCGATGGAACCCACATGGAAGGGAACCATATCCCTACAACTCCAAAGCCAATTGCTGCAGCCCCAGCGTTAAGCCCTGAAGAACCAGAACCTGTCCCAATAACGCAAGAAGTTGAGTCGAATAATGAAGAAGATATTTAGTGTAATAAAATATAAATGTTCGAAATATACACTTTTTTTATTTAATTATACTTTTTTTTAAAGGTGCTACCCAAAACTTATTCTCAATCATGTAAATTAACAAAAAAAAATAATTATGGTACAATTTTACAACCAAGATATAAATGGCAATTATTTTTTTCATTTCATTTCATTTTAATATTTAAAAATTATGGCTTACTAGCTTTCCGCCCGCAGCTTCGAACGCGTGTAGTTCAGTTATATCGCGTTTCCAAGAAAACCTTTCAAAAATCTGCGATAAAAACTATCCTATGTTCTTTCTCAAGGTCAGTTGACCTGATAGAGTTCTATCTCTGTACCAAGTTTCATTAAAATCAGTTCAGTGGTTTCGGCGTGAAAGCGTAACAGACAGACAGAGTTTCTTTCACATTTATAATATTATTAAGAAATAACTACGAAAGTCATTGTGTTACACACATACACAAAAATCACAGAGTGGTAGCAAATCTCTTGGTAGCAATTCACTATAAAACAACGAGATAGGTTTGGATAGAAAGAAATTGAACTATGTGTGCTTAACCTGTAAGTGCACTTAATCTAGGCGTTATTTAAGAAGTTCAAGAATAAATTTTTATGAACAGGTGTATATAACAGAATGGTTATGCAAAACTCGTATTATTATTTTAATTACCTTCCGTAGTAATAATATCTAAAAGATCAGTAAATTACTAAATTTTAAATCGGCAACATCAGATTCCATATGAAAAAGTCCGTATAAAAATCATAGAAATAAAAATTGTAGAATTGAACTTCTGTAATCCATAAACTACTACAATTAAAAAAGTACAACCTTTGGTTTTATTTACTTGATATTCGTTTTTTTATGTATTTTGTAGTTACTGAATACGTATAGACAATAAATATTGTTTAACTAATAATGTTTTTATATCAAAAATTTTATATAAAAATTACAAAAAACAGAAATCACAACTACACCAACTATTATAATTTTTCATACTTATTCAAGTAATACTTTAATTTCAAATGGAACATAAAGGTGCAAAATTGGGTCATTCTTTTAGGCATATAGATTTACCAAAAACAAGAATTAATTTGCTATGCTGGCTTCAAAATAAAATCTTTTAAAACAATATCTCACCGTGTGGTCATTTAGAAAGTGTAATGTTCCTTTAAAAGCGTTAAAATGTAAATAATGTACCTAAGACTACAGGTACTCGCTCATGAAGAGAGGTGTATTATCGAGATTAATCCGCGAGACTAGTGAAATTGAAAAATATCCTATTTCAATAAAACATATGGCTAGTAATTATCTAACACCTAGGACCTCCTCATTAAAACATAAAAACTCATTTAAGTTAAACATATATTTTTCAGATTATACAACGTGTATTTTATTATTGTAAAAGGACATAGGATTTTATATTTTTAAGGAGGAATCCCAGGTGTTGGATAGATTCCAGCCATCTATAGATTCTCTATTGAAATTGTGTTGTTTTTTACTTTCAATAGCATCGCGGATTAACCTCGCTATGTTCTTGTCTTCACGAGCGAGGATTAGTGGTTTATCAATTCGAATGTAGTGGCCTGGTTTGTCCATTGTGTGTTCACACACTGATGACTTCGACGCGAGCCTATTTTGATAAGATATTCCTTCACTCCTGTACCGATGCTCCTCTTTGTCTGTTCAATGTATGATGAGATACAGTCACAATTGAGTTTGTATACACTCGCTTGTTGCAATGGAATTATGGTGGGGGGTTGTGGTGGATTACAATTGAGCGTAAGGGAACATCCTGTTTATGGATTTTAGGTAACCCATACAAAACAGGCAGTTTTGCACACGAACAGATGGGACCCCTCCTTAAAATATAAAATCCCATGTCAGTTCATAAACACTATTTATGTATATATTTTAGTTGAAATAAACTTTTAACAAGAAAGATTTAAAAAAGATCGTAACATTGCTAATATTCATAATAATGACAATTAGAACAGGTACTTAATTACTTGGATATTCATTAAAATTAAGTTACAATACGAACAAAAATCTCATTACAAATATTATAATGAGCATCATTAAACACTGAAGGTTTCCTATAAAAACTCTTCTCCAACAATTTATGTTTACAGTCCAAAATATAACGTTCTAAGAGAAGGCAACAGTTACAAATATAACAATGAAAATGGTAAGAAGAATTAAGTTTAAGAATCTAAAGTATTTTTGTTTTTTATCTATTAGTTTTTCTTGTAATAATGACCCATTATTTTACAGTTAGTAATATCGTTGATTTTACCAGCCTTGATGGTAGTAACGTCAGCTGCCCCTAGTGTGGGTCCCATCCAAGGCCGTGCTGATGAATTGGCTGCGACACGCGCCTTACCGGCTTTAGAATATGAGGAAGTGCGCGATAAATATGGACAGTTTGCACTGCGCTATATTACAGCGGAAGGTATTGTAGTATCAGAACGCGGCCGCCTGGTACCAAACCTGGAAGGTGATGGATATGTCCTCATCACCGAAGGAGAGATCTCATATATCAGTGATGACGGTAAAACGTACGTCACAAAATTCACAGCCGGTATTGATGGAAATCATGTTCAAGGGGACCATCTTCCCACAACTCCGAAATCAATTGTTCCTGAAGCCCCAGCTGTTAAACCTGAAGAACCAGAAACCCTCAGAATTTATCAGAATGTAGAGACTCCTGAAACTCTTTAGTGAAATAAAAGATACCTATAGAAATTTTCTATTTTATTTATACTTATTAAAAATTTAGCTAACATTTATTGAAAATTTAGTGCGCTACTGTAAAATTAATTGTATCATATGAATAAGTGACTGCCACTGAGTTCTCAGTGGTACTTTGAGGTTCAGTCAGTTCTAGGTACAAGACTTTCACTGCCAGTTCAGTTTTTATATGTCAAGGCAATTCTAATTTACAGAACTATCTTACAGGGAAATTTCTAATAAAGCCCATTCGCTCAAGCAATGATCATTCATTAAAAGACTTTGAAGGGCCAAATTTTAGACACGTAAATCAGAAATTAATTCTCTATAAACACAGAACACAATATTGAAACGGGAGGACAATAATTATACACACTTTAGTTTAATCTGGCGTTTATTACTTTTCACACAATCCCGTAGGTACACTGTCAGAGATTCCTCTAGCACTTCGTCACGAGAGAGGTCCTTTTCTTCCAGCGTATCTTCTCTCAATCCCCCTGCAATTCCAAAATTAAACGATGTGACGCCACTGACGCTCTCGCTGATTGGTCAAACGCTATGATTGGCTAAGCTCTGTGATTGGCTAAGACAGTTTCGGCGGCATACTGTCATGGCAATACTTCCGCCTGGCTCAGGCGGTGGCTTGGCTGGGCTTGGCATGGCATGGCACTTATGGCATGGCGTTACAGTCGGCCATCCTACAATAATTGCTCCCGCAATGGTTATTAGCTTTCCAGAAGATCAATTAAGTCTTCCGTCTCCAATTGCTCATCGGAAACTGCTGGCACTGTCAGATACAGGAGCTACGCTATGATAGGGTCGCAGACTATCGCCAGAGACTAGACCCGTAAAGTTTTTATAACCTCTTAGACCCTTAATGCTTCTAATCCTGTATCTGTCATTACCAATACACTTAATGATAATATAAGGTCCGGAATATAAGTCATCTAGTTTAGTATTAACCTTAGCAGCACTACTTGTAGGAGCTTTCTTCCATAAAACTAGGTCTCCTCTTTTGTAAATATGACAGGCTTTACGTCGTTTATCAAAGTTACGTTTTATCTTAATACTGGCCTTTTTAATACGTTTATTAGCTTTCTCACGCCTTGACTGAATAGATTCAGGTATACGACCTGGTATTGTTACATCACACACAGGCCTAGCACTACGCGCGAACACTAAGTCGTAAGGCTTAATACCCGTGGTATCATTTATGGTATTGTTTATACCCCAAATTATATCAGGCAAACAATTAGACCAGTTATTAGCAGCTTCACTAGGGTCGGTAGCGCGCAATGCATCGAGTATAGTCCTATTTGTTCGTTCGACTTGGCCGTTAGCACGCGGGCACGGTATTGCATTAAGTGTATGTTTGAATTGCTTTTCGGAAGCATACTTTTTGAAATACCGGCTTGTAAACGCCTTGCCGTGATCCGTTACTATCCTATCGGGATATCCAAATAATGAGAATATTCTTTTGAGCATTCTAATTGTTTCTATTGAATTAATAGTTCTAGTAGGTTCTGCTATAACGAATTTAGAAAACGCGTCGGTTACTACTAACATATACGCATAACCTTTCTTAGTCTTACAAAATGGGCCTAAATGATCAACATGTATCATTCTAAATGGTTCCGTTGGCTTAGGTATAGGATGAAGTAATCCTTCCTTCCTGCCATATATCCCCTTCCCATAAGCACAATGTAAACAAGAAGTGACATACTTTTTGATGAACCGCGACATTTTAGGAAACCAAAACTCACGTTTTATTAGATCAGTACAGCGCTTTAAACCCACATGACCAATATCATCATGGTGTATTTGGACAATTTTCCACTTCGCAAGTCCGGGAACTACTAACCGATTGCCATTTAGTGTCTTACGGTATAATCTATTATCTAACAACTCATAATTGTTGAGTATCTCGGGCTGAGCCGATCCGTTTTTCAACTGCTCCATGATATTTCTTAGTTTGTCATCCTGATATTGAATCGTATAAAACCAGTCAGCAATTTCGAGACGATTTATATTGACTGTGTCAATAGGATTCCTACTTAAAGCATCAACATGTTTCATGCGTTCGCCGGGTCTATATTCAACGCTAATGTCGTACTCTTGTATCGATAACCACCACCTAGCAATTCGCGGAATGATATCCCGTTTTGTAAGAGTGGCACGAACAGCCGTACAGTCCGTTACTACTTTCACATGTTTGCCTATGACGTACACGCGAAATTTACGCAATGATTCTACTACCGCCAATGTTTCAAGCTCATAGCTATGATAAATACTTTCTTCTTTAGAGGTTACTCGACTAAAATACATAACTGGGCGCAACGTATTATCTGATTGCAGCTGTAACAAAATACCTGCGACCCCTAACTTGCACGCATCGGTATGTATTTCTGTATGTAGTGTCGGATCATATAATGCTACCACAGGTTTAGAGCACAAACGCTTTTTTAACTCCTTAAAACTACCGTCCTGTTTATCGCTCCATACCCAAGGCACATTTTTTCTAGTTAGTTCTGTCAGAGGACGAGCTATAATTGCAAATTTGTTTATAAATTTTCGGAAGTAACTACAGAGGCCAATAAATTGGCGTACCTCGTGAACGCTTTTAGGCACAGGGAACTTTGAAACGGCATCTAATTTTGAATCTGAGGGTTGAACACCTTTTGAAGTAATTTCGTGTCCTAAGTAAGTGACCTTGTCTTGAAGAAATGAACATTTTTGCATATTTAGTTTTAAGTTTTCAGATTCGAACTTTCGCAATACTGATTCTAACATTTTTATGCCACTGTTTATATCAATAGAGGGAAGTAATAAATCGTCTAAGAATGCTAAAATCTCATTCGAGGAGCTGCCATCTGACGTATAACGGATGGAATCGACTATTTTGTTTACGAGACGCATAAAAACCGAGGGTGCATTCGCTAATCCAAAAGGAACACGTAAGTATTCGTAATGACCCTGAGGAGTAATAAAAGCTGTCTTATGGGTGTCTTCGGGAGCTAATAATAATTGATGGTAACTTTGTGCCATATCTAAAATTGTAAAATACTTTTTACCGGCTAATTTAGAAATCTGGTCTTCTATATTAGGGAGAGGATATCTATCTTTAACTGTGATATTATTGAGGGCACGATAGTCGACACATAAACGACTGTCGCCGTTCTTTTTCCTAACTAAAATAACTGGAGCAGCGTAACTCGATTCCGACTCTTTAATGATAGAGGCATCTAGTAGGTCACGAACTTTAGAATTGACAATTTGCTGCTCAGCATGCGATAACCTATAAGGTTGACGATATATTGGCTGTGGAGTCGTAAGTTTGATTTTCATTTCTAACAGTTTTGTGCAACCGAGATCTCTAGTATTTGCCGCAAAAGTGTGCTTAAATCGCAATAGTAATTGTATCAAACTACTATGTTCGACTTCATTTAACTTTCCTACACTAATTTCACTTATAGGTACTCCTCCTATGATTAAACTAGAAAGATCGTCTGTATTCAAAATAGGAGCTATAGATTTTGATTCAGGTGAGCTTTTGGCTAAGTAGGGCGTATTTGGCATGATTTTAAGTAAATTTGTTAATGGTTTGGCTTGGCTTACTCGAGTTGGCTGGTTGGCTACTTCATGACAGCTCTCGGCACGCGCTAGAACCTGGCCCGCTTCCCAGTTGACGTCCCCTATACCACTGTTTACCACCTTCATGTAACCCTCTCCGCCTTGAAGCAACGTTGCCGGTAGAGAATATGAGACACCATGGAGTTCGTAGTGGCGTGGTGTGGTGCAAACTTCATTCCCATCTCCATTACCGACCACCCTAACCTTAATGATGGAGGCACCAGGCGGTAAAGACTCCTTGTTCAATGTAGTAACCATAAATTTATTCTTGTCTTCGACGACATCGAATTCTGGCGAGACATCTGTTTTCCGAGTCAATGTGGCTCTCCCATTAGTGACTACTAACGATACATGTTCTGCATTGATAACGGGTTGGCCAATCAGTAGGTGAATATCTTGCATGTTGGCCTCCGTCACATGTGCCGTGCATTGTATGTGAATATTATCAATTTCTAACTCAAATTCTACTACTCCACGACTAGTCAAAAAATCACCTGAAAAGCTTTTGAGTCGTGTACTTGTAGGTGTAACATCGAGCGACAAGAGACTCACCATCTGGACATTTATAACGTTAACTTGGCTTCCGGTGTCAATGTAAGACTTAATATAAATTCCATTCACCTTTGCTACCTTTTTGTAGATTTCGTTGTAGTTTTGCACCATTCTAACCTCTTTAATGTTGTCATTTGATTCCATAGAACGTCTGGAGTTGCTAGCCGAAGTGCCGGAGCAGCGAGTGGCGATGTGTCCTTGTTGACCACATTTAAAACAAATACGTTGATCCGGTAATGTACAGTTGCGCAACATGTGGCCGGTCTTCTTACAACGGGGGCAAGGATCAATTTCAGGATTGACTTTTTTATCCGAACTCGACGATTGTTTCGTGTCTTTGGTCATCATCCGAGGTTCAAATGTGGGAGAATGATAATCATCAAGAGCACAGAGGAAAGATTCATATAACTCATCAGGACGTTGGCATTGAAACGCTCGGGCATTCGGTTGTAGGTATACGGGTAAGCCTCTGATGATACACGATACACTAGCACTATCAGATAAATGGCAACGGAAGCACATAGCAATTTTGTCTTGATAATATTTGGTCATCGTCTCGTTCGGTAGCTTCTTTCTTTGCATCATTTCGTTTAATAGTAGGCTAAAGTCGCGATGTTTTGGAAAGGCTCGTACCAGCATATGTTTCCATTCGGCCCAGGAGTAATCGTAGTTTTCAAGTCTGTTGTACCATTTGCGAGCTTGACCACGTAATTTATCCTGCAGGTAAAAAGCTTTGATTTTCTCGTCCCACCCATGTATGTCTCCTAATTGATCAATCTTCTTTAACCACGAAGTTACGGTGCAATCTTCACCATCGGGATCGAATTCGGGAATAAGGGATGCTGCACGATGACTCTTGACGTGGTTGAACGAAATAGTGTCGTCATTAAGGTTGTAAATTGCTTTTTCGACTTCATTTTCTAACAATGACTTCAATATTTTCCTTGCAGGTGGAAGTGAATTATTTTCTTCCTCGTCACTATCGTCTTGATTTTCGCTCCATCCTGGAGGGCGGACACTGCACCCAGCTTCGTTAGGACGACTGCGCTTCATATCCCACTTCTGAGTGAAACGGGAGGACAATAATTATACACACTTTAGTTTAATCTGGCGTTTATTACTTTTCACACAATCCCGTAGGTACACTGTCAGAGATTCCTCTAGCACTTCGTCACGAGAGAGGTCCTTTTCTTCCAGCGTATCTTCTCTCAATCCCCCTGCAATTCCAAAATTAAACGATGTGACGCCACTGACGCTCTCGCTGATTGGTCAAACGCTATGATTGGCTAAGCTCTGTGATTGGCTAAGACAGTTTCGGCGGCATACTGTCATGGCAATACTTCCGCCTGGCTCAGGCGGTGGCTTGGCTGGGCTTGGCATGGCATGGCACTTATGGCATGGCGTTACAATATGTTTCAGTCAATTTTAAGTCTAATTACTTAATATATATTTATTTATATATTGTTTTCAATATTTAAACTAATAATACCACATATCGTATACCTATCTGTATTTTAAATGAGGTCCCTTTAATATTGTATATTAGAATAGTTTTAGAATAGTTTTAGAATAGTCTTTTATTTATATATTAGAATACTTTTCAATATATTTCCTCCCATTTAATATCCAATAAATTAAACTATATAGTTTTCTAATTAGTTTTGGTTTGAAAATTTGTATGTTTGGTTTGAAAATGTGTTTGTATATTCAAATTTGGCAATTATGCAGAATATCTTGATTTATACACCACAACATGGAATTAACGGCATTATCATGAATACAATGAACTACAACTTATGAACAATACAATTATTATATTATTCACTGACTGGTAGAAAACCAAATAATAAAATAAAAAACATACTTTAAAAAGTCATGGACATTTTATTAAAGAAAATACATGTATTTACATTTTTTATAACTGAATAGTATCACGCCAACCGACCCATTTGTTTATTAAACACTTCTCTTAAAGTGACGATTATTTTGGTATTTTCTCAAGAACGGTAAAACTAGGAAAAGATAGGAATTAAAACAAGCAATTGAGTGGCAAAGGAAAAATGGTTTCATGTTGAAATCTTATTTAATTACTATCAAATGTATTACGATGACCTACTTGTAAATTGCAATGATATAGGTTGATCAGGTTTATTTATTAAATAGGTTTTCACTCCAAGTTTTCCTCCCATCCATTTAATATGAAATTCTTTAATCAGCTGAAACAAAACACAAAATAATTACATATATTAAATAAATTGTCATAATATCAATGGAATAAATGTGTCAACGTAAAAAAATCATAGGAATGCCTATGTGTTTTTAACAATCTTTTGAGAGTATACAAACACTCTAAAAAATCCTCTCAGGAATATGGAAATTTAATAGCCAAAAATTATCAAACCAAACCGTTGTAATAAGCTCAATACCCAATGTCTCGTAGTGGACACTATGGAGCCTAATTTTCGTTGAAATTAAACCCAAATATGTGATACTGCTTTAATTATTATAAACGTGTACAAAGGTTCGAGTGCAAAGTTAGAAGTGACACAGCAAAATTGAAATGAATGAAATATGTAATAATAACATGTAGTCAGTAGATTTAAAACTGGTGATGAATTGAATATAGAAATATGAAGCGCCTGATTATAAACTATTTATAGCAGAAACGTTATTGCTCTTAAATGGCTGTAGGCGCGAACACCCAATTTCATACACAACAAGATAATGACCGCAATTATCTTAATCAATTAAATCGAAAGCATTTTTACTAACTCTCATTATAGTAATGGACATGTTTTGTTCAGCCAAATGCCTCGCGATGCAAGCTCGGGATCCGAAGCCAAATGGAAGACTCAGGAATGGATGAATATTTTCATATTCCGGTGAATTGCGAATCCAGCGTTCGGGTTTAAATTGAGAAGGATCCTTTAAATATTGCGGCAGACGAGAGGCTATCATGTTTTGTGTTACGATTACCGTCTGAAAATATAAAGAATGTAGCATTATAAATATAGTTTAAAAAAAAATCAATATACATACTTCAAAGAACACGATAAAAGTTGTAAAAAAAAATACTACTGTATGAGAATTTTTCATATGATTAAGTAGTATATATGACCAATATATTTGATAAATAAATTAAATTTCTATCTCACCCCCTTTGGTACCAAATATCCTTTTAAAATTACATCATTTTGTAACACTCGACCAACTCCTATTGAAACAGGGTTCAAACGTAAACTTTCTTTAACACAACTCCGCAAATAAACAGCTTTAGCTAATACGTCGGTAGTTATTTTTGAATCAGTTGAAGGCAGTAAAGTTGAAACTTCGTCGTATAACTTCTCTTGACAGTTTTTATTCTGTGCCAAATGATATAAAGCAAAGCTTGTTGTATATGAAGTCTGAAACAAAATAAAATAGGTTACTACTATTCAATTCTATTGTATAATTTCTGGAAAATATTCATTTAAAACTGTTCGACAGTAACCTAAGTATTATTATAATACGTAATTATAAAAAATCAATGTTTACCGTATCTACAGCCGCCATTAAAATGTCAACCATAACACCAACAATATCTTTTAAATCTATATTAGCCATTTTAAGAAAAGAAGCTAGAAGAGAGCGATCCGTGTTGTCGTCTTTTTTGTAAAACTTAATTTTATTTAATAGTATATCTATGGATATTCTGGAATAAAAAGAAAAAAATCATTAACAATTCAAAGTTTTTTACCTCTCAATTAAATAGTTATTAAATTAACGTACTTTTCTAAATATTCCTGAGATTTTTCAAGTTTTCTATACAAAGGAGTCTTAAAGTACCTCCACATAATGCCTTTGTCAAGTTTCAGGATGCCGCTATTGGAACCAAAAGCTGCTTTTATAATTTTACTACTGCGGGAATCTGGATGTAGCTCATTTTCGGAGAAACTATCAAAATTTTTGTCAAAGGCAATTGCTCCTATAACTGCAGGATAAAGGTATTTTTGTTAGTTTTATGAGTAAAACATATGACGACAATCTTAGTAAGCGAAAAAACACTCACCGTCTAAGAAAAGGCGATTTAAATAATCTAAAAAATCTTCACGGTGTGTAATTTTCCTACTTTTTATTGTTTGTGCTAAATTATAAGCAATATTATCAGTTATATCAACATATTGTTTTGCGTTTTGAGGGCTTGAAAAGTTTTTTTGAAATGCGCTTCGAATTCTCCACCAATCTGGGCCATTTCTATAATTTTAACACTAAATTGTTATGTAAGTATCACTAAGCACCCAAAATATATATAAAAAAACTACCAGTTTCATAGTCTTTAATATTGAAAGCATTCGAATAAAAAATTGATAATATTTAAAGTGACTGGAATATAAAAACACAAAGTGAATAAAAATAAATAAAACATGCTTACGTTGATAGAAGACCGCCCGTGTTATAAACATTTGGTTTGCTTAAACGATAGTGAAGCATAGCTATGTGGCTCCTCCTTGCTGGGTATTTGTCCTTTTGACGAAATACATCCTCAATAACATCAGGATCGTATACGTGTACCAAATTAATACCAGGTGCTTCTCGAACTATATCTCCATACTTACACCAATTAACCCATGCACAATTGTGTAATTCTTCCGCATCGTAGTCACCTAGGCGTACATAAAGTTATAAATGGACGTTCACTAAGAGGCATGTATGATTTACATATGTCAAACATTTTAATAAATGTACCAATATTTGACACCTATAGTACGAAAAGTAGGTAGGTACATATTTTTTATCGAGTTATAGCGGTGAATTTTACAGACTGATATAAATGTTTTTAAAGCTCTATGAAGTCCTGTATCAAATATAAAATAACAAAATATTTACTAATTCTATTTACTCACCAACGAATGGAAAATATTTATACAATGTCCCAACAACAGGGTAACTTTTAGGTCCAGGAATATCATAAAAATCCTTAACGTTTTTATGGTCAGTTTGAAGTTGATGTTTAAAATTATTAACTGAAAAGTATTTACTAAAAGACCACAATGTTTTTACGCCTTTAAACTTAATTAGCGCTGTTGCTGTTATCATTTTATAAAAGGTTAGATAAAACAAAAGTGTTTGTCTTGCAAAGCGTAACACATTACTGAGCTTCAACTTACAAAATGATTTCTTAGAAAAATGAGATGCACATATCTTAAAGCGCAAAAAAGGCGGAATATAATATGGGAAGTTAGAAGTATCCATGAATAAACGTTGCATTATGCATAACCAATTTAAATCAAACTGAATAACAATGAATTTGTAATAATATGAATTATAGTTTATTTCGGAATTTATTTTTATAATAGAACAATGTATGATTAATATTATCTAGGAATTAAAAATTAGAATAAAAATATTTATAAATTGTCGACAATATCACCAGTTACAAAATAATATTCAAAAATAACCAAGTAAAAAAACAAATTGTAAATATGAACATGTTACTGGCAAAGTGAATACATTACCATGTAAACAAATTTAAAGAGTCTTATTCATCACTTCTTTCTAATATAACAGTAAAAAAAATTAAGGAAGAAATAAAAGTAAAATATTTTTTAATTCTCTTTATTATGACTTAACCTTTATTTTTATTAATTTGATTGGTATTCTAGCTTCTTTAACTTTCTGTACATAACTTTCCCCTAAGGGACTGGTAGGATTTATATTTATTTGGTTTAAATCAGTTACTATGTCTATTCGTTTTCTCCACTTCTCTAAACCATTCCAGGCAATCATCAATCCATTATCAGTACATAGTTTTGGTTGAGGTCTGTATATTTTATAATCATATTCTTCACATAGTATTGAAAGAGCTTTGAATATATAGTTATTACAGGCTACACCGCCTGAAACAACTAATTGTTTCTTATTTTCTGGCAAAAGATTATTAATTTCACAAAATTCCATAGCTCTTTGGGTCCTATGTAACAAATGTCTTGTTGTTCCCATCAACATTGCTAAACATAGATCATTAACTTCTGGAATTACTTGATCACCTTCAATATTGTGTTCTTTTTCTTTTTTTAATATATGATACAATGCAGTACTTTTGAAGCCATTAAAACTAAAATTACAATCCTTTGTTTCCGTCAGGGGTAGTGGAAATTTGAAGATGTCATGATTTGTAGCCTTTGCAGCTGCCGTTTCTATTGCTTGACCCCCTGACATTTGTGATAATTCTGGAATATTCCTTAGTTTCATCCTTCTAGCCGCTTTATCAAAAACCTCTCCTGGGGCACCATCTAAGCTTTGGCCTAATAGTTTAAATTCATTTACATCTTGGGCGACTGCTAATAAACAATGGCCACCAGATATAAGTAAAGTCAAAAAAGGAAATGATATATCATGATCCATTCTTGCAATCAAAGCATGTGCCTCCATGTGATGGATAGGAATTATTGGTTTTTGATATTTTCGTGCCAAATGCTTTGCATACTTCATGCCTACAGCAAGACTTAAAGGTAAGCCTGGTTCAACAGTCACAGCTATAGCATTAATATCAGACATACTTAAATCAGCCTTTTCCAAAGTTTTATCAACAACAGGCTTGATGTATCTCCGGTGCAAGTCTTGTGCAATATCGGGAATAATTCCACCATTACGAAGATGTATTAAATTTTGAGAATGTAAGGCTTCTGACAATATCTTTCCATTTAGATCAATTAGAGCGCAGCCTGTATCGTCGCAAGATGTTTCAATTCCCAAAATACTGGAATATTTTCTTTTATTAACATAACTACAATATCTTTTTAACAAACTCCTTTTCGACACTTTGAGTATATCAGAGCAAAATACTTTATTCATTGTGCTTTAAAATAAACCTCTCAATAATTTAATATTAAACATAATATTATTATTTACATTACCAGTTACCACTATGATATACCGTACCGCTAAGTGTAGTGTAAACTGTCAAATGTCTTTTTTCCATATTGACAAGTAACAATTCTTTCACCACATTCTAATGTTTAGCTTATCCAAAAACAGTTATTCTTTTTTTATAGCTTGATCATTAATAGAAGAATCGAATACTATTATTTCTTCAACAAAACTATATATAAATATTTCACTGTTATCATTTTTTTTTCTTTGTAACATAATTTTTATTGTTAATATGTGTTAATATGAATTAATCTAACATTGTACTTTAAAACGTCTTTAAGATGATGGTGGAAGTTTATGTCACTAATGTGTCTTTCAAGTAATGTGTCTTAAAATAATGTAGATTACTCGTAACTTTAACAACAATGTATTTTTTAAATGTAAATTCCTAATAAATATATTGAATATATTAAATAACTTATTAAATATATTAAATGCAAATTCTTAATAAATATATTGAAACGATCAATATTCATAAACGATCAATATCCAATATTAAATGCCAACTGTCAAGAAAACTCCGTGACAGACGACAGTGGTCAAACGGTAGAAATACAAACAAAGTTATAATCTGTAATTGTATGTGTAGAACATGTAAATTATAATACAGTGATGTTTTCAAATATTAATTGAAATTTGGATCCAAAAAATTTCTACCATGCCTCAGCGTTGTGCAGTTCCTATGTGTAACGAGAAAACAGGAGGTCATAAATTTCCATGCGATAAAGATCTCCTGAAAAAATGGCTAACAGCAGTTCGTCGAGACAATCACATACCATCTAGACACTGTCGAGTATGTAAAAAACACTTCACTGATGATGATTTTGAATTTCCAATATCTGCGGTTGAAGAGTATGGTGAGTCAAAGTTAATTTCACTGTTCTTCATACAGTTAAAGTTAACTGACGTATTCTAGATATCGTTACATATTACAGCTCGTCCAAGATTAAAAAAGGATGCTGTTCCCAGTAGATTCCCTTGGAATGAAGTTGCATATGACATCCTATACAAAAAGAACAAAAGAACTGTTGACCGTATGATGGAAAGAGATTTATTGAAGAACAAACTGGAAAACATCAAAAAGTCGAACAACGAACAATTCTTGGAGAGTCTACCAGAACTACCTGATGACTTACTGGACACAAATGGTCTGCCAAATATTGATCTAGCTAAACGTTTAACGGAAATTGATGATATAGATGAATTAATTTGAATTATTTAGAATACAATGAAACCTATGTAGAGTTTCAAAACCAGATATATACATGTGATTTAGAATAATACACCAATTTATTATAATAATATGCTTTATGCTCAAATATTATATTGACATTCCGATGTTACTTCCTATTTAACATTATTTAGGTATGGAAATAGTTGTTGGGAAACCTTTCCTATAATAATACTTACTTATTTCTGTACAAAATTTTCCCATACAATAAGTAAGATAACTGTTACTTCAATAGTCTCTATTATATCTCATATATTAAGCTAGTCAATTTTTATAGTTAAAATAATTATTTTATTCACTCTGTTATAATTATGAATATTTATTTGTTAATTAGGGTAGTAAGTAAAAAAAAATCAGTTTTAAAGTAATGCACTTCACCACTTAAATAGATCTCAATTTATTTTTCATTTTCATTGTAAGCCATTTCACAATATACTAGAAATGGTAGAGATTTTCCATTAATTACAGGCTAATGCATTTTTTATTATGATAGTCTATATTATAATAAGTGTAATTTTTATTTATTTTTGTATAAAACAATTCCTCTCTATGATGTGATATTTAATTTGACTTGTCTTTCTATAAGCATTTATTTTAATTAAAAAACAGGTTTAACTTTATTAAGTACTTGTTTATTTATTGTATACAAATTTGTTTATTATTACAGGTGACTTTTTGTTATTATGTTTTTAATAAGACTGTGCAATACTATTTTATATTTAATATTTACACTCATTCCTGTATAAGTTATGAAACTGCTAAAAATAATAGAAACTTAAAAAAAATCAGTATTGTTTTTCAATATAATCCTTTTCTGGTATCACAAAATGAAATTATTACAATTGAACTGTTGCATGTAATTATTAACTTTCTGTGTCAATTTCTTGTGATATGTTTGACTTGAGACAGGCCATTTACTATAATTGGTGTCAATAACTTGATTTAAAAAGCATCAGTGCTAATTAAGAAAAGAGATTCAGACTTATTTACAAGAATTATGGGTTATAAACATTATTAATAAGAAGATGCACATCCCCAGTCCAAACAACCCTTAAACAAGATTCAATTTATTGTTAACAAATTACAAATCACATTTTTTAGTCAGTTGAAATAATCATAATTAATTTGTTTTAATGATACATTTATTTATTGTTAATTATAGTTTATATTTACAAAACTCTTGTGTTTTCTGTGAACATTTAATTTCAAATTTAGATCATTTTACAAGTAGATTTTTTTTGGCAATCTTTGCTGTTTATTTTCAGCATAATATATAGTACTATCAAATCGTTGACAGTAATTTTTTTTATACAAGTTTTAAAAAAACTATAGTTTATGTTTAATTTTTTAATGTGATTTTTCCGAGTCATATGTACTTTCTAAGAATATTTAGATATCACTGATTAATGAATTCCCAAAAAAGGGGTTGATGTCAGGCAAACGGCCGGGCCTAAAAAACAGAGCCAAAACTATTCACAATGTTAAGGCAGACCCTGGCTATAGCCGGGAAATTGCCAGGTAGAAGAAGAAGAAATTTAATTTTGAGTTATTTTGATTTAAAAATATTACAATATAATCAATATGTGTATATATAATTATATATGAATGAGTCCTTTTTTCTCTTCGTCATGGCATCACGCGTAAATGGCTGGACCGAGTTCCCTAAATTTTTTAAATTGTATTTGCGAGGAGAAGGTTCTTATGTAAGACAAAAATCCGGAAATTACTAGAAAAAAATACTAAAATATTTTACTTTTTTAATAAAATACTGTGTCACTGGCAGTAACATTCACGTAGTTGCCATTAAAACAAAGAAAAAATTACTAAAATTTACGTGCTCTTTGCGAATATATCGGTCGGAGTTGTGAGTTGGTCTGTGGCCGGAGTTATAATAACAAAATAACTACATAATTCATTTACCATTTCTTAAGGTATTTTTCACATTGGTTTCTACAGGATAATTTGTAGTGTGTGTTACATATATTTCTTTATTATACGGCGGTATCAAGTTCACCGGGTCAGCTAGTTAAATAAAAAATAATAATACTAGATGACTCTCATATTAATATTTTCTTCTTGAATCAAAAGAAATGAAGCAAATTTATTGACTACTTTTGAATTACAACAAAGTCATCAGTTCTGTTCATTGAAATCATATATAGTAAGGTAAGTACAGACGATACGGATTATTTTAATTACAAAAATTTTACTTTCCTTATCTTATCAAACATAATATATTATAGATTTCAGGTTGCCATTGTTTTCATTTCGTAACAAAACTTTAATTCAAGTCATTGCTTCTTCTCTTTCAAAATAAAATTATAATTAGACAAAAATCTATATTATAATTATTTTCATTTATAATTCTACTTCTTGTTCCTCGTCTTTAGTTAGTTGCGTTTCCTTATAGATTTCGCCAATATCGTATATTAATTCTAGTTAACTAGAATGCAACTTCTTATTTGTCAAGTGTCATCTGTCAAATATGTAACAATTTGACTTTCTCCTAATTCCCAATTGCCAATTTATTCTTCGTAATACATACTATATGTATAATGAATATTATCAAAATTATAGTTTAGAATAGTAAATCTATCCACTTGCCAAATAATGCTTACATACGTAACCGTACTGAACTAGACACAAGATTGATCTAGTTGTTTTTCGTAACCATTAAATTAAAGCAACATGGATATCTTGGAGAGAATTTATTACGGCCTTAAGCGGCAAGTGGTAACGATACCGGCAACCATAACAAAATCGGTGGACACTATCAATAAGTCAATGAATCAAGTGAGAATTCCACCGCTCACGAAAGATAATGTTTTATTTTACTATATGCCAATACAAGGTTTGGTCAGTTATTCAACATTATCCATTGGTGTGATGAACCCCCACTTAATGGTAAGGTAAGTAAATTCATATATTTTAAAATAATATTATTAATTTCTATTTTTAAATCTATTCAAGGGTAAAGCAATTCACATTGATATTAGGATTTATTTTCAAAATTCTATGTGATACTTTATAAATTCAAGTATTCAAAATAAAACATTTAACCTTGTGAAGCCATTAGCATAAAGTTACAAGATACATAGGTTTTGAATTAATATGCCTTGTATTGTATTGAAACATTGAGGAATAAATATAAGAGCTGAAAATCTGAGCAACAGTTAATTGCAACAATCCTAATAAATTTTATATATTCTTATGAAATTTATCACAATTGATTTTTTGAACTGGTTTTTGTTTTACCCTGAAGAGATTTATAACTCTTAATATATTAAAGCTACTTCAAAAACAATCGGTTTAGGAAAAAGAAATCCATAATATTTTTGGTAGTATATAGCAATAGATAAGTATCAGTCAAACAACTTTTTTCTTATTGGAAAGATAATATTTCACTGTAAAGAATGTGCTTCTGTTGTGTTTTGTTTGGTGCATATACAGTTACAGGGTGTTAAAAATAAAAGTAATCAAAGAATAAACACATAAAAAAAATTCTTCAAAAAAAATGTGAAAATGTTTGCCGGCACCTAATTGTGAATGGTGATTATAGCCTCAATACTTTAACAGCCACTGCTGTGCAATGTGTTCTATGATCTAAGAGTCTTCTATAAAACATTAAAGCACACAAAGCTGTATTAAAAAAAAATCTCTATGTTTGGGGGCTACACTCATTAACAGCCTTTATCAAAGGGAATGAGACAGATTTCTTTCTTAAATATTTAGAGACTGGAGATGAGAAACAGGTCACATATAATAAATCACATATGACTTTGACACCACTAGAAACTACATAAGCTTATTTGGAAAGTTTTAATGCATCCATCCAACATTTCCAGATTTGGCACCAAGGGCTTACTAGCTTTTTCTTGCATTGCAAAATTTCTTTAGGGATAAAAAATTGTGAAAATCAACTACGAAAGTTTTTTGCTACTACAGATCTTATTAGAGAGATATTATAAAGTTTAAATTAACAATAAATCATACATTAAATTTGTTCATATTTGACTCAGATTGGGCAATCTTTTCCGCAACCTAATGTTTGGCTCAGTCCATAGACCATTTTTAAAATTTATTGATGGATAATGAATAATAAATGACAATAAATTAAATAAATTTGGATACATAGATATTTTTTCTTTTTTATTTTCAGATTGTTTCCAAAACGTGACATAACCGATCTATTATTCCTGTCAGCGGGGAGTGGTGCAGGTCTATGGTTATGGGCCCGTCCACACATTGCAGCAGCAGCACCAGCTCGACGATTCTCATGGGCTTTCTTGGGAGGTTGTCTTTGGCCTCTGGGATCAATATTCTTATGGGCAATACTACGTAGTTCCATAGGCCAGAGACCCGTTTTGGGAACAATCCTTGGTATCTCGACCGGTGTAATGCTCACAAATATAGCAATTGACTATTTTAATTATGTAGAGCTCATGTTCTGTGGAGAGGTTCGCTTACCAGAAGATGTATATAGTCCTAATAGTGATGATGAAAAATATGATATTGATTTGTAAATGCACAACACTATGCAATTTGTATCACTAATTCATATAGTTAGTCCCAAAATGTTATAAGTCATTATTTAACTTTATATATGTGCTTATTCTTGATAATCATATATAATATTTAAATAAGTAGTTGTAAAACAATGTGATTTCCATTTCAAATTGAATGCTGAGTGTGTGGAAAAAATGTATATTATTTAAGAATACTGTTTATAATTTGGTGATTGTATTTTGCTTCATTAAATTATCCCTGCACTTTAATCTATTTTATTTAAAAAACAATCTTCAATTATGTATTAAAATAGTATCCTCATATGTATTTGTTGCTCTATAATTTACAAGTATTGAGCAACAAATACTTGGAAATTATACAGCATAATTTTTTTTATATTGAAATATTAAAGCTACATTTTTTACCTAGATATAACTTTATTTAGCTTCAGATTCCTGTCCTTATATTTACATACTTTTTAAAATATGCAATTATTTTAGCAAATGGAATGAGTTAACCAGAGTTCCTAATTAATCCCCAATGGCCTAGAGTAATTAATTTTATTTCTTTCTATTTAATTTATTCCAAAAATGAATTGTGGGACAATATTTTATCAATCTTCCAAAGTTAATAGATATCCTACGTTTCTAGAGTACTGACAGAGAAACAAAAAGAAATTTAATAGATAGAAATCAATTAAAAAGGTAATTAACTATAAAAAAACCCTTAATAATTTTACCTGGATTAACAAAACACATTACATAAAACCTAACAAAAAAGTATTTTTCTATATAATAAAGTTTTTATGGAATACAAAACAAGCACAAGTATAATAAATTCAATTTAGATTTATTATGAATCTGTAATGGAAAGTTCAATGTGTATTTTACAAAATGTTAGTTGTTTTGGGGCGGCTTCGACCATTCCACATTCAAGATTAAATGATCATAACCATATCCGTTGAGAGTCTCAATTGCTTTAGCTGCATCATCACGGAATTTGAAATGCACATAAGCAAAACCTTTGCATTGGCCAGTACTCTGAAAAAATCACAAGATCAGTGATATATGTTACATGAAATATCATAAATGTATTTACTTATATTCAATGAAGCAATATGTACCTTTTCTTTAGCGAGATACAGCTTGTGTACTGGTCCGAAAGGTTTGACGAGGTCATCAAGATCAGCTTCAACAGCAAAGTTACTTAGATTAGAAATACGAATAGCAGCAACATCATCTCTTCGTCCTAGTTGATCACGACCCATATGAGATGCACCTTCTCTTGCATGTGGTACAACATACTTAGTTGAAGAGGTTTTGGCTTCTGTAACCAAAATTTACAACAGTAATATAGGTATAATTTCATTGAGTATTGATATTTATTGTGAATAATATAAGATCTTACCAGCTGCTTTTGCAGCTTCCATTGCCTTCGATTGTGCTAATTGTGTGTGCTGGAATGGACAACTTGAAGTCCAATGTTCACCTTGGCATGTACGGCACTTGAATAGCACTTTAGTAGGTCTTGCCTACAAACATTTTTAAACTTAGTACATAGTTTTTATATGGTTTATGTATCGCACATATAAGAAGTTATGCATAATTTTATACCTTAAGAGCTTCCAAATCTCCTTCATCTGGTCTCTGTGCTTCTTCTTTGCTTGTTATAAACTGCATGAATACATCCTCGCAAACATTAGTAGTAGCAGGATTAGGACCAGGTTTGTCATTAGCGGAGTCACCGAATTTGTTCCATGTTTTACGTTTTGCAATACTCTATAACATAATAAATGACAAATTATAGTTTCTATATATAAATTATAAAGCCCCATATATGCGTCACATAATCTATTTTTTATTACCTTTGAAACAACACGTTTTTCTATCTTATATGTACGAACAATCTTAACTTTTTTGTTGTCATTGTCGTATTTATATTCAGTGACAATTTTTAATCCATTTTCAACAACTTCCGAAGGTGGTGGGAGCTCCCCTTGATCAATTTCCACTTCATCGGCCCAAGAAGACTGGATTTCGTCGACAACAGGCATCTTATAATAAATGTAGAAAATTACTTGGAATTAATACCAGATTGGCGACTTATTTGTTTTTAGAAATGTACGTAACGTACATATGAAAACATATTATTTACTAACTTCAATAGTACAAGAGTAAAAAAATAAAATGAAACTGTTAAAAAGTTTTTAAAGTAACCATGATTTACTAAATAATATAAGGTGTCGATTTGTCAGAAGTAACCTAAAACTTAACTATTATAATTCTCTCGCCCCCATACACTTAGTCAATCTTTATATTTTATATTAACATGTAAATATTTGAATACCTTTTGATTTTAAGTCGTTAATTGTCCTTTTTAAAACAGAATTTGTGGAGCAGAATAAGTCAAACTCCTGTTGTAATAATTATTAAGAACTATGAAAGTTCAAAGAGGTAGGATTATAGATGTCAACAGGCATTTATTATCTATGTTATACAGAGTATAGCCATCCTCACAATCACTCTAAAGATATTTTGTGTAACCGCCAGCTATTTTAGCAGATATATCTATATTAATATTTTAGTATTCTTAAATATTATTGAGAAATAGACAATATTTTTAAAAATATTCCTGTATTTACATTGTACAGTTCAACCTCAATTTGTTACTATCAATATCATAATTGCATTTACTACCATACAACTAATAAAAGGCACTTAGTGTTAATTAATGATTCATGTATTAATTACTTTTTCACATACTATTTTGTCTATTAGTATTTTGCAACAACACTCATTGTTTTAAACGTAATTAAATAGGTAATAAAAACTATAAACATCATTCTAGTAACCACAGAGTACAAAGCGTTAAAGTGTCTTAACTCTTAAGTCTAAACTGTGTCAGTGCCGTGTTGTGTTGTAATGCGTTCTGTGGTTTTGTTAATTTGTTTGATTATTTTATAACAACACTGCCCATTGCTTATTTTATGTTAATGCAAATACGAATAACATAAAAGTTGATGGACATTATTTCATGTTCATGAAATGTTTTCTTGTTTATCGGATCAGCGACAACATTTCAAATACTGCATTTCATAGATGAACTAGAATTGCATTCAGTGATCGGAGCTGTGGAATAAGATCACAAGTTTTTGGTACGTGTTTTACTCAATATATATAATTATTATTAACATATTGTTATTATTTTTATTTATAATTGTTCTTAAAGAACTCTTCATCTTATTAAATTAATCTCATTTATGCCTTGACTGTAACTTTATACCACTCAAGGACTTAAGAGTCACTTTTAACAATATAAACAGGTTACATTTTCAAGCTCATTTGTTGAATATTACTATGTAACTTTTTTCTTTGATATATACATATTTTCTTAAGTGTAAACAAATGACTTTTAAATCATCCGCTTTTGTCTTTAATAAGGAAACTTTTCAGTATTGTATAAATTATGTAATTTCCTCTTACGAAAGGCCAACAAATCAAGCAAGCAATTCAATTATTGAAACTGAATAAAAAATATATTTTGACTGCTATAAAAAATATTTATATCACAAATATCTTGTTATATTTTTTTAAAATTTAAGTTGTCATAGCAAATGCAGAATCCATACTAATTTTATGTTGAAATACTTATTTAATAGATCTTGATATAAATAAGTAATAATATTTGTCCTTTGTAACAAAACTCAGATAAGAGCATTTGTTGCATGTGTTCTTAAAACACCCACAAGAGTTTCTGCCTATAAATTATTTATATGTAATTGTGAATATGTGTAGGTTTTACTATTTCAAATAAGCCCTTTTGGTTTTTGTAAACAAGGATTATATTTTTTTACTGCACAATGCACTTAATAAGTTCTATGTAAGTGGAAATTTAAGTAAGAGCTATTAGGGTGTATTTCATTTGTTAAAATGTACCAAAATTTTAGATTGTTGAATGAAATGAATTTACAAAATGAATAAAATAAGGAATATTTTTTAAATATTGTATGTAAACATAATAAGATAAGTGCATGTAGACTGTGATTTTATATCAGAAAATTTATGTCTTAATTTTTTTTAAAGTCTATATATGTTTTGTTTTACCAGATTCTACAACTATCAAAAATGCTCCGTTTCCTGAGTAGAAGAGGCCGCTCTTCGAGCCAGACACGCAACAAACAAAATCAAAAAACATCAAATAATAAAAATCTCATACAGTGCAAGGTAATGTTGCTTGATGATACTGATTTATCTATTAATTTATCCAAAAAGGCTAGTGCAGGAGATCTTTATGAACAAGTGTTTTATTCTCTTGATTTAATCGAGAAAGATTATTTTGGCTTACAATTCACTGATACAAATAATGTTAAGCATTGGTTGGACCCAACAAAAACCATAAAGAAGCAAGTGAAAATAGGACCACCTTATACTTTAAGACTGAAGGTTAAATTTTATTCATCTGAGCCTAACAATTTGAGAGAAGAGCTCACAAGATATCAGTTTTTCTTACAATTGAAGAAAGATATCTTAGAAAGTAAGCTGGAATGTCCACATTCTACTGCAGTTGAATTGGCAGCTTTGGCTTTGCAGTCTGAATTGGGTGATTTTGATGAAACAATACATACCCCAGCTACAGTATCTGAATTCCGTTTTGTTCCGAATCAAACAGAAGAAATGGAAATCGAAATATTAGAAGAATTCAAAAAGTGTAAGAATCTTACACCAGCCCAAGCTGAAGTCAACTATCTCAATAAAGCAAAGTGGCTTGAGATGTATGGTGTTGATATGCACATTGTGTTAGGGAAAGATGGGTGTGAATATCATCTTGGTCTAACACCAACAGGCATTCTTGTTTTTGAAGGACCCCAGAAAATCGGTCTCTTCTTTTGGCCGAAAATAAGTAAACTCGACTTTAAAAAGAAAAAGTTGACATTAGTCGTGGTCGAAGATGACGATCAAGGTCGCGAACAGGAACATACATTCGTATTCCGACTACACAATGAGAAGGCCTGTAAACATCTTTGGAAATGTGCTGTAGAACATCACACTTTCTTCCGCTTACGAGCTCCAGTGAAAGGTCCATCGGCAAGACAGAACTTCTTCAGAATGGGTTCAAGATTTCAATATTCAGGTAAAACTGAATACCAAACCACACAACAAAATCGTGCGCGGAGAACTGTTCAATTTGAGCGTAGGCCTAGTCAGCGTTTCGCTCGTAGACAAAGTCATGTGTTAAGGGAACGAGAGAAGCAGAACACATCTACAAAGACAGAAACGGCTGCACAACCAGAGCCGAGTACTTCCGCAGAAACTACTGCGGTGGTTAATGAAAATGTTAATGGACTCGATACTTTATCTCGTAAGAGCAGTGCCAAATCTCAAAAGTCTTCGTTGATTGATAGCGATTATAAAATGACTGAGGTAGGAGAACCATCGACCAAGAACCTTGTAGATGACGACACACCAGAAGAAGTTCACATATCAAAGGAAGATGCAATAAACAATAAGGTTCTATTTAAAATGGACAAGTGTGAAGAAAAGAAAAATAATTTGACACAACTGGTTATAAATAAGCCGCCTTGCAACTGTTCTCCAGTTGCTGAATTTAACCCATTAAATGATCTCTTGATGAGTTTGGTTAAAGACAAATTGAACACGGACGACGCTAAAAATGTAAACACAAAAGACCAAGATTCAGTAGACAACGAGGTGCCTAACAATCAGAATAAATTTATGCTTGGCTCCAAGAAAAATCTACCACCTGGTCAGTTAAAATGCAATAACATACTTAAAGCTCGGGAGAATGAAGTTAAGATAATAAACGAATCTTCGAATATGAATCTATCAATTCCATCAACGCCGTCTCCTAAGATAATTAACGAAAATAATACCCAATACGTGTCTATAGTTGTTGTAGAACCTCCGCATTCACAAGTGAAGGTAGCCTCACCCAAACCAGTGGAAAGACAAGAAGATATTGCTCCTAAATCCCAACCAATATCATCTCTATCACCATGGCTGGTGACTTCAGAACCCAGTTCACCGTCAGGAATCGGAGAGAAAGAAATAACTATTATACACAGAAAATCAGTTATAACAACTCAACTTTAAACTATATATACTATTCTATTCCTTATACTAAACTTACTATGACACTATATTCGATAATACTATTCATAAAAGCCATGACTTTTACATGACCAATTAGATGTATGCATTTTTGCATTTATAGTAAATTCTACATTAAGTATCGACAGTAGAGCGTGCTCCGAAATTACAAAGTAATTTCAGATGTAAGTGAAGTATTATGAACACGTGCCTTAAAATAGATGATTTTTATTAACTCGTTCCAATATACAGTATTTTTCATTTCACATTAAGTTTCGAGAGAAACCATATGTGAGATAGTCTTCACTTTAGCTGGTTTCAGTGATTTTATTCTAATCATTCCATATATGTATATGTTCTTATTAAATACATTCCAATGTATACATATTTTAAATTTATATTAAATATGACCGTTATTTTAGATTTTAAACGTATATACAATCTTTTTTCGTTTATTGTTTATAAATATAGAAGAAGCATTAATTAATTGGTACTTGTATATCATACATATTGATTGGATTAAACAATTACTGAACTGTGTAATTTATAAATGGCCGTCCGTTTGTCCATATCGTTGTTTTTGAAAAGTATATATTTTTATATACATAATGATTTTTTAGTACAATAATGAATTCAGTATTAGAAGATGAATCACAATAAGATCGTGCCATAGCTACTTAATAATTTGGTAAATGTTCAGTTCAAAAAAACATATATATTAAGAAAATATGTACTTTTGTTACTCAAGACTGTATTACATGTGTTAGAATATATATACTGTGTAGAAGTTTGAATTATCAAACTGAGTCTTACTTAGTCTAAATCTTACTAAACCATTTTCTCACTAAGCGTATTGGTACTTTAATATTTATATTTTGTAAACATAATGAAATGCATTAAGAAAAAAATTGAGGTTTTGGCTTAAGATAGCCATAAAATTGTATTCATAATTTCTTCTTAGTTATAAACCATTTACAAGTAAGCAAACCTAATTAAAAGAGTAAAGCCAACATCTCAATAGTTATATGAACTTTTAAATCTTATTACTAACGAAATTTAATGGTGCTTAGTTATAAGGATAATATATAGTTATATTTTATTATGAATAATTCTATTCATTGCGAATGCGTATTATTTTGCATGTATTTTGTTTGCAATAAATCTCGCTGATCTTTGTATAACTACAATCCATATAAAAATGTTTAGTTGTGGAGCTGTAATAGGTAATTATTATTACATTTAATAAAAAATCTTTTACTTAATATAAAAATTAAATATCAGGGTGCTTAGTACTTGTTTTCATATTGAATCTAATCACACGTGTATACAATTAATTCTCTTAATCCAAGTATAAAAACCTTGAAACTATCAGTAAACATACTGTATTTATAGCGTCCGTCCAATGGAAAACTTAAACTAATTAGTTTAATTATATTAAAATATTTTTTGATTCTAAATATATAAGAAATGGACAATATTGCTAGTTATTGCAATTTTTATTATTTTAGTATAAGAATTTATTGCCTTTATATGAAACTGGTACTTAATATATCGCATTTACTTTGTATTGTTACTTTATTAACGATGAAATATATTATTTTAATTTTAACTTTTGTTTTATTTTAGTAGCTATATAAGCATCCCGACAAGGAGTGATTCCTTTAAAGTTAAAGTTTGAAGCATGAGTTATAGACATGAAAATATATGTATACTCAATGGTGTATGTAACAATGTGGCTTCATAAAATATATTTATATAAAAACTTTTTTCGTAATGACGTTACTGGCAGTAAACGTTTAAATAAAAGCCATAACTATCAGTATTTTATGATTCGTTAATTAATGTCACATATTTCTTTGAACTATCAAAAAGTAATCAATAGATTAGGTACTGTTATTAAAAACTAACAATGAAAAAGTCCGTAGAGAAATTATCTTCTGATAAATCGTCTTCCATAACGGAATCGTTATTTTCATTCAAACGTTATTTTATAAATAATTTAGATTCGTATCATGGTGAATATGTATTGAGAGAAGTTTCAAAAGTGTTGCAAAAAAACGCCGAGTCCACGCAGCAGTCATCAGCTATAGCGGTTGGTGAAGATGTTGACTTTTTGCCACAGGTTGTACCTGAACAACCATATGAGATAATAGGTAAGAAATACAGTCTAACTAAAAGATCGTTATACTTATTTCAAGTTTATCATAAAAATATACAAAAAAAAGACGTTTCTACTCGTTTAGTATTTAAAATTTTAAATTAGGAGTATTGGTAAACCTGTATTTGTCATTAGGTACCGTTGTTGATCCAAAGGTCAAGATTTTAGATAACGTGGCTCGCATAGTTCCTAAATCAGAATGTCTATCACAAATGCTGACTTGCGGCACTGTCGTTTTAGATATCAGTTATGACAGAGAAGAAACAGCGATCGCCACGGATTACTTACAACGTTAGTCATTTGTATCTAGATAAACGAATAAATTTTACATTTGGAAATAGTTGAACCATTTAACAAAAAGTATATCTTAAAAACGTGTATATTCTCGATTCAAAGCAGGCATTCTATTTGTGAATTATGCAACAATAATTACAGTATTAAAAGAACTGCTAGAGAAACAAATCCCAGTCAATGCGACGGATGCCGACAATGATGATGGTGGGGGTGAATCTAAAAAGCGTTATCTGATTCTAATATCGACGTTAATGACCTGGGCCGTTACCAAACCATTAGACCCGGTGAGACCCGTGAACGGTTGAAAAAAGTTTTAATAAAACATTATTTCATTCATTGAACAGTTTCATAAAAAAATATGTAGTATCTATATAAATCATCTTTTTTTTTAAATACGTCACTCGAATTGTCATTTGATATGTAATATTCAGTCTGTAAATTGTATTTTTTTAAAATATACTTTATGTTAAGGATGCTCCAGAAATGCCATTCATAGAATCCGATTTTCGAAAGAGGAAATATCATCCGAATTACAAGATTTTCTACGATATAGAAAATGAAGTTATCGGGATTGCTAGAAAATATAAATCACAGATCGGGTAAATTTTAGACTACTCTTATAAATATGTAGCTTAATCAACCTCTTTAATATGTCTGTAAAATAATAAATAGATTTATTAGTCGAATCTTTTCAGTCATCCTACAATGTTATGTGAAAGATTTTAGGCATATTTCTAGTTTATTGTCTCTGTGGATGTGTAATTGATTGTTATGTAATTCAATACAATCGCACATTGTACAACTGTTGAATTGGAATGTTTTTTATCATAAAACAGAGCGCAGATGGCCCTTAAATTAACACTGATAATAAGTATTTTTTACCATTGAAAGAATAAATACATTGTAACGTTTTAATAATTAAAACAAAGCTTGTCCATTATTCATATAAAATTATTTTCTATAACTTTTTTGGGTACATAATCTAGAATTTAGCAGGGTTTTTATGAATAGCTGAATTGAGTTCGTTTATTTGCCAGAAAAAAATAAAATAAAAAAGTAGGTCCATTTAATAATTACATACCTACTTAACTACTGCTCTATTAAATTTAATGCAAATAACTCTAGCGCCATTGTTGTCGGTTGCGGTGTTACATATGGTGGACGAGAGGACGTTTTATTCTACTGGTTTCAAAAAGCTTGGGAATGCGAGCATCTTCTGCCTCTACTAGGCCGTGGTAGTAACGTTATACCTCTCATAAACGTTCAGGATTTGGCTCAGTTAGTATGAACCCTTAATATTCAAGCTACGTATAACTTATGTAGATTGTACAATCCATTGTACATACATTTTCATAGAGTTACCGTTCAAGTCATAGTTGAGTCATAATTGTCTGCTTAATGTATTAATCATTAAGACAAATGCCATGTTATTGATTGCTGTCACACACGTTTAAAGATACTGTGACTGATGAAATAGACCTTTGCTCATATTTCACAACACCGGACACAACATAACTGAGATAATAACTGTATTTCATATCTTAGAATCATAAAATATTGAGTAATAACTCAGGATATACTTAGATATTCAATATTTCTTATGTCATTTTAAAATAAAATACGTATATAATTTTAAAATTTATTACTGGCGTTTCGTTTGTTTTTCTATAAGTTTATCAGTGATAAAAGTATATTTGGAATGTAAATAATAATAATCAAGAAATATATGAATTGACAAAATATGTTTAATATTTCTTAAGAGAATTTTAAATATTATATTTTAAATTATAACTACTCGTCTAATAACAGATGATTTATTCAAAAATGTATAAAAAAATATTATTTCATTATGATTTTTTTGACAGGTAAGTGCGATTTGAAATAACAAGTTTGTTAAACAATTCTCATACAACATAAATTAATATTTAAATATATCATAAAGGTTTATGGAAAATCAAAGATGCATAGTTTTTAGACATACATGTACCCTATGTATATTACATGATTAGTCGATTGTTTAATAAAATTTAATCATAATAAATTTTCAGAATAGTTTATAATTTGATATCGGATTTTCCTAAAAAGCTTTACATACTCGCAGTGGAACAGAACGTCACTAAACAGAGAGAGGTCTAGAACTATTTTTGTTTTTATCTCTTTATCTATAGCGATAACGTCTACAGTCTACTTGAAATGCGGAATGATTTCAGATAATAAAACCTTTGGGACGAATAGTAGGTTCTGGAATGTTTAAATGCATACCTGCAGAAGATGCTTTTCTTATACCAGAAGTCGATGTGAGCTTTAGATTGTTTTTTAAAGATTCCTTATATGGAATATTTCATCCCGAATATATAATAATTTCATGCAAATTTGTCATTATTTCTTTAACGTTAGTACAATTTTATATTGTAGCAAAGGATTTTTGATTTGATGACTCTCAATTTGAATATGGAGCCGACTTTCATAGTCGAAACAATGGGTCTCCAATGGACGTCCGAATTGACGTTTGCAGAAAACGTACCAGCGCTTATAAAACAATTTAAGAAAGAGAGAGGTTTAAAGTCTTTTAAGGTTTGAATTGAAATCGTAATTAATACAATAGATTTGTATAGCAAAGTTATCTAAATAAATAAATAGTTTAATTCCCGTGAAATTCTCTAGGTAGTTGTGTACGGTCCGCCAATTGTAGGCAAAACGACGCTGTCGAAATTAATTTGCGAAGCGTACGGCCTCGTTTACATATCACCCGAAACTGTTGTACAGGATTTGATGGAGGATTTGGTTAGTTGAAGTAGTAGGAAGTATCTGGATAGGCAAAAAAAATGTTGATATAAGTTAGATTAATAATATAGACGTGGAGAGTGAATCATTGGGAAGTTGGCGAGACAGCAGCTCTGCCACACACAACGGGCGAAGAAGATCAGTCTGTGGCAGCTGATTCTGAAGACAACGGCGAAGAAGAAGGTTTACAGGAAACGACGAAACAAACATTAGCTGTATTACAATCGGGACGATCGTTTAATGATGACGAAATATTGACGTACGTTAAAACATTACGTTATCATCCCAAGAACTAGGCTAGTTGAATAAAAGTTATCTTAGGTAATAGTTTGTGTATTGTTAAACTTTTGTAAGTGTATTGGGGATAGCATTAGCTTAATCTTTTTTTGTTATCTTAACCGAATAACAAGAAACGTACTTTGGTTATTATTAGTGTGCGTTTTGTCTCTAGTTATTTGACACAAAGATTTTTGGACTTAATTTAAGAAATTGTCACATTTTAGTTCTATCAAATACAAAGTAGTGGTTCTTGTCTTTTATAGAATCTTTTTAACCATTGTTTTAATAAAATAGGCAACTACAAATTAGTATTATTATTAATAAATATCATTAACTCTATTTTTTCGTGTCAATTATTATTTCATTAAGATTTTCTCAGAATTTATGTGTAATTTATTATAGTTAACTATCAATGTGATATTTATATAACATGTTTATCCTAGATAGTATAAAGAAATCAATATAATTGTAATTTTCAGATACTTACGTCAAAGACTCCTGAGCCGAGAAGCTTTGAACAGAGGATGGGTTCTCGATGGTTTTCCAACAAATTTATCTCAATGTTCAGTTTGTAAGATTTTCATCTGGATGTTAAATAATGCAAATAAATTAATAATATTAATATATTCTTATGTTCGACACAGTGTTTGATAAAGGGGATGAAGCTGATTCTGATACCGGCGAAGAAAATGAAGAGGAACCGTTTGATGAAGATGTTGATTTATATACGAATGTACTGAAGAAGATCTTACCTGGTAATCTATACATGTAAATCAAAAATCAATAAGAAAGTGTAATGCTTCTATATTGAATATTGAATAATATGGAATGTCGGTTTTGTAATATTAAAGAACCGTTTTTTACTACATGCATATGAATTATATGCGGCACATACAACAAAGTATCTTTTATATAATTTTTGTCTGTCTGTCTGTCTGTTTGTTCCGGATACTCTCTGAAGTGACTGGACCGATTTTGACGGAACTTCTATTAGCAAGTAGCTGATTTAAAAAGGAGTAACTTTAGACTACTTTCCCGAAGTAAACGATATCGCTCGCGAGTGTTAGGCGAGAGCATCTGGTTCTTAATTTTTTTTTTACATTGTTCCTTGTGTTTTTTTTACTCATACGGAGTCGCGTTTGTAGCGGCAGAGAATTTGTGTTAGTTTCATGTATTAACGGTTATTTCTTGATTTTAAAATTAATAATATGATTATTTACTTCTTATGTCCATAGATTCTAAAACATCATTTTCTTTAATTATTACAGAACTAGTTTTTTCCCGCGACTTCGTCCGCGTTAGTTTGGTCAAGAGTAATATATGTAGGTATAGCTGACCGGGGGGCGAACTCTATTCCGTCTTAGAGGCCATAAATAATCAGGTTTTTCCTGTTTCAATCAAACAGAATGATTGACATATTAGTTAGTTGTCAAATCTAATGTCAAAAAAAACGTTTGTATGGGAAATAGAAAAGGGCTGTTTTTAGGGTTTTTCCGGCAATTATTCCAATTTTTCTCACCTTTTAAACCTTTCCTGGACTTCCAGGAGTATTTCAAGACTAAAATTAGCCAAATCGGTTCAGCCGTTCTCAAGTTTTAGCGAGACTAAGGAACAGCAATCCATTTTTATATATATAGAAGATAATTTTATTCATGAAATTAATACTACCATTAGGATTTGAACTTGCAACCCGATGAATATCACGTTTGAATTTATTAAAATATATTCTTTTTTGTATCCACACTTCCTTTACTAGAAAAAAGAATAGTTATATGTGTATTTTAAATCCCTACTAATATTATAAATGCGAAAGTAACTCTGTCTGTCTGTCTGTTACGCTTTCGCGCCTAAATCACTTAACTGACTTTAATGAAATTTAGTAAAGAGATAAAGTTGACCTTGAGAAAGAACATAGGATAGTTTTATACCAGACTTTTGAAAGGTTCTCTTGGAAACGCGATATAACCGAACTCCACGCGGGCGAAGCTGCGGGCGGGAAGCTAGTATTATATAAATTTTAATTATTAGGAAAACAATTAACAAGAAAAGTATACCGGATTGTATCATGTATGGTATTTCCTTAGATATTGTTGTATCATTGGAGGCAACAGATGACTTTATATGTGAGAAGGCGATGCGACAACCAGAAGGTGATACACGACTGGGTGAAGAGGCTGTACTGAAACGACTTGGAGAGTTCAGAGCCGGGGACGCGCGTGACGTCACACCGTTGAACTTCTTTGACGAATTAGATATACATCCTTTGATCGTCCCAGTGAAAGAGCATTCAGATTATTGTATGAAAAACACTTACGCGGCCGTCGCGTTGAGAATGGGAAGGCCGTGTCGTTATGGGAAACTTATTGGTAAATAATATCGGATATAAATCAATCGTTCTTTGATTTTTTTTTAAATTTTCCTTGGTCCCATTAGGGGCCGTTCAAGTATTACGTAAGCACTATGGAGGTTCGGGGAGGGGGGTCGTTGCTTTGCTTATTTTGGATATATGGGGGGTAGGGGAGTCTAGATGATGGTTACATCATCGGTAGTTATTTACTTTTTAATCGTCACATCGAGAAGATCCATAGAAAAATATAATTTTAATCTTTTCTGGATTTATATGAAAAAAAAAACAATACAGTAATTGTAAATGTTTACGTAAGCGTGGGGGAAGGGGTAAGAGCTTAGCTTACTTTTGTTGACAAGGGGAATGGAGGGGTAAATAATTGTACTAAAGCTGTTTACGTAACCTTACAGCACAAATTGAAGCGGCCGAAAGAAAAGAGAAGAAAGATTTGGACACGCTCAGGGCTAAAGAAGCGCTGGTTATGGCAGAATTGGAGAAAAAGATGAAGGAGGAACGTGAAGAAAAAATGGAATATTGGGTTGTGATTACATACACGTTTAATAAACATTGTTTATTATTCCAGTTTTTCAGTACAAACGCTACTGTAAATTAGTGCTCATCATAAACAAAATAACCAAAACCTTGTTCTATACCACTACATCTCTTATTTGAATGGTTTATAATATGTCTCAAAATAATTATAACTAGTCGGAGTTATACGCCCTCATGCGTGAGGAAGAGGAAGCGGCTCTGGCAGTGGCCGGAGAGCCTGTGAGAAACTATCTCGTAACTCACATATTCCCCACACTCACCACCGCTCTATTAGAAGTTGCTAAAGTACGACCCGACGATCCTATAGATTTCCTGGTAAATTTTCAATCATATAGATTAAACGTAATAGTAACCAGTTCCAAAAATCACCCATAACTAAACAGAAACTTATAAAATGACTGATATTATTGTGTATATGCAAAGTTTTATATAAATTTAAATATACATATTAAAAGAAAAAATATTTTTTCATTTATTCGTAAAAAAATATCTGCATATAAAAATGTTTTTTATTAAGAGGCTGAATATGTATAAAAATGTTTTTTATTAACAGGCTGAATATTTATTCAAATTAAACCCAAGCGGCAAAATGCTTGAACCTGGATACAATCTGCAAGCGGAAAAACTATTGGGAAAAATCAAAATACTCGATGAAGCTTTGAAGGACCTTGACATACACATAGAGCCTTTAATGCCCCCCGAGGATGATGAAGAGTCTACATCCAAAAAGGGCATCAACATAATGAGTGCTTTATAATTATATTATTACTTAATATGAAATAAAATGTTGAAAGTAATATGCGTTTTCTTTATACTTTTATAATATTTATGAGATAGAACCTAATTAAATATTTATTATAATTGCATCATTATAATTTTTTATGTAAATTATACTAGAAAAATATATCAATGGTCGTGACGGCTTTTACAGATTCGTGTTAAAAGCAATTATGCAGTCACTGGTTGTACATTAAACTATTATATGATTGTTGCTTGATAGCTATCAGATTTAATGCTTGCGTGATTTACAATGTATGCCATCAATCGATATAAAAGTTTATAGTAGAACAATAGGGCTTTGTATGTGGCAACATGAAGGTTCATCCACAATTCCAGACCAAATACGAACAGAGAGGATTTAAGACTAAGTCTAAGCGGACTAAAGAACAATTAGCTAAGGCGAAATCAAAAGATGGTCCCTTTTCTCTTCTGGCGACTAGTTTGCGACATCAAACTACCGAGTTTTTTAATAACTCAACCCTACATGGAGTCCGATATATTGCCGAAAAAGATCGCCCATTTTGCGAGAAGTAAGTACCTTTAAATGCAAATACTGTTATTTTTTTATACAATGATTCCTCTTCATATTAATGTTATATTTTAGATTCATGTGGTTTAGTTTTACGGCGATCGGCACAATTGCTACTTGTATTATAATCGTGAGTTTATGGGAGAAATTTCAGACGAATCCCACCATAACAGGTACTCAAAGATAAAATTTAAACTATTACTGCAACTTGAATATAATGATGATTTATATTTAACACGACTTTTTATAGGTTTGGATACAGATTTTCATAATTGGGACGTGCCATTTCCTGCTGTTACAATCTGTGACATAGCTCCTGTAGATGATGACCTGCTACAGGAATACGTGGAAAAGTGAGTATCTGTTGAGAACTTAGTTGGGGGTGTTTTGGATGAAAAAAATAAGATGAGGTGTGTCGTGTAAGAAGCAGTATTTTTGTGTAAATTCGCTATATATATTTGCTTAGGCTATGGGGCGACGAGCCTCCTGAAAATGCGACAGACATGTTGCGTTGGTTAGCGACTCTCAGTTATAAAACCATTGCGAGCCAAGCATCACAGTTTGTGAACAATCGAAATCTCGTTGGAGGCACTGAATTTGACATTCCAGAGCCCGCCTTAAAACCTAAAGATGCAGTTTTCAGCGTAAGTGCTGTTCATGTTGTTAACCTTAATAAAATTATCACAAATGAAACATAATTGCCACAGTATAATCGTTGCTTTAAAAGGGTAGGGAATAAATTCAGGTACACGTTACGTACAGCTTTGTATATAACATATAGGTATATGTGCATCTCTTATTTTACTAACTACACTGAAAAAAATAGGTATCTTTTATAATAATGTAGCAATTTTTTTTTGGAACTAGCAAGTTAATTGCCTATGAACGTATTTTTTCTTAATGTTTAAGTGATGAAATAAAAATAAATAATGTTCTTTATCTTTAAGATTGTCCGACACTGTGACACAATATTTTATGATTGTGAATGGAAAGGTGACTCGGAAGAATGTTGTGACTTATTGGTGCCAGTATTCACAGAGATGGGATTTTGTTATGCATTTAATTCACGACACGCCGAGAGAACGTGGCCTTGGTGAGATGAACAGAATATTCATTGTTTTCTTTACGTAAACAATATCACCAATTAATGATAATTCTAATTCTTTTATAGGCAAACACAAAATGAACAATTTTCAGAATTGTTCATACATGAAACTGACGCTAAGTGGTCGTTTTTGTTCTATTCATTTCGAAATGATACCATTATTAATGTATGTATTGTGAAATTAATTACATCATAGTTAAATATATGTATGATTTCCCACTTTGCATATAACAATTTATAGATTTACATTCATTCGACTGAAGAAATGGCGGGATTGGAACAAAGCGCTCAGCATTCATGGGATCGTCGTGTAGAAAAAATATCTTTTTCTGTCAAACACACGTACACTACAGAGGACGCGAGACAATTATCGATTCGACAAAGACATTGCATATTCGCAGACGAACAACGTTTAGAAACTTCGAATATTTACACCTATTCAGCATGCATGAGACAATGTCGTATGCAAAGGAGCCGTTCTTTCTGTAAATGTGTTCCACACTTCTATCCTGTGATAAGTCCGTTTTCTATTATATGAACTATTTTCTTTGTTTGTCGTACCCTATAAAGTTAATATTTAATATTCACAGACGGCTATAGATACTGCACTGTAAAGGAGTTAGAGTGTATAGCAAAATACGCTACTGCAATTACAGATATAACTCATTGCTCTTGCGAACTTGGTTGTTCGCATACAGTGTACGAGGTGGAAAAGCTTACTGAAATAGAGTAAGTATCATAACTTAAACCTCTATCAAAACCTAAAAGTACATTTCATACGCTATTATAATTTTTACAGCACTACTAAGGGTACGACGTCAACGTCATTTTTGGAAACCGAATTCGTTTCCTGGCCGATGGTCCGATACAAACGTGAAGTACTTTTCGGTTGGGTTGATCTTTTAGGTAATTATCATAATATAAGACTTGTTTATCAAAGTTATATATAAAGAAACAAACGAATTTTGAAACATATACAGCTGCGTGCAAAAGTATTAGGCACCCCTATTGTTAGTCACTATCTCATTATATTGCGGTCAAGTGTGTGTTTTATGGTTTAGCTATTGTATTAGCGGCAATTTTTAACCAAATTAAGATAAAAGAAAATATTTATGACATCCAGGTGTGCTCCTAAGCGGTGTTTCTTCGAATTTGCGTTTTTTGCGTTTCGGGTTATAGTGTGTTATCAGTGCTTGCAGTGAACATACACGTCTTCTACGCAACTATTCCTATCACAATTCTAAAGACTAACATTTAACGTGTTAATCATGCCGAAAAAATCTGAACTTAGTGCTGAACAGCGTCTAAGAATTAAGATTTTACATGAACAAGGCATGTCTCAGGTTAGAATAGCCCGAGAAGTGAAGTGCTCGCGATGTGCAGTTCAATATGCTATAAATCGCTTCAAAGAGACTGGCACCCATGAAAATAGACCAAGAACAGGCAGAAGAAAAGTTACTACTGAACGGGAAGATCGATTGTTGATTAGGCAGTCTCTACAAAACAGGAAAAAAACTGCTTTAGAGCTCGCTGCAGCATTATCTGAGGCAAAAGGCAGCTTAGTGAGTGTTTATACTGTGAGAAGAAGACTTCTTAAAGCTGGATTAAAAGGATGTAAAGCAAGGAAGAAGCCGTGGCTGTCAGAACACAATAAGAAAAATCGGTTGGAGTGGGCACTCAAACATAGAGATTGGTCAGTGGAAGATTGGTCCAACATACTGTGGTCAGACGAATCTAACTTTGAGGTATTGTTATTTATTTTATGTACAATATTAAAACACATAAATGTTTTTAAAATAACGTACTGCAAGAAAAATAATAACTTTGAAAATAAATGTGTTTTTTTCGTTTGGCATAGGTGTTTGGAACACCCGGTGTGACTTATGTTAAGCGAAGGGTTGGCGAAGAATACAACCCAGAATGTGTGGTTCCCACTGTTAAGCATGGTGGAGGCTCAGTAATGATCTGGGGCTGCATGGCTGCCGACGGAGTGGGCGAAATGGTGTTATGTGAGGGACGAATGAATAGTGTTAAATACACTGAAGTTCTGGAAACAGCACTAGCAACGTCGATAACGCAAATTTTCGGTGATACAAACATCGATGGCCTGAAATTTCAGCAAGACAACGCCACTTGCCACAAGTCCGCGCATACCATGAAGTGGTTTGCTGAAAATCATATTGATCTTTTGGACTGGCCACCACAATCACCAGACCTCAACCCGATTGAGCATATTTGGTCCATTTTAAAGAAAAATATCCGCAGGCACTCGATTAGCAATAAACAAGCTCTATTGGCCGCGTTACAGCAGGAATGGAAAAATATATCAAGAGAAGAATGTTTCAGGCTGGTAGAGTCAATGCCAAAAAGAGTGGCTGCGGTTATTAAGTCAAAAGGTGGACCTACAAAATATTAATTATTTTCTTAAAATAAACCATTGTAACCATAAATGCAGTTTTATTTACACTCGCTATGCTAAAACACCCTAAAACTTGTCTTACTGTAGGGTGCCTAATACTTTTGCCCGTGGCTGTATGTTTGTAGGTATGTCTAAATATGTGTTCCTAATTCCTATGTAATTTAAAACAACCAAACGTTAACGAAAGTTTTTGTTACAAACATCACATTAAAAGGGGGATTTTAGCTTCCGCGCACTTTCTAGTGACGCTGTTAAAACCGCAATTTATCATCATTACTCATTACAAAAATTCATTCGTAAACTAGGATGATTTTGATGAAATAATTCTAACAGGGCAAGTTGAGTTCAATTGCTTTATATTATAATAATAATTATTTTTCAGTGTCATTTGGAGGTATAGCGGGCCTCTTCTTGGGTTTTTCCCTCCTCTCAGGGGTAGAGTTGATTTATTACTTCACATTACGAGCGTGGTGCGCCGCCGCCAGGGAAGGGGACATGTTAAGGAGGGAGAAGGAAGAACGAGAGAAAAGACCAAAACCACCGCACAATTTGAGTCTAGTGCCGTGGTGGGTTGATAGTTTATTAATAGAAATACAAGAAGCTTAAATTATATATTAGTATGCGTGTAGAGTTTGTAGTTATTAACTTTCCATTAAGTACTTCAAAAACTAACGTTTTTTACAATCTTTCTGTTTCGGCCAGTCTCTAATGGCTGGACCGATTTTGACGGGTTTCTTATTGGGAGATAGCTTATGTACCTAATAAGGAGTAATTTAGGCTAGTTTTTATCCCGATCTCGAAATTAAGCTAAAACCTTTTATTACGCATACTGAGTCGCTGGTAACAACTATAGTTATACATAATTTTTATACAAAGTTTTCAAGTAGTGTAGGATCATATACTTCAATGATTAAGCACTTAATTCAATTTTCAGGTTCATACGACCACCTGCACCCGTGAACGAAGGTGTCTTGAAACTACAAGTGAAAAACGTTCAGCCGCCTCAGTACTCGCCACCTCCCGGATATACTGAATATTTACCTTGAATTTATCTTTACATTAATTATAGCACTGGCAACTAATATAGGTTTTATAAAATAAATGAAAGTAATTCAAATTTGGAATCATTTTATTTTTTAATATTTGGTCACATCCATCTAAAGTCTCAATATTAATATTAAATCGAACTACATTATCGTGACAGGAATCAACAAGTTCCAAATATTCGAGAAATATACATGTAGATAATATAACAAGAGTAGAAAATAAACAATAATGCAGTTCAATAAATAACAAGTTAGAAAACCTCTGGTTTTGTATGAATCTTCGCTTAAATTTAATATGAACGCGTATGAAATAAAAAAAAACTAAGTACTAAAATTAGGAATGAGGCATAGCCGTAAATTACTAAGAATTGCCACAATTAATATTGCGTACTTTAAACATTATAATATTAAGAAAAATATATTGGTAACAGAAGACTATTAGTTATAATTCCACTATACTATGAAATATTAAAAATAATTATATTAAGTTGCACATATCTTTAGAAGGCGTATAATCATAATCCTTCTTTTGACATCGCCGTAGTCGGGTAATAAAGGGTAAGGACATACTATTGTTAAAACTCTAATAATAATTATGCGTTTTACTCTATATCCGAAGTAGATTGAGTAATTATATGCTTAGTCCAAGTTGGCATCGTCACGGTAAACGTCAACATTATAGTTTTGACATAGATTATTGAACGAGAAACGGTAAACGTTTCGTGTAGTGCGAGGATGAGAACTCGGACTAAGTATACTGGTTATATTAAATGGATATTTAGACACCTATTATTTAAATATATTTTTTTTATTTGTCTAGATAAAAGATTATTTGTACAATTATTACAGGACAAATACTGATCGTGGAAACTACTCGTACATACAATATTTAAAAAATAAAACAATTAATTTTTAACATTAATGATGCATAAACTAAATACACCCATAATATATGCGAGACAAGAAAGAAATTAATTTTTTAATCACTAAAGAAATCTATTCGGTTATACAAGTACATAAATAAAACATTATTTTTAAGAAATTACTCATTTGTATTTAATATACATATGTTATTTAAAAATAATTTGAGTAAATCTCTTAAAAGTAGTTTTAGTATTTTACGAGTGTTGTTTATGTCGGATGATTATCGTACGACATATCGTATCGTATCGTTAACCGATACGTCGCGAATAATCAGCAACCCTAGTTTTATGCCACCAATAATTAAGAAAACAATGAAATTTCATACAAAAATAAGTTACAAGTTTGTTTGTTTCATATAATATACATTTTTAGTTTAGGATTTTACAATTATTATACAAATAAAAAGTATGTATATAGCAAAAAAAACAAAGATTTAATACTTTAAGTTTAGGGTAACATCTTTCAATTCTAATCACATTCAAAATGTTAAACACGAATAACATATTGTTGCGATTTATTTCAATGTTTTAATTATATTTAATTCTATAAACTAAATTTTAAGTTTGGATCGAGAAACTGAAGACACAGCCTTAGGGATTTCACTCAGACAAAAATCATTTAATTTATCATTCACAGATGACATTGGAGGGTTTATTATGAAAAACCTTCCATAAATGTCTCTTCAAAGAAGTTAATTAAGACAATTAGTAAAAAAAAGTTAAGTAATCAGTAGCCTGTATACATAATATTTTTCTACAATAATAATTTCATCAAGAATTTATTTGGCATCCATTTAAAAAGTTTAGTTTTGTTTTTAATTTTATATTTTTAATATGCTAACTGTAACTATAACAGTTAGTATATCAATTCTGCTGAATTGTTAAACATAACATCTTATTTTCTACATGCCCAGGGCGATGACTGTTTCAAACAAGTTATATATAAGGATAAGGGAATAAAAAATATTAAGCAAAATAAAACCTACATACATGTTTAAATTAATAGTTAATTTTAGATATTTATAATTAATTATCTGTACCAGTTACTGTTTTAAACAATTTAACACTGGCAGTATATAGAAATGTGTAAGTTTTTTTTATATTCTTGTCTGGCTAGATACAAAAAAACACAATATTAAAACCCACACATTTCTCATTATGATCCTTCAGCTATACATAACAAAAGTTATTATTGAAAATGTATGTATATATAAATTTAAGAAAATTAATATACATAATTAAAATAAATATCTAATAAAATTAATCACTGCATATATATGATATAATTTACAAACAAAACAAGGGAATACAAAATAAATAACTGCTGCATTTATTAGCCACTTAAGTACGAAATTAAGTTATCTGGATATGTCACTTGTCACTTAACAACGCTAAAGGAAACGTCCTTGTATGCCGCAATATGTAAGGTATTTTAGACAGTTCCAAGATTTTTCATTTAATTTTTCGATTTCATAACTAGTTTAGCAAAGGGTAGAAATGTCTGAGATTAAATATCGTTTATATCAAACTACAAATCAAACAGGAGATGTTACTAAATTAAAATGTTAATGATAAAATACATTAAAATTATCATCAAATCAATAATTTCAGTTAATCTGTTATTTTAAATCAGTTTAAAACTGGACAAATTTATATAAAATTAAGATTTCTACCACAATTCTCTCTTAATACATATTACAAACCAAATTGTTTCAAAGAGAATATTAACAACAAAAAAATCTTGAAACTATCATTAATTTTGTTACCACTGCAAAACTCATTCCGGGCAGACTGCTATATGACGTCACCACATTAAACTAAACCACGTGATCCATAAGGCCACGTACACACGAGCGACAGAACGCACGTCCGTGTGTCTCGTCAGCATATATGTGAGGGTGATCGTGGAGGCCACAGCGGGCAGGCTGCGTCACCAGAGATGTCCTCCTTCACTCTGTACCGACGACGGAAGAACTTGAATATAGACGAGAAACGATCCTCGTCCGAGAGGGTTGCCTGGAAAAGAAATACAAAATATATTTTAATAAAATAGTTGAACCCGCAGCTTGTTACGAATGTTGCCATTCCCTATACAATAATAAATATGTGACATATTTTATCATCTCTATGTGTCTAAGATACTTCATAGTAGGAACATGTTACATAAGTTGAAGATTTTCTTTTTTTTTTATATGTAAAAAGTGGCAAACGAGCAGACGCCCACTTCATGGTCAGTCATGACCGTCGCCCATCCACATCCGCAACATAGACGTTGCGGATGCGTTGAAAAACCTTACTCGTGGAGGAAAAGGGAGGGGTGGGAGTAAGGAAATATAAGGAAAGGTGGGAAACAGGGAAAGGCCAACCGGTTCTCTCACTCATCGGACGAAACGCAGTCATTACTGACTACTTCACGCCGATCTTCTGTGAGAGGGTGGTACTTCCCCGGTGGAGCCAGCCCTTGTTCGCGCTGTAGTAACTAAACTACAGCTAGGCTCTACCACCTACCACCTTAAATTCTTTTGAAAAAGTATTTTAAAATATACATGTTATATTAATTACCTTTAAGTAATCAGTTAAAATCGCAACTCACCTCAACAGCGATGGCCAATATCAGATGTAAGACCGGTATAAGCAACAGATAGACTCTGAATATATTCTGTTCTTGTTGAACAATATTCATAACTTCTATCTCCATGAAGTCAGCCAACCACTTCCATGGACAGAGAAGTAGAACCGTCACGAACACAGCTTGAGTCATTAATGTAACTACCATGTAGTCTGAAATATGAGACACATTATATTATTAATATAAAAAAATCATTATCTATGGAGATAAAAGTATCATATTTATTTATATAATATGCTACTATACAGTATAGTAGCATATTATATAGTCTATACTATAACTTAAATGTACTTACAATTAGCACAGAAAGGTTGACGGAAGGGCCATCCCTTTGCATAAACACATGCCATAATTAAGTACTGGAATGACGTAATTATAAATATCACTGTATTTTCCCAACACAAAACTTGTTCGACATCTGGACCACCTTCAACTGGCGTGAACCTGAAATGAGTTACATACATTAATAAATTAATTGTGTGCTTTTATATTATATTTAAATATTTATACAGGGTGACTGGTGAATTACTATCGATACTTGAGGATGTGATATTTGACGATCATATATGACAAAATAAAAATTAATATAACATAAATATTAATAAACTTCTAAGTAAAGTTAACCAAAAGTTATGTAATTAATTACGCATCGTGTGAACACCCTACAGATTAGGTATACACTAACACACACATACGCGTGCGGCGGCGTAGTGTTGTATCAGCACGCCGCCGCACGCGTCCACACTTGGAACACTTGGAACGTGTCAACACTTTATTTAATTATACGGAAATTTTGTCAAAAATTAAGTGCCTATTTTTTTTTTACATAATTCGAATGAGAATCATGTACCGAGTATTCTCCTTAAATATTGATAGTAATTCACCAGTCACCCTGTATAAGAAATTATAATTCTTACCAGATTTGAGATTGCAGCAGATAAATCGATGCCAGCTGTATAATAAGTACTACCAAAACTTGTATAATCAGCGGTAATATACTTGTCATAGCGACTAGAGAGACGGGAGGTGATTGTTTTGTAAGTATCGGGCCGGGAGACGCTCTGCCTAAAGATAGTGCTAGCAGAGTTGTTAGAACTAAGTCAATGTATAGGAACTGATTGTTGCCGAGGATTGAGTAGAACTGTAACAGATGAAATTGGTAGGATTTAATATAGCAAGACCATATACTACATGATACTTATTTAATTATTATTTTACTCACATTATACAGTATAAGTATGGAGAAGAACTGTATGAGGGAATAGAGAGCCATATATTTGAAGATAGCAAAGGATGTGCTTAGAGCGCAACGACCTTCGAGTGCAAGCAGTTTCACACATCTTATGTTCTGTTCTTGCGATGTAAATGGAGCCGCAACTGAAAATTTAAATGGCATATATTACCTTTAAATATATTACGATATATTTAAATATATTGATAAATTTTATTTGTATGACATCTATACTTGGTTTTGCTTATATATAAGTTATTTAGTGACCCGCCATTAATATCGCGACAGACCAATTTTTACTACTTGAATCTTAACGCTGTCAAAAAATATGATAGTCAATAATAAAAAAAGCCTTTTTATGTAAAAAACGGTAAGTTATCGATTAAATATTATTTAATCTTAAAAGATTAAATATACCAGACGCATCAGCCTCTGAGAGTGATACACCCACGTGGGCAGCTTTAAGAGCGCCGCAGTCGTTGGCTCCGTCCCCACACATCCCCACTATGAGACCTTCCGCCTGTAGGGCTGTCACCAACTGGGTTTTTTGATCTGGACCGAAACGACCAAACACCATCCCTGAAAATTTATTTCAAATTAAACATTATAGAGTCACATACAATTTTGGTAAATAATAAAAACTTTTTAAAATTAAGTTGCGTTTCATTAATTTCTATTTTTGTTTGAAGAAATGTCTTAAATTTAAAACAATATCTTTTATAGTTGTAAACAATAATGTATTACGCAATTTCTTTCTCCTACCATATATTAATTTCTTAACATATGTATATCATAATTATTGTAGTTTTCATTACAATATTACGTAGTAGGTATTTTGTTTTTTTTCTACTAAATTAATTTTATATATATTCTTTTTCTTAATGAAGGCCTGTATTGACTACAGATCATTACACCTTCTATATCAATAAAGCAGATATTTTAAAACATTCGCTGACCTTTATTAATGACGGAAGGCAAGAGTTCAGGATAGTGTGTACGAATAACAGCCCATGTCTTTCCTTCCATGGCCCAAACATAGGCATCAATAGACAGCTTAGGAGGACAGCCCTCACCAACTACCTGCAAACAATATTATAAAAACTATATATTACTAAGGATAAAGGGTAATTATTATATAAAAAATTAAGCATATACAGTCAAAACCGTTTATAACGACATTGAAGGGACCGTATATATCCGACGTTATATCCGATAGTCGTTATAAGCAATAGTCATATACACAACTACAGTAGTTATACATATTGTCATATGTAGTCACATATCTATCTAGTATAGATATAGGTTATGTAAACGATTCAGAAAAGAAATAAAAATATTTATTACGAAATAATTAGAATACAAAATGTATGTACTTGGCTGCTTACAGTTACGGGTTATAAAAAACTAAACTAGTTTTTAAAGTAATCAGTCATTTTAGAATTATTTTTTTAGCACAGTCTCAAATATTTTTAGCATTTTACGTTTCATACTCAAGGTATGAGTATCATCAATATCAAAGTGTTCGTTAAAGGCAAATTTTTTTTGCAAAACTGTTACATCATTAAGAGCCTCGGAAATTATTGTTGGCTGAAACTATTCTTCAAGGTCTTGTTGGTCTTCGTGTTGTTGGTTAGTGTTAGGGTTGTTACTTTTAGCTTCTGCAAGAATCTCTTCCTCAGTAGCTAAGGCGCTAACGCGACACTGTTATCTATTCCAATAAATTCCTCTATCTCAATTCTTTGTTCTAAATCAGTAGATCTTTGCAACTGGGTAAGGACAAGGAGCGGTTGGTCGTTAAAGTCGATTAATATCGATAAATTTTCGTCGTTCTAAGCGATATGTCGCTGTATCCGATGTTGTTATAAGCGGTTTGTTTACTGAATAGTTTACTAGCAATTCGGACGGGACCATACAATCTGGCTGTAATAACCGATAGGTTGTTGTAAACGATGTCGTTATAAACGGTTTTGACTGTATATTTTTTCTAACATATAGAGATTTTTCTAGTATTTGTTACATATTCTTTTGACCGATAAAGGTAATGTCTCTACTGTAGCTGTTAAAAGTCCTACAAAAGATTGCCTTTAAATAAAATTAGGTCAGATCTGATGATAATTCTGTTGTAAATTAGCTTTACAAAAACTTTTAATTACAAAATAAGTCTATGGTTGTACTCTATATATTGATATAGTCTGTTATAAAAGTAAAAATAATTAATGTATGACCTCCATAGCGAGGGGCGGTCTTGTATCAGTCGTTTGTGGTGGGCCTAGGGTTACCAACAACAGTTTCTGATGGGGCTGGACCATGTTACATCCACGAGCTACAGACATGGCCGTCATTATGTTATCCCCTGGAACAGATATGTTAATATATCAATATTAATTACTCATATCCTCTAGCAATATAATTTTTGTACTATTTATGATTATCATTACTATATGAATTGAAAATTATTAAAAAAAAATTACAGTGATGTAATGTTGTCAAAAGAATATATGTACATATATATAGCTCACCGGTAACCATAATCTGTCTCATATTAGCCGCGTGTAGGTCTTTAATAATATGCGTTGTTTCAGGTTTAAGGCTATTTTGCATGACTAGAAAGCCTAGAAACGTCATATCGCATTCCAGAGTCTCCCTCTTAACGCGCTGTGTCTCAGTCCATTTCATCTTTCGATCTAGTGTCTTGTAAGCGAGGCCGATCACTCGGAAGCCGTTAGACGTGTAGTCGTTGAGTATTGCACTGAAATTATCTGGTAGTGACGCTGGGTCACACATTCCAGCTATCTTCTCCGGAGCACCCTTTACGTAATACACCATTTGAGGCTTCCCGAGTATTCTGGCTATGACGCCCATAGATTGTTGAGACGATGAGAAGTGGAATCTACGTATCAGACCAATCTGGAATGGTAATCATATGTTAATACGCTTTGGATTTGATGCTAGAATTAATTCGATGATTATGTAATACTACCTCATAGGGTACTTCCATTTCCATAGTGAAAGGGTCATATGTTTCCAAATTTTGTAAATCCATGTTTGGTGTTGTTTTTGGTTTCACAATAGCTGGGGTCAGGTTGTCGTATCTTGTGTTCTCTGGACCTGGCTCCTCAAGGTCCTTTTTATTGAAAAATATATAACAATTAATTATAATTAGGTCTACTTAAAGGTTCAAAAATCATTCCAACAACTCACAAAACATATACAATCCAGTTTATGTGTATTACACAGTTTTTTAAACATATACTTTTTAATTTTTCTTCTTACATAACTTGATTTTGCAGTCCAATTTCCTTGTATACTGTTATAATTTATATATATAGGGTGACTGGTGAATTACTATCAATATTTAAGGAGAATACTCGGTACATGATTCTCATTCGAATTGTGTAAAAAAAATAGGTACTTAATTTTTGACCAAATTTCCATATAAATAAATAAAGTCTGGACACGTTCCAAGTGTGGACGCGTGCGGCGGCGTGGTGTTGTATCAGCACGCCGCCGCACGCGCGTGTGTGTGTGTGTGTGTATACCTAATCTGTGGGGTGTTCACACGATGCGTAATTAATTACATAACTTTTGGTTAACTTTACTTAGAAGTTTATTAATATTTATGATATATTAATTTTTATTTTGTCATATATGATCGTCAAATATCACGTCCTCAAGTATCGATAGTAATTCACTAGTCACCCTTTATATATATATATATATATATATATATATATATATATATATACACATACAGGGTGACTGGTGAATTACTATCAATATTTAAGGAGCATACTCGGTACATGATTCTCATTCGAATTATGTAAAAAAAATAGGTACTTAAATTTTAACCAAATTTCCGTATAAATACAGGGTAACTGGTGAATTACTATCGATACTTGAGGACGTGATATTTGACGATCATATATGACAAAATAAAAATTAATATAACATAAATATTAATAAACTTCTAAGTAAAGTTAACCAAAAGTTATGTAATTAATTACGCATCGTGTGAACACCCTACATATTAGCTATACACTCACACTCACACATACGCGAGCGGGGCGTGGTGTTGTATCAGCACGCTGCCGCACGCGTCCACACTTGGAACATTTAGAACGTGTCAACACTTTATTTATTTATACGGAAATTTTGTCAAAAATTAAGTGCCTATTTTTTTTACATAATTCGAATGAGAATCATGTACCGAGTATTCTCCTTAAATATTGATAGTAATTCACCAGTCACCCTGTAAATAAAGTGTGTACACGTTCCGAGTGTTCCAAGTGTGGACGAGTGCGGCGGCGTGCTGATACAACAACACGCCGCCGCGCGCGAGTGTGTGTGTGTGTGTATACCTAATCTGTAGGGTGTTCATACGATGCGTAATTAATTACATAACTTTTGGTTAACTTTACTTAGAAGTTTATTAATATTTATGTTATATTAATTTTTATTTTGTCATATATGATCGTCAAATATCACGTCCTCCAATATCGATAGTAATTCACCAGTCACCCTGTATATATATATATTTTAATACATACCCATTGTGTGAATTCAAACATCTTCAAATCCAAGGGATCTCCTTTCAGCTGTCCCTGTATACTTGTGAGTGAATGACATGAGGCCAGTGCTTGTACTAGCGGACTCTTATTCTGCAGTGCGGACACATTCTCAACACAATGACCGAATTTCTCGCCTCTGTTGTGTGGTATCACCGCATACAGATCCAGACCGTCCTCAGTCAAAGTTCCCGTCTGTGAAGGTTTTATATAATTTATAATATAATATAATTACTTTTATAACTATAATTCTTCACAACAACATTTAATGTTCAAATTTTGTTAGGTAGAGGAGCTTGGACGGTAAGGTGAACGTTTAACGCGCATTAGATAGGGGCCCCTTAAACCTACACTTGAGTCGTAATATCGAGGCGCTGTTGAAGCTCTTCTGATGACGAATTAATTGTTTGATAAAAAGTTTCGTTTCTCCTTTAATGGCATTTTCATTGGTTTGTCTACAGTCTATAGTAATTCAAATTTGAATACCCAAGCTCACCTTATCAAAGCACATGACCTGTAGTTTGCCACAGATAATAATCCTTGGTGGTGACACACAAAATACTTTGTTCCTCTTGAGTCGTTGCTGACTGTACACGATACCAGCGGTCATAGCTGCTGGCAGCGCTGGTGGTACCACTATCGTTATTATATCCAGAGTACGAAGAACTATCGTGCCAATTGGACTCTGAAAGTAATGATACATAAAAGCAATTAAAATTTTATCGTTATATATAAATTAATTCATTTTAAGCATATATTCAGATCAATATTGTCAATATAAATTTTTGTATTAAAAGTAAGCTATAAGAAAAAATCAGTTTCATTGTATTATCTTTATATATATAAAAATTTCGTGTCACGTGTTTGTCCGCGATAAGACTCCTAAACTACTAAACCGATTTTAAATTTGATTTGCATTCCAAGTGCATTTTGATCCAACTTGAAAGATAGGATAGCTTACACCTCAATTTATAGTCAAGATATTATTTTATTGCAATTATTTGTCTATTAAAGAAAATTATTTGTCATTATTACAATTATCTGTTGACTGAGTTATGTATTCAATAGATGGCGCTATGTTAAAAATACAAATTTCATATATGAGCGACTATTTAATAATACCATAACCACCACGTGTTTCTGAGGCTAAGATATAACCTAAATTTATTTATTAAAAAAACGTAACAGATATTTCTTGATTATATGGTGATACGAGGTTCACCGGGTCTTCTAGTTTGTGTAACTATATTTTGTTTTATTTACTTACACCTCTGACAACATAGAGCCAAATAGAATAGCCCATGCCGATAGCGGCGATACAGAACATGAATATGACGAATTTAACAGCATCCTTGTAGAATTGGAAATCAAATTGTTTTGGGAATAAAATACTCTTTATCAACTCTCCTTTGGCTGTGTAGAATCCTGTCCGTACAACTTTCGCTAGAACCTAAAAAATATATATTTTTTTAGGAAAGGAAGTTATAGAAATAATTTAGCAAATTTTGTTCATAAATTAGATTTACCTGATGGTTGCCATAGAATCTGGTTTGAATGACATAAGTGCCGGCGAACAGTGTATGCCGTTTATGGGTTTCGGTTGAATAAACCTCTTGGGACATGGATGGTGGGCCCTTCATTACAGGCACACTCTCACCTTAAATACAAAAAAATGTATTCTTTAATGTCAAATATATAAAAAGCAAATAAAGTGCTCAAACGAAATATTGATATAATATTGTATGGTGGAAAGCAATTAAAAATTATGGCTATACAATAAATTATATGTATTTATTACTAGTAAACCTGGCGAACTCCGTTTCGCCACCAGAAGGCTTTTATATAACATTTCGTTTGGTGATTAAAAGATGAAGAATTTTTTGTTTTATATTTGAAAAGGAAAATTTTTATTTCATTTCACAAAAGTAATGAATTCATTTCGATTACAAAAATGAAGTGTTATTTAGTTGAACTACTCTAAGTAAATGAAAGTGAATCCAAAGTAGATACCGCATCGAAGCGTTATACGTGTCCGCAAATTATCCGTTTCATTGAAGTGCTCCTTTGTAAACCACATTTTTTATTTTTTGGTCTAACTTTAACACAAATAAAGCGTATGGTTTCCAAACTCGAGAACATACAAAATATAACTGCCCATGTGAAAAACAATGATTTTCTAAATTTATCCCGCAAATACTAAATGGTTTTAAGAGTTCAAACTACAAACACATTACCTCAATATTTTTATTTTTATATAGTAGATTTCTTACAAATATCTAATTGACATCCATACATCATTACATATCTGTCATTATACGTCAATTGAATAGCTGTCAATTGTGTTATTCCACGTTTTATAGTAACTGACGTTTCATGTCAAGTTCCACGGGAATACTGTCGAACGAACGATAAAAAGTATCCTATTGCAATTTCCTGGTTCTAAACTACCTCCCTGCCAATTTTCAGCTGAATCGGTTCAGCCGTTCTTGGGTTATAAGTGAAGTCACTAATACGACTTTCTTTTATATACAGGGTGACTGGTGAGTTACTATCAATATTTAAGGAGCATACTCGGTACATGATTCTCATTCGAATTATGTAAAAAAAATAGGTACTTAATTTTTGACCAAATTTCCGTATAAATAAATAAAGTTTGGACACGTGCCTTGCCGGCGCCAGTGTGTCGCTACTCCCCAACCCCCGCCCCGTGGCTAGCGGGCCATTAGTCGGCTATTAGTCGCGCGAGCGCCGCCGTAAGGTCCGTACGTTCGTCTTCCCGCGCGCGCGCCTAGCGATCGATCTTACGCGTATACCTAAGAATAATCTGTCGTGTGTGCGTGTGACCCGTTATTACTTATTAGTAATTAAATATGGCTTTTCAATACACAAATGCAGAATACTTGGACATGGTTCATGCGTATGCGCGTGCAAATGAAAGCTTGCCGGGCGCAATCAATTTGTACCGGGAGATGTTCCCCAATCGTCGAGTACCTACGGCCAGCGTCATCTTAAACGCTAATCAAAGATTACGAGACTTCGGACAGTTCCGTGTTCCAACACATGCCCAAGGAAACGTCTTGTGTATGCTACAATGTATGTCAACAGAGAGGAGTTGAAATTAAAAATCAATAGTGCTTTCGAAACTATTAAAAGTGACCCATTCGTATTAAATCGTGTGAAAGACAATATGTGTAAACGTGCCGAACTGTGTATCACACGAGAAGGAGCTCGCTTTGAACATTTGTTAAGGTTAGTGTAGTTATGTAGGTAAATAGGTAGTTTAATGATTGACAATTGTTGTAAATAAGAATGATTCCATTTTTAAATACGCCGGAAATACCAAGATAGGTAAACAGTTCATATTATTTTTCGTGTCAAGGTCACACCATTTACCTAGTCAATAAATTGGTTGCTTAAACGAAAGAAATATCTTGGTATTTTTGCCTGTCCTAAGCCAGGATTAAAGTATGAAGGGAATTGGATCATTTTTGTTTATCTAAGGTCTAACACGCGGCGGCGCGCGGCGTTTGGATGTAGGTAAACTACCGCGCGATAGCTACATATACCTACGTACATAACTGTTTTGTGTCGATAACGCAGCTAGGGTATCCACGCGATCCGTAATTAATTACATAACTTTTGGTTAACTTTACTTAGAAGTTTATTAATATTTATGTTATATTAATTTTTATTTTGTCATATATGATCGTCAACTACCACGTCCTTAAATATTGATAGTAACTCACCAGTCACCCTGTATATAGATGACTGCAGTTCGTGTTAAAAAAACAAAATGGCTTAGACGATAACAAAAAATTATTGCTGAATATAAAACTAATTCTATTCATATAAGAATTATAGTATACTAGTATTCTTGGAACATACTTCGAAGGCGGCCCTAGTAGGTTTTTTTTAAATTTGCTTAAGTAAAGAGAGAAGCTTGGACAGTGGAGGTGGGCGTTTAACACGTGTTAGATAAGGGACACTTTAAACCTACACCTGGGTCGCAAGTCCCAGGCACTGTTGAAGCTCCTCTCCCTAGAACGACGCACGGTGAGTCCATTGAATGCTCAGTTTTCTAGTCTATTGTATATACTCACCAGTCAGCATGGATTCGTTGACGATGCACGTGCCAGTGACCAGCATGGCGTCGCATGGCATGACGCATCCGTCAGGTGGCAGCACCATGACGTCACCAGGCACTAGACGGCTAGCGTTCACAACACACTCCTCACGACCGTGCTTGGTTGGTCGTAGTACAGTCACCGTGAATGAACTAGTCGAACCGGCCATGCGATGCAGGTTTCTACTCATCTGTTAATATGATAAATATATAAATATAAATAGTGACTCTTAATACAAATATATCGGTTTTGAAAAATATAGCAAAATATTTTTTATGTAGCAAAGACGTACGTCGATATTTAGATATAAACTTTTGCTAAACACAACATTCTTATTATCTATTGTCCTCGTTAAACGCTCTATGGCTAAGTTTGTATTATATATGATGTGATTATTTAAGATTCGTAAAAAATAATGAACCGTTGTAACAAAGTATTTTAAAAATGACATAACCAAGTTATTATAACATTTAGTGTTTACCTGTTTGGTTTGGTATAGTGCCATCATACACGAGGTAGCAGAAAGGAGGAAAACGCATGTTGCATATTGATAATACTCGTCCAACGACCAAAGGATAATAGAAAATATTTGAAATAAATAAAATGGGTTGAATACTTCATTGACGAATAGTGTCCAATAGTTCTTCACTTCGACTTCCACAGAATTACAACCATATAATTTCATTCTGAAAATTATACAACAAAAATCAGGTTATATTTATGCTTAAGGAAAAAAAAAAAGTAAAAATCGCCGATCAACTCACAGTTCATTTTGTTGCCTCTTATTGATACCATTCAAAGTGTCCATGAGCAAATTAACAGTAAGCTTTTCGTTCAAAGACAAAACATTCACGAAACTTCCATTATCTTTAAGCCAGACATATCGGCTGTGCTCGTAAATGAAATACCGCAACTTGTTATCCCGAAGATTGGCCAGATTCAGATCCATTTCATGAACCTTCTCAATATAAAACTTATCTTCACCTTCCGTTACTGAAACAATAAAAAAAATGGTAAGAATTGGTAATAACGTTAGACAAATTTCATGATTTTATTAATGATTCTAAATGCTCACCACATAATTTCTTAGCCGTTCTCAAACTGCACTTCACGTATTTCAAACCGTGTAATTTTGGATAGTAGGATAGCACGAAATACGGCAGTCCGCATAACATCGCGCACACCGAATGGAACATGAAGGCGCGAAATTTCGAATATTCCAATCCATATACCTTGACGACCTGGTCTTCTGGCGTATTTTCCAATAATTGCCATTGCGCTTCACCAATAACTTCGTATTCATCTGGAACATGAACAACACGGTCTGCATTCCTTACCGGGGATAGCTGTTGGCTGTGGCGATAGCATATAACATCGTGTTTGCATTATCTTTGCTCCACTAAAATAAAAACATACATTTAAGGCTATCTGTGATAGTAGAAATAAAAATTATCTTCATACACAAACACCTATTAGGTTTTAATTAAAATGTCATCTAATATGACATTATATGAATATATTCCATTCATCTAACATAGATAGATTATTGACAAGACTAATAGAATCTATCTCTATAAATTTAAAGAATCTGTCTCTTAATTTAAAATAACTAAATTTTCCGTTGCATGCAACTATACCACAATATGGATCGTTTATTATTTTCCATACAAATATTTTAGAGGAAAATAAATTAATCTATAAAAATCTACCCAAATCATATGTTAACCGACTGATGAGTTTCAAAAAGATTACTAACAATATGCAATGTTTGACAATAATTAAAAAAGAATGTTAAAGATCTGAAATAGAGAACCATAGACACAACTTATATTGTTGGCAAAATCTGGTTTAAAAAGAAATAAATTCTCTAGACAAAACACGTAGTAAATAAGAGTTTTAAAGTGTATCCTAAAATTACCTGTTATTTATGTTAAAATACAAAATCAATAGATAATCAACACCTAGATATAAATTCAAATGATTTCTAAGTAAAATATATTTAATATTTTTAAGATTAAAACTAACCTAAACCAACCCTAATTCTAAATATATTTCTCACAGAAAGTTAATTATTATATTTAATCACAAGACAAATTTACAAAAATTTATTTAAACATAGACCTTTATGAGACTTATAATAAATATTCAGCGGTTATAGATGTACTTAAAGATGTTATCTTATCTTTGATAAAATAACCACACCGTTCAATCGGAAATTGAGTCCTTAAAATATATGTTATTGATAAGTAAATACAAAAAATATTGTTCCAACAGTGTATGAGGAAACTTATGTGACAGTGATATTAATAAATGTATTCACAATGAGTCATTAATTCAATACTATATAATAATCATAGAATTGAATTTTCATCAATGTGCAACACTTGTATTGTATGAAATTAAAATAAAGCCTTCATTCAAGTTATAAACATATGCCAAATGGACATACTTGCATACATATTGTTAAAGTGCAAACATAATGCGCCATCACACACATAAAGACGAACACAAAAGATACATTTATATATATACAATTAATATATTATAAAATTTATGTGTTGATCTTTATTCCAACAGTATCCCCAGCATAGCAAATATGGTAAATAAAAAATATAGTATATTTTCTATAAATTACACATTTAAATAATTTTTATGTCAGCGTAAAACAATACTATAACAAAAATGTAAAACATTATTACTTTAAAAATGTTAAAGATATAAAATATTATTTATTAGCAAAGCAAGCTTATGTGACTAATTAATTTTGAAATGGTTGACAACTACAATGATATATAAAATAAACTATAAGTAAATAATATGTGTGGTTTATTTTGAGTTAAAATAATCATCGTTCAATTAGAAGAATTGAAGTGGATCCCTAATATTGAAGATACACAGATGACTTGGTTAATGGAATTGACCTATATCAAATTAATCATGATGAAGGTTGTTCTGAGTATAAATTGACAAGGCAGTTACTGATTACAGATATAATAAAGATGTTTAGGTGAAATTCTTACATGGAATGTGAATAATTTTAACATTATAAAAAAAATAATTGAAAGAACTAGTAGAAATAAAGTGATGTTTGCATATCTGATTGCAATTTACGGAATGTTTTTAATTGGTTTTATTTTAGGCAAAGAAAAAGTATGGGGATGGGATAATTAATGAAATCTTGGAGTCGAAATCTTGTGAAATAGTGAATTAGTATAGTACGTAAATACAAATATAAAATCAGATTACATATATACGATTAATCGGTAGTTATAAACGTGACATCTAACATTAATTTCCAGTTAAGAATAGGACAAACCGAGTCAAAGACTTGCCAACAAGATATCGGTAATTCGTTGTCCAAAGAAACAAAATTAAGATTTTACTTAAAATAACAATACACTTTATGGGGACCATAACTATAATGATAAGATTTATAATTAATTTTAATGGTAGTACGATTCATACCATTTCCAACAGAATCCTTGGTCATATTCAGCATTCCCGGAAAATTTGTAATTCTCAATTGTTACACTGAACTTAAGGCATAATAATTAGCTGTTAATTAATATGATATTTTCTATTCACTTCTGCTACCTCATTTCAAACAAATTATAGGAACTTAATCCCGTAATATATAATCGCGCTCTCACATCACACCTTCTACAACTTGTAAGTGAATGAATCACAGACTACGTTAAAGATGGTGATAACTCAGTACAAAATTTTATAGTACAGCCTTGTCTACGGTACAGTCTATGGTCTCGTATCGATATTACAGTACAGCAGTACAATTAATTCTGTAATTAGTAAAAACATCTTTCTTATGAGGTGAAAAACAAATTAATAAAGTGTGAGCTGTGATAACCGGCAATAAAATATTCTGACACAACTTTATTAAGACCCCAAAAAAATAAATATAACCTCTAAGTAAAAAGCTTTAAAATAAATAAGATCATGTAAAACAAAATGTACGATGGCGTAATTTTCTTAAGATGTTACAAACTGAAAACTGAAATGTTTCTACACAATACGACTGAAACGTCACGGAATTAAAGTTATCGATTTTGTTGCGAATGACGTTATATAGTAAACAGAAAGTTGTATTAAGACTAAAGTCTAAAAATGTCACAGGGTGGTTTATCGACTGTTAGAAAAAATTATATGGAAATAGGAGAGTATAATTTTTCATGGCCTGGAGAAAATGGTACATTTCATGATTTCGGATCTCTAAATTATACGATGCCGTCAGGTGAAGACATAACTATAGCTTTAAACTTTACTTTGTTTACATCGATCGCTTAGCTCAACTCCAATTTTGTTTTAGGACCTTGGTATTGGCCTTGGTGTCCCACGTGGAGGATTTTTCAGCATCCCTTGTTTCAGGTAACAACATTTATTAATCCAGTCACTTGTCAATGAGCTAAGTTCGTGAAGACACATCTTGTGATTGATGAAATTTTTAATAAAATATGATATTATTTTATTAATTAGCTATCGAACACGCTCTTCGTAGCTGCTTACTGTGCTCCTAGTACCAAGAAGGGCCAACTTTGGATGCATACAATTTTAATATTTGGTACGTGTATACAAAGCTTCTTATTCGAAAATATGCAGTATAATATATTATATTTATCATATTAGGTTTTATGCTATACTCGGTATGGGCTTGGCACGTTATATGCTCACCCGATGCATTTTCCTGGAACTTCAGCTTCGTGTTTCTTAATCTGGCGCAAGTTGTGTATTTGGTGTATGAGATGAGGCCAGTTAAATTCGATCCAGAACTAGAGGAGGTGTACCACACGCTCTTTGAACCTTTTAAGGTAAGAATAATATCAATATTATCTTGTCTTTAGAAACGAAAACATTTAGTGTTCCAACATCTTATCACACTAGGTTCATCTTTGAACAAGGATGTAAGTAAAAATTTTATATAAATACGTTCGTACTGGACAAAAAAAAAATATTAAGTTTTATAATTTTGTTAAATAGGTACCTACCACCAAAAATTTTAAATAAAGTCGCTTTTTTATAATAAGCTTTTTTTGGTAGACCTCCTATAAATTAAACAGATCGCCAAATAGAATTTAAAAAACAAAGATTTTTTACGAGAATATTCTGGAAGAAAAAGTTAAATAGCTTTAACTAGTACACAATAAGGAATAAATCAGAGCAGTACCTACTTATTAAAAGACGAGAGAATTTTGTTTGGTAAAAAAATTTACTCTTTTAGACTTCCAATCAAATCGCACCCATTGTTATTACTAATAATATATTTTACTTGTTTCTCTTTGCTATGTATTGCTTTAAGTACTTTAATTTTTGATTTTTTAAATTCAAATGAAAATCGAAAACAAGTTTTGTTATTTTGAGGATTCGAATTTGACTGGATGTCATTAATCACTTTTCATAATCATAAATTTTGTTCTTAAAAATATTTACTATTTTCAAAACGGGCCACACTAATACTCTACCTATTCAAATGACATTTTCATTCAGTAAAAAATATATATATTACATACATTAATTCAGGTCAGGATGCTCGATCACAAGAGATTTATGTGTATCGTATTTTAAATAGACCGTAAAATCACGACAAAATGGGAAACAACTCTTGTATATAGGCACATTTCATTAAAGGTGCAAATTATATGAGCACACAAAAACGTGCGTCCTTAACGCTACCGCTAGCATGAATTTACATTTTTTAATTCATACACTTTTTTGTACTATCACGTGTGAAAGGTTGTGAATGAAAAACTAAAAATTAGCTTTTCTTAGTTTGATACAACCTCGTGGGATAGAAACGGGGCAAAAAAAGTGTAATGCAAAAAGCAACGAAGTAAGCTTAGTGTTCGGATAATAAGATTACATTGTTAGCCCTAAATATTAGAACGCTCGAAAGTCGAAAGTTTCAGCAGAGAGTCCTAGATACAAAAAAAAATATATATAAGAAAACTTTTTAATATAAACTCATAAAACTCTGATCATATTTTGGTTAAAGATGCATATGCATATTAGTATGTACAAAACCACTTCAACGCTCGTTTTAGTACACCATTGTACTATGATTTTTATGAATATTACACTCATCAGAGATCAGATTTTTGATGATTAGATTTTGATTTTATAATAGCCAGAAGTGTTTTTTAATACAAATCTTAAGTCAAAAGGCAACTCCTCCTTTAATTTTACAATATAGCAATTCCTTTAAATCCTCTATAAGAATGAATATGTCCATATTAAAACACATTATATATAAATCTTATATGTTAGGTAACACGTTTGCAATTCAAACGTATGGTGTCACCTGACTTCGCGCATGTGATGTCTCTACACGCGGGTGAGGCGTATGCTATGCAGAATTTGACCAAGACTGACCGTCTCGGACTATTACTGTCAGGAAAGGTATGTATAATTTATATTATAAAAAAATATTTTGCTAATATGCTTGAAATTTCTTATTGAGAGTATTTACCAAGTATGTATTTGAAATTAAAAGAAACGCGATATTTCGGGAAAAAAAATCAACTTCGCTTATATTAATACAATTGATGTAATTAGTCATAGGCAAAATAGTGTGAAGTTTTATTACAAAAAGAATTTTAATTTAAATTCTCGCTAAATTAATGAAAATCTATTGTAACAAATCATTAAGTAAAATATGGCATATAGTGCACGTAGCACATAAGATATTCAACGTCGACTACGCGCCCGTTATAGATGATTTATATATGGGCTTTTCGAGGTCCAAACAGAGTGTAATAAATGTTTGAAACTTCTATATTTATTGTACATATATGTATATTTTTATAAAATATGCATTTTTTATATTCACGTATAGGATTTTCACATTTGAAATAAATATTTTAATTGGTTTCATAGATAACGGTACAGTTTTTGTCAGAAATGCAAAATATGTTCAAAGTTTTGGCAACGGTGAATTTTTAATATGAATTTTTAAATAATTTCAATTAATATTGAAAACGAATATATTTGAAGAGGGTCGGAACTTTCAAAAACATAGCTTCAAAAACAATTTTTTCAATGGCAACATTTAATATAACTTTGTTTATCTATAGAAACATCGGATAAAAATGAAAACTGAAAAGTTTACAAATAAAAAGTGTATTCAATACCTGTTGATTAAATGGTTAATGGATGCTTCCATGCCCTATATCAAAGCTTTCATGTTAGAATCACTTAGAACGATACAAATTATGCAAAAGTTGCAGGCTTATTTGAACTTAGTGATTTTAAAACACTTTTTTGGTTGCACGTGCCAATGTATGTACCTATTGATATACGGACATAACGGCCGGGACGTGCTTTCCCTTAAAAATGTGTAACATTATGGTTAGTATAAAAAGTACGATGAATTCATCGTAATTTTCCCTATACATTTGTCCGGAATAAGAATTTGACGGTAAACGAATTTTATGGCTCATGAATTAAACTGAAAAGGAATTATTACCGCTTCAGCTGATTCATACGAGAACACATATTAAACATAACAGTGATTACTTTTTTTATTCAAACATTGCAGCCTTTGAAACGTTTCAAATAGAAATTTTAATTAAAAAAACATTTTTTTATGAAATTGTTACTTTGTGTAGGTGAATGTGATGAGCGGACATCAATTCTTGCATCCAATTCTACCTTGTGAATTTCTCGATTCACCTGAATTTGAATCGAGTAGGGCTACGATCGATGAAAAATTTAAGGTGAGTATCGAATCGTGATTGACATATTTTTATTACATAATCTATTTAATCTTCTATATATATAAAAATGGATTGCTGTTCCTTAGTCTCGCTAAAACTCGAGAACAGCTGAACGGATTTATCTTATCTTAGTCTTGAAATGTTTGTGGAGGTTCAGGGAAGGTATAAAAGCTGAAAAAAATTGATTCATTACTGGGAAAACCATAAAAATAGCCCTTTTCTATTTCCCATACAAACGTTTTTTTTGACATTAGATTTGACAACTTACTAATATGTCAATCATTCTGTCGCACTTCAAAACACGGAGATTTATGGCTTACAGATAAACTCCAAAAATATAAATAAAAAAACGTACTAGATATTTCTTGATTATAGGGCGATACGAAGTTCGCCAGGTCTTCTAGTCTACAATATATTTCTATTTAATTACGTTACGTCTGCGTTTGAATAAGTAAACAGATACAGTAACCACAGATACAGTAGTATTTTAATTATACATAAATGATTGAATAAAACCTGTTTTGAAACATTATTGTGAAAGTTGGAGTGTACTTATAAAAAAATGTTATACAATAAAATTACATTAAAATATACTGTCAAAATATTTTATATTTATACCTTCGCTTATGTTTCCGGTTTTAAAACCAAATTTTCTCGTCATCCGCAATGACCGTAACTTTTATTATGTTTTATATAAATAATTGAAATGCAATCTGAATTGATTTATACATAAATAATTCAAATTTTATTTGCTATCACTGGTTATATAACTTTACAACTGCTGAAATTTTAAATTTAATAACTTCGGATGTCAACTGCTTGCCAATCATATAATATATTATCTTATAAATCATTCCTATTTTCATCTCTCTCTCTCCGTAGCAATTATTATTCCCATCTGATGGTGGGGTCTGCCTTCCTGGTCTTTCTCTTCCACTTCGCTCTGTCGAACGCGTCCTCTTCGGTAACCTTGCACAACTTTAGATCTTTTTTGACCACATCTGTCCATCTTGTCTTTGGCCGCCCTCTGGGTCTGGACCCCGTGATGTTCAGATTGGTCATAACATTTCCAATATAGTCAGGAGGTCTTCTTTTTATGTGCCCATACCAACGAAGTCTGCTCTCTTGAAGCTTGTCGGCGATGTTGCGTACACCGAGACTGCCGCGGACGTACTCGTTGCGGATTTTGTCGAGTCTCGTCACTCCGCACATCCACCTAAGCATTTTCATTTCGGCGACTTGGATTTCGTTGGTTTGGCGCTGAGTTATGGCCCAAGTCTCGCTGCCGTATGTTAGGACCGGCCTGATTATGGTCTTGTATACTAAGCCCTTGATTTTTACTGGCATTCGTCTGTCACATGTTACGCCAGTCACTTCCCGCCATTTAAGCCAGGCCGCTGCTATACGGTGCTGAATATTTGCGTCCAAATTTCCAGATGAGTGTAATATGGATCCCAAATATTTGTATTCGTCACATTTTGTGACTCGTTGTCCATCGATGATAAGAGGAACCTCTTCTGAAGCTGGATCGTTGCAAACCATGTACTGGGTCTTCGCAATATTCAGTAGCAAGCCACCTTTCTGCAACTGACGCTTCCAATTTTCCAGAGCCTTCTTGAGTTCATCAAGGGTTGTCGAGCATATTACCACGTCGTCGGCATAGATAAATGTCCAAGGTGTCAAGGACTGCGCATTTTCCGTGAGGGCGTCCATCAACAAACAGAATAGATATGGACTCAGCACTGATCCCTGATGTACCCCCTCTGTAACTGGTATCGCTTTGGTCTGTCCTACTGTTGTCCTGGTAACCGATCTTACGTCCTTGTACATGTCGGCTATAATATCGATATACCTTTCTGGGAAATCATTCCTATTTTCATATTTGCAATAAATAAATAGTATATTTATACATATTTTCATTGAATGAACCCATTATGATAAGTCTTTGTTGTTGATGGTAGGTACTTTACAAACTGGAGTGGTTTAAAATCTAAAATCATGGAACGACAAATTCGTTAACTCCAGACAGCAAACGCGATAGCGTAATTGGTAATGCGATAGCAACGCGATATTTAAAATGTCCCTAGTTCAAATCGTGTGGGATTATTTTCATTATCTACATTAAATTAAAATGTATTTTATCATCGATTTTGTAATACAAATACCCATTATTTAATGACAATTCATTTCGGGAAAATTTTTTGGGTCAGAGAACGCGATAAATCTATACAATTTTACTTTAAAATGTAAAGAATACTTCAATATAACATTTTTATTATATCGAATAAACAACATTTATAATAAAATTTATCTATTTAGTTTAATAAAATGTTTAATTGCACTCCAAAGTCGTTTCTGAGTAGATTTCCATGTCACACTTAGGGTACATTTACACTGATTTGCATTTCTCTATCTGAAGCTTTATTGACTACATAAACTTTGAATAAAAGACCATTGCCAAGATAATTTAATCACAGTTTAGAAACTGTAAACGTAATTATTTACTTCAAACTTTATTCCGAATACATAAAGCTGATGAACTCTGTATTTTAACTTTCCATACGACATTTCCGCAAAATGTTACGATCGACTTGTATAGGTCATCTGAAAGATCATTCTTGTTGTTATTAATGTATTGAATAGAGTACATAAAATTTTTCTACCGATATATTGACTCAACGATATTTCTGGAACCAAAAGGCATAGAGACTTGAAATTTAGTAAGAATATTCCTTTTACCTAGCAAGAGTCAGCTAAAAATGACTTTTAGGAAAATTACGTGTTGAAATGGGCGAGTGAGAGGCTGAAGTCATGGCGATGAAACTGGGGTTAAAAGCTAGTGTATCCATATAACTTATAAGTTACAACAAAATGTATAAGAACAGTCGATAAACTTCACAATTTATTAAGATAGGTTTTTATGTAAGGAAAGCTACTGAAACATAATAGACTTGTGTTTTTATCTTTATTCTGTCTCCCCTTTTGTAATCCATCATACAATCGTCTGGGAGTTTTCCTGATTTATTATGATGTAAGTAATTACATATATAAATGAGGTATAGATGACTAACACATTATATACTGTCTGCTTCCAACAGATTTAAATGGACATTATGCTTAATATTTCTTCTTAATATATTGTATAAAAGTTTAAGTTTCATAAAACTCCTCGTTCTTTTCTTTCTAGAGAAAAAAGCGAAAGAAAAATCTATATATTAAAAGTAATATAATCAAATAAAAACCAACTCAGTGTAGACTGTTTCAACATTTGTAATATAAAACTATATTATCTCTACTAGACGTCGACATAAATTTTTCTAGTGTATTACTGTATGTGTGCATTTACGAATCATAAAAGTATACAGACCTATAACCTCTAAGGAGTTTTGTAATGTCTAACTCAAATATAACCAGTCCATCTAAAGAAAGTTTTACACAAATAAATGTTGGCTCTGAAAACTACTTAAAAATATAGGTTTTAAATTCTAGCTTGGGTTCCTTATGATTATGGAGATACATTTTATTTAAAATTAATCCTTTATTATGCCTAAATACAGAAGTATTGATTAACAAACAATTACTTTCATACTTATCGGAAATAAATAACATTTTATGAACCTGTTACTCTTTTCTAGATCTATCAATTAATGAATTCTAGAATTCTATAACAATAAATATTACATACAAACAATTTAATATGTATTTTCTACTCGTGAATAAGTCCTATGCCTCTGGAGAGTTGTGTTGTTTATGTACCAATATTGTCGTAGATGTACGTGTACGTTCTTTGAAATTGGATGCCTTTTATTGAATTGTCTTTAGGACGTACATTTTTCAATAATGTTCGTTCTTCAATAATTCATAACAATACTTTGTATGTTTTATATCTATTCTGAATTTCATGGTTCAGTTGTTATGTCTCCGATATACATTTTTACATCAAAACATATATAACTAACTAGTTTTTCAATTTATCCTAACAGTTTTGTTTATGTAGTAATGTTGTCGCAAAATATATGTACATACAGAACCAATATATCATTGTATTTTATTAAGTTTTTACACTACCGAGCAGTATGGTAATGTGGCCCATAAAGTCTGAATGATATCATGTTCCATTACTGATTAAATCGCACCCATAAAAATGAACTGCAGACGAAGATATCTCACTAGTGGAAAGTAATTTGGTACGTGTTAAGGGCGAGTTTAAATGTTCTGTGACTTTGGCTAACGATGTACTCAAAAAGCCATCACTTCCAATATTAAGACGGTAAATTTAATACAGCAGGCAAATTGAATAGTAAATTTCTATCGAACTGGTCTAGTTTGAATTTAGGTTTATGATGAATTTTTATTCTTTCATTGATGTTATACACCTGTAAGCTCACCCTTACCCCATTCCAATGACCTAATTGTCGTCTGATACCTCTATATAAAATCCAAAGCCGCTATAAATGCGCGAACTAGGTTAAATATCGATGGAATCTAAACATTTCCTAATATGTCCAACATGATGTTGATATCCGTGAAATCGCTTGCTTAGTTAACGGAGCACGAACGATTCACTGCCAGCATTTGTTTAGTAATTATATAATGCAAAGCAAAATATTCGATGGGCAAATGTTTTAAACTGTTTCTATCTGCAAATATGTCTGAACCTGAACTGATGACCTGAACGTATTTTAAAGGGAGATGTTTTATTTTTTGTCTGATTTTTACAATTTTATCTATGTATAAGTATTATTTGTTACTTACACTATGTACCAACATAATTTTTTCTAATAATTATAGTATTATTCAATACCCTCTTAATACAGAGATCGTCTTACTTTTTTATCGAAATTTTTCCTCTACTGTGTATATTTATTTATATATTTTTTTGCTATGAAAATTATTTCTAATATACAATTACTTCCTCTAGGTATCCATAGTAGCAGCGTCGTCGTGTCGCTATGTATACTGGCAGCGTAGTTCCTTAGAGTATTTGTTTGTTAAGGAACCGTATTTGGCTTGCGTAGTGACTACATTGATCGCTCGCGATATAACCACTAAGTTGTACGCTATGAACAACAAGATTGTCACAGAGAGGGGTTCGCATTTGGATATAAGATTACCAAGTATATCTCATGCGCTGGCCCGAAGCCCTAGAAGACTTAGGGCGAAGCCACCTCCACCTACCACAGTGCAACCTGTCCCACCTGAAAAGAGACCAAGTAAGTGTGGTTAAAGACATTTATTTTTCAAAAGAAATTACATTTCACTTAATGAGAAAACAAAACAAAATATTACGTACTAATTTAGTACTAGATGAACCTTAATTTTCTTTTGATTTTTTCTTTCTTCCTTTGCCATGTTTTAAAAATTTAATTGGTTTATATCTGTTTTAATCCCTCATACAAATATTAAACCTTTTTAAATGTTATTTTTATTTGATAAATTTTGAAAATCAGAGCTTAAATTGTGTTATTTTTTTTTTATTTTATTCGTTTAACTCGACGTTTATGAAGGGACTCATTCTTTAGAAATATTATACACTAGAGACTGTCTCATGACGCGATGGGTGCAATTTCATATTAAAGAATATGACTGCACTTACAACGAATTTATTAAGAAAATTTATTTTTACAATTTTTACAAAGAGAAATGGGAAAAGTGAATAATAGTAGTAATGACTGAATTTCTATTATAAATTTCTTTAAAAGTATTTCACATATCTATTACATAAGTAACATTTTAAACGAAAATCCTTTGTTTGGTTTATAAATTACATATAAATAAATTGAAGCAATTCGATTTAAACGATAAAAAAGTTTCGTGAGTTCTTTTAGAGATAACGTGCTATCGGTGATTTCTTGTTACTGCTTTTAAAAAAATCCTCCACTATTCGACTATTTTGTTTAAAATACACACGTTTAACTCGATTACTTTTTTTTATAAGTCGTTTCACTATCCATGAAAGTAAAAAATATCGTTTTTAAGTACTAAGCAATAATATTTTTTTATGTATGTATATAATATGGTAAAATGTTTAAAGTTCGAAAAATAAGTATTGAATTTAAAAGCTATTCTTACTTCAATGACAATTATTTTGTTGTCAATGTTTTAAACCTGAAATCCTACTGAGAATTATTGTCTACTAGCTTTCCGCCCGCAGCTTCGCCGCGTGGAGTTCGGTTATATCGCGTTTCCAAGAGAACCTTTCAAAAGTCTGGGATAAAAACTATCCTATGTTCTTTCTCAAGGTCAACTCTATCTCTGTACCGAATTTCATTAAAATCAGTTCAGTGGTTTAGGCGTGAAAGCGTAGCAGACAGACAGACAGACAGACAGACAGAGTTACTTTCGCATTTATAATATTAGTAGGGATTTTCTATGTCCTTTATTCAATTTAAACATTTCACACGTAGACTTTATAGACATTTATTCAAAGTCGTTTGTTGGACTCGACCTTAAATAAATTAAATCGTAGAGGAAAACTGACATGATTTATCGCCTGAAGTTTGGGAAAAATGTACTAAAATAACAATCGTTGATTAAAACGAAACATCAATTACTGAGGATGTAGAAAAAAACTGTTGGCCAACGGCCATAGCGGAATATTGTGTTAGTGACTGAAAGTTTTTCATTCTTCGGTTCATAAAATTATCAGTTAGAAAGAAAAACTTGGAGAAAATCATTTCACTGCCATTTTAAGACGTAATTTATAAGTTTTGAATTTTTTTGGCACCTATAACTTACTACGTCTAAAATAATCATTAAGATTATTGAAGCATTACTTATAGTAACTGGTTGGTGGGCAATAAATTTTCGACTTACATAAGTGTAGATTACATATTTGTTAGTTGGGGTTCAAATCCGAGGACTATCGTAGAAAGTTTTTATATAAATTATAACTGGTACGGGGGACGGTCGCCGTTCGCATATACTTAATTAATTATTCTTATGACAAAATTGAAGCAATCTACTAAGTAGGTTCTAGAGACGATTGCTATGAATTACAGCTGCCTAATATTAAAATGGATATATACATTTATTTAAGGTATTACTCTTCCCGTATATTAATTATTTACCTCGTCTCTGTCTTATTTTGTTTAAACAACTATCACTACCATTATTATTATCTCACCAAAACCTAGTTATCTTTTCGTGACTTTATACAGGGTGACTGGTGAATTGCTATCGATACTTGAGGACGTGATATTTGACGATCATATATGACAAAATAAAAATTAATATAACATAAATATTAATAAACTTCTAAGTAAAGTTAACCAAAAGTTATGTAATTAATTACGCATCGTGTGAACACCCTACAGATTAGGTATACACACACACACACACGCTGATACAACACCACGCCGCCGCACGCGTCCACACTTGGAACACTTGGAACGTGTCCACACTCTATTTATTTATACGGAAATTTGGTCAAAAATTAACTACCTATTTTTTTTACATAATTCGAATGAGAATCATGTACCGAGTATTCTCCTTAAATATTGATAGTAATTCACCAGTCACCCTGTATATTGTTTATATATGTTTTATTTGTATAATGCCCTATAATATAGATTACTGGTCACGGGATACTGAAACGGTAGCGCATCTTGCAAGTCGTAATGGAATAACAACGTCGTATCCAGAGGATGAAGAACTGATTCCTCTGGCAGCTCACGAAGCACCCGCCGCTTCATCAGATGATCTGTCTATAGCTGATAGCTGTCCAGACACATCTTCTAAGTACCACAGCTGTGAAGGTGTTGAAACTGATGAAGATCTTAGACATTGACTAACAGATTTCATAGCTAGGACTGGTTTTGTATGCAATGATATGGAACTTTTGTATGAAAAGTTGATTGAATTTGTATAGAAGTCTTCAAAAAATTCGTCTGGAATCTCAGTAGCCAGCTGGGAAGACATTGCAAACAACTTTTCATATGCTAGATACTCGTAGTGTAAGACCTACTTTACATTTAAAGTATCAAAATAGGAATAATTGCTATATTACATTCTGATTGTGTTGTATCAATTATTATGCTTGCTCCATAGAATGTTATATAGAAAATTTTTGAGTCATAAAAGGGCTATCCGAAAAATACTAAAGCAAAGTTTAACATATACAAACTGTTTAACAAAGGAAATACCGCAACCACTCCACTTTACGATCAGATCGTCCAGTGGAGCGTAAATGTTTTTTGTCGATATATGGCCTTTCCGAAAGGGTATAATTTCGTGATGTATAAAGTAATTCATGATTTCTTGTGTAAACCTGAAACGAACAATAAAATTGTATTTCTATATAGATTTTTTAATTTATTATGTACTATGGTCGATCAAAATATTTTTAATCTGTTCTTTTATTCGTCATTGTAAGGTCTGTGGTTGAAATTAAATTTTCTCAAAGTTATGCTGACTTCGCTAATACTCGGGAGAACTAAATTTTGAAAATTGAATGTAGCTACGCTTCGATGTGTTCAATATTCAGTTTCTGAATTCAGTCGATTGAGTGTTGACTGTAACTTACGTATATGATGGAATATTTATATTAATGGCAATTTTGTATTGAATTCAAAACTGCAAAATAAATGTCGCTCCTATTGTTTGTTGCTGTATTATTCTTATTGTACACTCACAATGTTATATTACTAGAATGTTTCATTCGTTAAACCTGTCTGTATGAAGATAATAAACGATTTATTAACATATTCTTGTTTCATTTTCTGCTAATATTTGTTGCTAATCTATTAAAAACAATATCCTCCCATTGACAGTACTTCCGTGGGAGTTGATTCAACTAACAATTAAATGAGTCATCCGCTCAATAGTAATTCTTGTTCATATTTATAACAATATTTGATAAAACTATGTATATGTTTTAGTAGCTTAGGTTCTGTTTAAAAACCTATAATTTAATTACAATTAAACATTCAATATAATGATATAAGTTTTTCAATAAGAGCTCCAAAGGCCCAAAGAATGTTATTTATGATAAACAAAGTAAATAAATATATTTTAATGGTTTACCTTATCCCATACATTCTGTCAATTTCAATGCAAATTCCATGGCTATCTAAGCCATTGTGTACGTGATTGAGAAGCAAACTAACTTTACTACCAAAAGGTATAGCAACAAATTTCTGGTCCCATTCCACAACACTTTTAGAAGGTAGTTTAAAATTCATAATATATTTTTACTTTACATATCTTACAATTACAAATATTACCACATTTTGAAGACTTACAAGTAAAAATACTAAATTTCAGAAGGTAAAAGTACTTAAGAGATGAAGCGTAGAAATTGGCTCGATTGTAGAAATCATATCAAAAGTATTACCTTCCTTGAATCATTAGAAATTTGTGCTTTTGACGATTATCGTAGAAGCAAACCCTTTTGAGTATAAACCATGTATTATAACTGCATAAAATAAGCTCTTATTGATTACATATATATATGTATTATAGGTAGATCGTAAAAATTGTTTAACCATTATACTTCTGGTAAATTGTTTAACCATTATACTTAAAAAACCTATATCTATCATTCAAATTTGTAATATATTTTTATAAACATAATTAATTACTAACTAACTACTATTAGGAGTAACTACTAACCTGTATTAGGATTTCAGGTATATACTAAATATAGCGGCGTATTAACAACAGAGCGCTAACGTATTTATCTAGTAAGGAGTTATTAATTTTATTAATCTGCCCATTGCTAGTGGCAGGCGAGTAACAACGCCGCGCCAAACCTCACTTCAGGCGCAGAACCAATCAATCAACTAGAACCGATTCAGTTATAGGCTTACTATCCTATATAACTGGACATTATTACAATATGTAGGCTTGTGTTGGTGAAAATTGAATGATTGGAATTAATAACTCTTTATAACTATACATATTCTACGAATGGTATTGATAACAAAATTTTTGTGAATATGATAACCTAAAACACATTAATTGTCATTTAAAGATTAAACTGAAACACATGAGAAACTTAAAAGGGTAATTACACCCAAAAACGTCTAATATCATACTGTAAAAAAGCTGATCTTACGCTGCTCGATCCATATTAATTAAACAATGCACATATAAATTGATAAATCCGTTTGAAAGCTACTGTGTCACCGACACACACACACATGTACATAACAATCAAACTTGTGACACTCCTCTTTTTGCGTCGAAGGTTAAAAACATACTTTTATTTAATAATTCGCAACTTCTTTTAATATACATATATTCAACTACGTTCTTAATATTGTTAATCTGGCTAAGTAAGTAATTTTAAATGGATTATGTTTTTCGACACTTCACGTAATGTCAACGTGACACCTCACCGACGAGTAAAAATCTTTTTACACCAAAAAATATTTATGTAGATGACATATTTTATAAGCACCATAAGAAAGTAAATCTAAATCACTAAGCAACATATTTTTTTGGATCGATGACAAAATCAATTTGAATTTAACCTTGTTTTCGTCACGAATAGTTCAAAGAGCGATATGGTATATAAAGTAATTTGGCACTCAACTGAGAAATTTAAAAATGCTCGATTTACTGAGGGACAAAACCGTTCTATTATGCTAATAGGTTCCGTTAGAAGGTTTCATCCGTCGTTTTACACATATCTACACCATTTGTGCCATACCAACATCCGATGGTACGAGGTCAGATCTAAATGGGAATTCAACGTTTAAAAACAAGATTAGGGTTAGACATAGTCCAACAGAAGTCGTGATCCGTATTGATAAAAAATCATTGTACTGTTGGTTATTAGAATCAAAAATCTTTCGTTTTGAAAAAAAAAAAAGTATTTTATAAATGTACATAGATATTTTTTTCTTAATGAAAGAGGAAACATAGTTACAACTGTGCATCTTGTTGCCGATTTTCGTGCTTAATTTATACATTTATAGTTTATAAATGTAAACGAGTGATCCAAAAAAAAAATCAAAAGATATTATACAAACTAAAATAAATATATATAAAAAGAGGATAATGTCTATAATGTGTATGTAAATCATAAGTTAATACTAGACGCCATATGAAAAAGTTAATATAAGTATTGAGATATGTCCTTTTTATATAAAAAATTAAGTGTATAACGAATTTATACAGCTTGGCTTATCAAGTTTGGTTATGAGTATCACACTTAAAAGGTACTTCTTTGCCATAAAATTTTATCTAACACTATTAGATTAAAAAGTAATTTTTGTTCAAATTGTTTTAAAGAGAAAACATAATAAATAGGACAAGCAGTTGAAGGTAAGGAAAAAAGTATAAATACAAAATATCAAAGTTGCTAATTTTACATACATACTTTGCTTACGTTGCAGTACAATTTTTCTATTTATTTTTATTTCTTAATCTTAAAACTGCTTCAAAATAATGAAGCAATACAATGATTCTTTGTTTACCACCTCATTTCTTTTCCAAAATAAACTTGTTTACAACAATCGATAAAAGATTGACAGTCAAGGTGCCCTAGATTAAAAGTTTGCCAATAATGAAACTACTTACGAAGTTGTTGTATCTGCTTACCGCTTTGATTGCTATTTTCTAATTATTAAGGCGCCTGGAAAATATTGCCATTTAAAAATCTATGAGCTTTTAAAAAATATTTTTAATTAGTTCTTTATTAAAAAAACCCAACGGTTATGGTAATATATCATGTTTGTTTAAGAAAATGAAATTTTCAGAGCAAATTATACTTAGCTATACTTAGCTATGGATAAAAAAATATGTTTTTTTTTTTATTAATATACATATATATTTCGAACAGTTTTCTGTAATAGGTGCAAAAAATTTGAGCACCTCAATTCAAATTAAGAACAACAAATATAAGTCATGGCAATTCTTGAATTCAAAGGGCCGCTGCAATAGCAAGATGCTTATCATCAGATTAAAGAGCGGAAGTGGTCAAGGCTGACGCGACCGCAATAGAAACGAACCATACCTATCCACTCTTTCTAACTTCTTAGCTTTATACGATTGAACGGTGCAGCTTATCAAGATGGCCTATAGCATATAAAGCTAGACCCAAACCAAATACTTGAAAGATACAAAGAGATTCTGCACGTGGATACGCACTTGATTTATTAGTTCTTTTTTATTGTATTTTTTATGAAAATTGGAGCTGATTAATAGGTAATTTGTTTGGTCAACTTTATTTATATAGATAACGATAAAATATAACTTCTCTCGAGAAATAAGATGGTAATAAACACCAAATAAAAATGAACCATTCACATTTTTATAGAAAAAGTTATCTTACTCTCCAATTTAATATAAATATTGTATTAAAAAAATATTTATAATTCTAAGAATCTTAACAATAACATAATTACAAAGATATAATTTAAATTAAATATTAATATATTAAAAATAATATTAAGAAGAAAATAGTTTGAAATATAAAAGAATAATTTCAACAATAGAAATCTTTAATCCTAAACTTATAGTAACGTCAGATGGTCGGATGTTCATATGTTTTATTAGGCTCCTAATTAAAATTCATATAATATCTAAAGTGATGTAAGGCTTCAGACTCCTTTTGCTATTGGAGAGCTGCCAGCCGCTAATCGTCACGCAGTTATACATTCAATCGCAGAGGCCGGTCTATTTTAGGCCCTCATAAATAATATAAATCACGGCCTCCACTGAACATTCGTGAAATTTTATTCTTTCATTTGTGTATTTTTCTATAATTAATAATTAAGTTAATAGGTGATTTTTATTACATTTAACACATCTCAGCGTGTGGAGTTGCTAAATTTCACTTCCTGACACAATTTCTGTAACAATTCTTAATATTTACTTAAAAACAATTATGTAATTTTACACGATTTTCTTTTGAAATCTTTTTATATTAGTAATCAAGAATAGAGCTGGTGTACTTATTTATATTTATGTTTACGTTTCTGCATAAAAGAGATATGACTGACTGGAATTTCTTCTTTAAAATTTACGATTCACCGATTATTGAATCGTGTGATTTTTCAGCCTAATTCGATACACTAACATTTCTGGACCAGTGCCGGGTTCCAAAGTGTCAATACGGTCGCTTAGTGACACTGATGCAATGGTATGTCAAATCTTATAAATTACAACACCGAAAACCCTTCCAAAAACTAATATTTTTATGTATCTTATCTATTTATAAAAATATTTCATAATTTCACAAAGAAAATGTATTAAATGAGAAATAAAGTAAACGAAGCAGTTCCAGCAACTATGTCATAACAATCTTTAGATGTTAACTATTTGACAAGTTGTGGCAGCGAAGAAGTTGATGTTGTTCAATAATTTTATTGATAATATCTGTGTAAGAAGCTCGTGGTGAGATGTGAGTGCGGGGGTGTCGGGGGGTGTGGGGGGGTCGAGACGCGCGCGTGCGTGCATCGGCCGCGCCCGTAGCGGCGGGGCGACAGCGGCAGTAATAGTGCCGCGCGGCGCCGCGCTAAGCCGCTCACCGCTCACCTGGAGCCGCTCCACATCGACTATGCGACTCGCGGGTCAGTCTCCTACCTGTTGTAGTGCTTTATGATGGTACGGCATGAAAGTGCAAGATATGCGGACGTTCCGTGAACATCACCCTACCAGTATCACCACCGCCACAAGTGGGCGGAGAGACGGGACGCTTCCACGGCTGCTCAGGTGAGCGGACTCTCGCACCTCGCACCGCTGGTAAAGACGCTGCTATCTAGGGGTCGATAAATAATACCTTACAGATGGAATCTTTTGCCGCCGATAAAGTATGAGTCCAGCCAACGGCGTAGACTGCGTAGAGCGTGCTACGCACCGCATGTAGTGATTTTCCATTCTACTCTAACATCTCAAAACTACACATAGAAAACTATATTTAATATATATTACATAAAATAGTTTTCATTAGTTCTCACACCGCCATTTAAACTAAAACTGCATCGGACTAACTACATAGAATCTAGGTAACTTCATTAAAAGTCCGTGTCACGGAATCTTACCCAGCTCTCTAAGCTGCCTTTTCGTAATTCGACTTAAGTGGATTGTAAGGCCATCAAAAGCAGCATCATTAATGTCAAACGATTTTAATAGATGGGTTAATATCATTATATATGAATACTTGAAGACTTAGCATATACATTTTGTATACGAACGACTGAGCTAGTGAAAGAACAAATTTAAAAATAGATTAATTTTAGTTGAATCTGAAAACTACAAATTAATAGGCAAATCAATGTTATTTAAATAAAAGTAACCTAATGAGGTACATTAAAAAGAACAATAATAACATAGAATGTAAAATTTAACAGTATGTAATATTTATTTTGATGAAATTTAATTCGTCTTAACAATAATCAATTTGTACGTTATATACAAACAGAATTTTATAATATGAAATCAATATATGTGATGAAAACAAATCATGACTGGCTTTTCGCCCCTTGACTCGTCATCTAATATTAGTATTACAATGTTATCTTTCAGTCGATAAGAATCGCGCCGTCGTCATCAATCTCCCGGTTTACAATGGGTTGTATATGGTATGTCTTCAAAAGGAGTCTATCAAACAAGGTTATCCAATACTATCTGCATACGGCAGTTTCGTTCACGAATACAGATTTTATAATCAAATGTATTTAATTTTAGTTTTTCCGATACATTATTTAATTTAAAAGATCTGTGTAGTAATATTTATGTACATCTATTTGGGTTAAATGTAATATGTGAATATAATGAGGTCATGACCATTTATTTTGAAACCTACTTACAAGAAGTTCATTCATAGTCTAGTCTTGTCTTACAAATCTATTGGAGCATCTTGGCAATCTAAAAGTAATCTTAGCAGATTTATAAAGATATTACTGGTATTTTATGAGAAGTTCTTGGTCTATATGAGATCGGATAATGTTTATAGTTGTTGACATAAAATATAACGTTTAAATCTCTAATTGATATAACATTTTATATCTAAAGAGGGCTTGTTGAAACTAAAATAAAACTAGCGTGATACATTCGCTGTTTGCTTGTAGCAAGCATGGCGTGCTTTTGGTAGATATTTTTTTAACATTCTTAAACGGAAATGCATACACCGACTGTTTGCATAATGCTTTGCTTACTTAATGAGATTCTTCCAAATACAGCCGAATTATTTCGTCCGGTACGAAAATGTCACGTATATATTCTTGAAAGTGAAGTTTTTATTTCGTAAAGGAAAAAACTGTTTGTTATTTTTTGAGTACGTTACGTAGTAAGATGGTTGATATAAAATGTAGTAGATAAGAATATCTTATATATATGTAAATAACCCGTTCCGGTGTATCAGAGTGTATGTGATTGAGCGTTGAGCGCATTATGTTGATATGTAAGATGATATTGGTGGGTCGTGGAAACAGCCGCGACAATATGTCGCCGAGAGGCAGTGCCAGCTTCCAGTATGACTAAGACGAAATGAATGCTGAAAATATTAACACATTTAGGGTTATTTATGACGAGTATTTAAATATTCTTGCAACTTATCTCAATTATCAACTCTTTCGTATGTCCATACTATTGTTAAATGTTAATGTTATGAAGGCTTAATATATATAAGGTTTCCGATATATATTTCCTGAGTAACAAAGGAGATTAATGCAGTTTGAACTCAATAGGATAAACGATGCGCGAACAATCGACTTTCTCTGCGAGTATATTCACCCGTTTTTAATCCTTTGCAGCCGTGCGCACCACACTAAAGTTTTATTGCAAAAGAGAAACCAGACCGTATATCAAATCATTAAACGATCGAAAACTTGTCTTTTGAGAACAGTAATAAGTATGTGGAGATATTATCGAGAAATTTCCGGCTTTAGAAAACATAAACAATTATTGTTATAACAATACGTTGGACAGAAGCAATTATAACGGATCTCTGGTCAGATGATCGTTATATATTAGTTTATTTCCTTTTAGTTTTAGTTTACTTTGTTCTTGTTATTTTTTCCATACATATATCAAACGAGTTAACATCGCTTTGCGATTCGCAAATATCTAGAGAAATATGGGTATTCATAGTTAATGCGAGCGTATTTTTTATAGTGGTCGATAATTGATTTTTTATATTTAAAACTCGTCATTAAAATTAATGATCTTTCATTATCGAAGGTCTAAGTGTGAGGTAGATTTCTTATGGGCATTTTTTCTAGGAATATATTAGTTAAATAGACACAGAATGTATAATATCAATAAGGGTCTTTTATAAAACACATTATAAAGTGATGACCCCAATCTGATATTTACACAATTCTTAACGCATAACTGCACCAATGCTATCAAATAAAAGAGAAGTTTTTAGCTTATTTATATAACAATAAAATTACTTTTATATGTGAAATATATGTATTTCTATCATTTCTGTTTTTAGTTTAAAATTGCATACTAGATTAAACCTAAACTGTTTATTTAAGATAATAAAACAAATATCAATCAAAAATGTACCAAATATTTTTTACAAATAGTTTGTATAGCGCCAATTTGTATACGATTGGTATAAAGCGTTTCATAGATGTTAATAAAAAAAAGATGTAAATAATGCTTTATTGTTATGTACATAGACTAGTATTTATTGTGTACAAGTCAATTATTATATTGTATATTCCTAGACACGATTGTTACCAACTGATAGGTGATTAATGGTAAAGCAATAACAGTAGCACGGTTTAATGCACAGTTTGATGATTGATTGATAGATATTAAACCGAGTTGATTCCAAAACTGAATTATTTGACATTTCTTACTTGTCGTGCTCTCATTAATATTGTATTTGGTATGATGGAAATAAATTTCGCAATATAATTCTAAATATAACTTTATAATAATAAACCATTGGTAACATTTAAAGATAGTTTGATTTGAAATTAACATGCGTAGAGTAAGTTGTTCAAGAGTTAGTATCTACTTTCGAATTATGAAGATCTTTATCAAGTTATTTTTTATAATTATTTAATTTTTTCTGATTTATAACAAAATATTAAGTAAATTATAATAATTATTAACAAAACCATATTTTATAGATGCACACATATTCAGAAACTTAACATATATTTTGTTTTTGATTGAACATTTATTGATACCGAAGTCTCAGGACGTCTACGAAATATACAAAAATAAAGTTACGATAAACGATTTACTTATTAAAGGTTTTAATTTAATGAACAATTTTCATAATTTAATTAATTATCTTAATCCTTGTTAAAATTTGATATCAATTATTATTACGAGTGTACAATATATATTTTGCGGTCGCTGACAAACCGATTTTCATTACTATTCTCATTTATAATTTATGTTACATACTCTATCATGTTAAAATAATTGTATAGATTTGATATATCTATATATTTTCTTTTAATAAATAAATATATCTAAGTCTATATATCTTAACTTCTATGAACGAAAATACGTAAACATTATTTAAATAGTTTAAATATTTCATAAGTGTGTATGAAATATTTTTGTGTCCTTGCTCTTTTTCGTATCTTGCAATTACCAGATCTGAGCATTCAAGTTTTAATTAAATTGTACCTTTTGCGCTCGCTGCTTGTGGCGTGTGCTACAACTAGTTATACTTTACTTTAAAATAATTTTATAATTACTTATTGAAGGTTTATATACACCGTGTCATTACATAATCGCGTGCTCTTGACTTAATAGTTTTTATGCTTAATAAGAAGTACAAATTACATTATATATATATATATATACAGGGTGACTGGTGAATTACTATCAATATTTAAGGAGAATACTCGGTACATGATTCTCATTCGAATTATGTAAAAAAATAGGTACTTAATTTTTGACCAAATTTCCGTATAAATAAATAAAGCGTGGACACGTTCCAAGTGTTCCAAGCGTGGACGCGTGTGTGTGTGTGTGTGTGTGTATACCTAATCTTTAGGGTGTTCACACGATGCGTAATTAATTACATAACTTTTGGTTAACTTTACTTAGAAGTCTATTAATATTTATGTTATATTAATTTTTATTTTGTCATATATGATTGTCAAATATCACGTCCTCAAGTATCGATAGTAATTCACCAGTCACCCTGTATATATATATTGCCAGGTTATAGGTACTTCACTAAAATTCTATGTATAAAGTAGGTTTTTTTTTGTAAATATTTTAACGGCTCTGGATACGAGTCCTTTTGAGCCACGAAGTAGGCATATAGCTGTTGTGTTGCTTTAAAGCTGAATTCTTAATTATAACAATCCGAATGAGGTTTTCCTTAATGCTTCTTCAGAGTAATTTCTAATTTACTTCAGAGTTATATCACAGAATTAGTTTTGAAGAAGAGTGATATTTATATTTACGAAACATGTTTATTCCTTCCAAGGTTTTATATAAATAGAACGTCTATTAAGTGTAGTAAATAATATTTGGTTTTACTACCAATTATGTTAGTATCACTTACTTAGATCTCATAATATAGAGTTGTTTATACATAGATTCTGGACGTATCTAATAATGTGGACTGCCATAGATAAACCTAAATAATAGAAAGAAATAGTGAAACTAAGCTTTTCGAGTACCTAATATGCGTTTTTTTATTATTTTGTAATAACATAATCCCTTTAACGTTTAGAAAAGCTTAATTTCATTTATTGTTATTTTTTCGAATATATTAGATATCATAAAACATTTTTTTAACATTTTCAATTAATTGTTATATATGTAGTTTAACAATAAATTTTAATATTTCCTCAATCCTTTATATACGAAGACCAGTTGTGATCACCACTGATTCAAAGATTGATTTTAAAATCCTTGGTGTTTGTCAAAGAATTGTACGCAAAAGCTTGTAATTTTTCATAAAATAGTTACTTAGTATGATAAAAGATTTAATTTGTTTGTTTAAATAATTAAAAAATGTATATAGTTTTAGTTCAACAAAATTAAGTAAAATACATATATAAGGGTAAAATTTTGTATTATAATATTAAGTTTTGGTGTCACATTAGCTGCTATAATATTCTCTACTGAAAATTAAAAAAGGTTTTAAAAAAGTTTAGGAGTGCAAAACACGTATAAAATAGCATAATGTTATAAACAGGGTTGCGTTGTTATAATTTAATACAAATATTTTACTGTGACAAACGGTCGAAAGATGTCCTAATGGGTGCGATTACGATTTATTATAAACATTTTTAATATTCTAACATTACTTTTTTTTGTATTTAATATTAAGTCTCTTCAAATATTCCAACTCAGTAATATATTTCCAAATATATAACGAATGTCTAATTTGATATTTCGATATTTCTATCCATAGATACGTTTGTTATAGCTGAAGTAAATAATATGAATATATGTACATTAAAACTGTCATACGGTTATTAAATGGAAGCATTTTTTTGTAAGCAACAGCCGTAAATAATATCTTAAAAACCGTGCAGCTTATAAAAATTAAAAGTCCAAATGCGAATATCTTTGACTAATCCAGCGACCTAGTTTAGTTATCGTATTTAAAAATAACTTGAAATGGTTCTGTGTTTGATGATGTGTGCCACAACTTTTTTTATAACTATATGGCCTTACAATAATGGTGTAAACAATGGAAGACGGTAATATGACATCTAATAATAAAAGAAAATATTCTCGAACATAATGTTAGACACATTATGTCCGAGTATATTTTTATCGTAACTTTTATCTTTAATTTAATGAGCATCGAATGGATGATACAAAATATCCCAACGCCCAGTATATAACGAAGCCACTTTTTATGACCGTTTGTTTATTCATTGTCATCTAAATTGCAAAATAGGTCTTTCTACCATTGGTATTCACACAATTTTATGAATACCGTACCCATATTTTTTCCGATTCGATCATTGAGGACGCTAAACCATAATATTTAATTTACTTAAAGTTGTATTACACTTTGATATTATTGGTACAAATAATAAGTTCTAAAAAAACTGTTCGATATTTTACTAAACAATACGTCCTGTTATAAGAAACCCATATATAAAAAAAAGAGACAGAGGCACGTATATATTATCGATTCAACTGGTAAATTAAAATAATGAATACTTTGGTGGTTTATAGTGAGTTCGTTACTTAAAAACTATTTTCGTTCTATGCATTCATGAATGATTCATTCTTTCTTTTCAGCGTTTTTCCGTCATTTGGAAGGAGGCGGAGCGTATTATCTTGGTCTTTTTAGTGGCGAATGTTTTCGTTACTTAATGCAACCGCAGTCAAACTTTATCTAAGTTTCATTTCCACTTAAATTATAATAAATTATTAAGTTGCTCCACTCCTTAATGTCTTCTTATACTGTTATTGTTTAGTTATGTTGTTTTTGAAA